GCACCTGGTATACTGTCATTTTCAAGAAAAGTTGTATTTTTGTATCAATTTCCAACGCTGATCAGCCGATCAGCGTTGGAAAAAACTGGCTTTTTTTTCAAATACTGGGCCCAATTGACCATCGTACTTGTTTGCAATCGATTACAAACCTATGAACGGGTACGAGCCAGATAGACTAGTTCCCTGACCTTACCCAATGTATGTAAACTGCTCTGTTTCTTCTTATACTGAGTCAGGGAACCAGACCACAGGAAAATGATTGTTTTTCTTGGTTTTTATAGCATTTTCGAACCCAAAACCTCAAAAAAGTCAGTGTAACTATATTTGCTATATATTTCCAACCCCCCAATTCCATCCATTTCTGAAAATTACAGCAAAAGCAAATGATGTATATTCCCTTTGTATATTCGGTTCGGTTTACATAGACGTAGGCCCTATGCCGTCCGTAACACGTCGCACGCAAATCTTTCCCAATTTCGCGCATGGATGAACGTTCAAGAACGTATCAGGCCTACACTGGAGAAGCCGACTTGGCTTATACTTTACACGGTTTCTTGATTATTGCAGTCAACAACTGGGTTTGTGTGCGGTGACCAGTTCATTCCATTAACAATACCCAACTTAGACTGGATATACGCACAAAGGTTTAAAACCAGTTGGCCTTGGTCTTTTGGATCGATCTTTGAATTATAAGAGTAGGCTAATTCCCTTCCCATTGAAAATCCACACAAACAGGTCTACGACTTGTTTTACTACGGTGGCCCAGAATAGACGCTTAAGTATGGAGAAATAAACTAAACGATTAACGGTTTCGGTTATTCCGTACCGATTAAGCTGATAATCGGGCACGTTGTATATAGGGGGTTCAAGTGCCGCTCATTCTTTTTCACCAAAAAGTGATTACATGGGTATTTAAGTTTTTTGTTTTTTTCGATCAATCGACTGATACGAAACATGACAGCTCCTAAACATTCTATTGAGTGCTACTACATTTCTTTTTTTCTTTCTCTCTCTCGCTCTAGTTTCAGCATGAAAAACGCTTACAAGAGACTGAACACGCGACGTTTTCAACACATAATGTGTATTCGTCGGATTGAATGTTCCAGACATGTGGGTACATGCATTTATTATGTCTGTCCCGAGTGAAATACATCAAACATCAATTTTCCACAGGTGGAACTGTATAGCTTCATTGTCCTTTTATATACATCAGGAATTCGTATTCGGTTGCAATATTCGTTTCAATCCAGGGTCAAGTCCCCACTTTAGTATTTATTCATGTCATGTAAATATTTGATACTTGTTTACTTCCTCAATCATTTTGTCTAGCTCTAAGTTCAAGTTAATGTTCGTTAACCGCATTAGATACTGCGCATAAACATCTACACGCACTGAAGACAAATCTACATGCAACATAATAGCAAAGAAGTATTTGCACGGTCACGTGTCATTTTATTTTAAATTATTTTATAAAAACCCCTAATTTTCATTCATTCCAAATTTCCTCAAACTTGGCACACATCAGTAAGACAGTATACAATCTTTGCCCCTATGTCCTATAATCTGCTTCCTTGCCAGCTTCGAACCATTTAGATTCACGACACAATTTAATAAATAAATGATCAATCCCAGGGTCCAAAATAATGGTGACAGTTTTATGACAGTCCGCCGTGTTTCTTTGTCATAAAAGGAGCAAATGATATATTGGTTTATATCAGGGAACACCACTGTGCCAACATAGAATGCCTTTCCTTCCTGATATCTATAACATATCCTGTTTGTTTATGGGGGTGAAGTGGCTGATATCTTTAACAGGCCTTTCGGAACCATTCATTTCTACCTACATATTCATGTTATTAATATTATCCTCAGCGACTTTACAAAGAATAGCAAAGTATAAGCACAACTTGAAGGTGGTTATACAATTGCCATTCAAGTCCCTAGTACAGCACCGTAACTGTTATATCAACTAAATTCGCAAGGATGAAAAATCCGCAACGGTGAAAAAACCTCGTACCGGAGATCCGGTGATCTGGTGATAAATTGAATCGGTGATCCGGTGAACCGGTGAATCGGGTGAACTTAATCGGAAAGGCGTGAGGCGGCTTTACAATACTGATGTCAAGCCATGAACAAACTTTGCTAAACCTAGTTATTGTGGTGTTAACTATTAAACTTGATATACTATTTGAAGCTTTGGGATATAAAACGTGCATTTGATTTAAATTTAGTTTTATCGAACTGACATGAACTCATCACAACAATTGCAGAGAGATGTCGTACTAACCTCAGCCTTCTATATTAACTTGAAAACATTATGACAAGTTCTGCAGTGTTGAAAACTAAGTCTACCCTCTAAATGTCAAAATGAAAATTGGGGCACGCACCCTGGTCTTGCTGTCATGATTCGAGCTAGCTGAGGCATATAGGCTATGGGTGCAAGCTAGTTAATCCAATCGGTTTTGTGCTTACCCTTTCGTTGCCCATGACGAGTTTGCAGACTTAATATAAAAAAACGACACTCCGTTATTGAACACTCCCTACAGTTTGTACTGCTGATACTGACTGAGTACCACTCGTCACTGTTAAACACTCCAGGCAGGCAACGCTTCGTCAAACATCGAGGTCGGTCGACAGACCATAAAAGACTACCATATTGGTCCGTTCTCACTCAATTTACATAACATTTGAAGTACGAACATCATAAGCAAAGTTTTAACAATGGTTGGCTGACCTTTTTCTTTAAATTCAAGGTTGAGTGTGGAGTAGCTGAGCATGATAGGTTCAACATGTGGGTTTATTTTTATGTTTACCTAATGCACTCTGCTGATGATGGCCTTGCAACTTTGCAAGTTAAGCGGATATACATTAGACCCACTCGGCATATTGAAACTACATGACTTTAAGCTGTTATATATTTAACATGAATAGAAAATGAAATTCCAGGTCTACTATAGTTCCGTCTGTTATTCCAATCTCCTATATATCTTTTTATTTATCTTGCCAAAGCTAATTAAAAAAATGACAGGTTGTAGCAGGTTATTTTCATATACGAAAGGGATTTGTAATTGTAATTGGAAACCCGGCTTCATATACAATAGCAAAAGTAGTCAGTTCGTTGATACAGAAAGTTGAATAAACACGTACTGAAGGAATTCGTTTACACACACAGCGTGTGTGTGCCAGTTTCGGATCTGACCGTGCCCTTGCCCTGTGGAGACATGTACACAATAGGAAACAAAAGATTGTATACGTCACCACAGGGCAATTTCCACAACAGTTTTTACGAAATGGATATATAGATTTTACTCAGAAACTAGGAATTTCCAAGGTGGGTTGATCCGTCGTAAATGGAAGAGTTTTAGAAAAGGGATATTAAGTGCGAATTTCAGCCAAGGAAATGATCGACTCCTGTTAAAATAAGAGCATTTTGAAAGTTCACTTTCAAGCTCAAAAACTTCACTACACGAGAACTAAGAAATGTCTTCAAAGGATACAAATCTCAGTATGTGTGTTTCTGCATTCAACAGGGGACGATGAACAATTATGGATGACATTAGGGTCCCCAATTCCCGATTCCCAATTTGGATTCGTGTACAAAACACATTGGAGGTCTTACTAATAGGTTAGAGTACAGACAAAAGAGGGACAATATAGGTGCTCTGCCAAAGCATAATGAGGAATAACTCCCACCTTTGACTTTTCACGAACGTTATGTACATCATGTTCAAGCGCAAATCCAGTGGCGCGCCCTCATGGGGCTTGTCCTCCCCACCCAAGAGGTTGTCAATTTTATTTTTTATCTTTTATTAGTCCCACAATTTGACCTTTGTGATTATAATCTGTGGCCTTTATTTCGAGCAGTATAATAGGGGTGTAAGTGGCGCCACCTTCGTCAAAATAGTTCCCCCCTGTTTTTCTGAGGCCATTTGAAAAAAAGAAGCTTCTAATCAATTTGAAAACAAAACAGTTGTGAGCCCCCCCCCCCCCCCCCCAAGCAAATCCTGGGTGCACCACTGCGCAAATTATTGGCTTTTCAATGATACCAAATTCATATCTGTAGGTTAATTGATTTCAAAGGTATGACGCAGGAACTTCTACAGTGTCTTGCCAAGTTTCGTAACCTCATTTCGAGAAAAACGGCTTTGGACAAGCATTGCGCCGCCAACGGCAGTGAAAAACAATCTCCAGTTTTTCCACTTTTGCGGGTATTTTTTTCCCAACAAATATTCACAGTGTGAATCTTGGATGCCTTGGCTACTCAAAAATACAAAACAATCAATATCGATTTTGACACGATTTTTCAAGTACATTTGTACATCCGACTTCAGGCGTTTATTTGTCAGGGACAGTCCTCATTTTGTCTGAGTAGGTCACGATTGCAGGCAAATCAGTACACACTAATGTGTGGGTGGGTGTCGGGGGTTGAGGTCATCGGCATTTTGTATGGGGGACCAAGGGCAGATTTATACCGTTCCCCCCCAAAAAAAAAAATTGGCATTGGCCGAGGCCGACTGGTCAGCCAGCTGATCATTTGACGGTAAGTGGGCACATGCATTTTTTGGTACTAATTTTCTCTTGTCTGTTCTCTTGTAATTCGCATTGCACAAACACGATCGTCGTATGAGGGGAAGCAAATTCGGTTTCCGTGCTCCATCATACCATCGATTAAAAAGTAGTCGCACATACTCTTTGGTTTCATTACAAACGGAAAATAAATTACTCTTTTTGGGGGAGGGGCAAATTTCAGGGGTTTTAGGGGGGAAGGGGGTGCACCCCCCCCCCCCCCGTGGCTATGACATTGTTTACACACTAAGTCACAAGTAATAACGATTGACTTTAGGACCTCTTAAACTAGACACTCTGCGATAGCTGTATCTGTCGTAAATTACAATTGAACCGTTTGAAGGAGTTCAAAGTACGATAAGGTACATGTATGGGGTAAAGGTCGTGGTACTCATGTGTAGGGTGCGACTCAGTTGTAGATACACCGGGACAAGATGGACTCATTCTCCGGCTTCGGCCCGCTCGATGCCCGCTCGATACTCCTCGGTCTCGTGGTGTTTCTGGTGCTGTATCGTTTCCTTCGCCGTGCGCCGCTTAATTTACCGCCTGGCCCCACGGGCTGGCCGGTGCTTGGGTACCTACCACAGCTAGCCACGGCTAGGGACGATCCACATGTTGTCTTTTCCAAATTGGCTGCAAGGTATATTTTTGAGTATTATTTACTGACGGTCTGGTCATCATCAAAGCAAGCCTGCGACTTTTTGTGTTGATAGCTTTTATGCTTTAATTACACAGTGCTGATATGCAAAAACATTGTCTAGCCCCCCAAAAATTGTCAAGCCCCCCCCCAAAATAAAACTCCGTCAAAAAATAATGATCTGACCGATGATATAACACAAAATTGGCAGTAGCAAATGTTAAACGGCGACGTCACATGCGAACGGTCTCCCCTAAACAATATAGTCGTGAGAAGGGTGCATTTGTACACTATAATAATTTAGTGTGTATGATTGTAGGATTTTATCAGCGCTCCCCATTGAAAATATGGTACCCCCCCCCCCCCCCCACACACACACACACACACCCAGCCACCCACACACCTATTGATTTTAAGTGTCCGGAGAAAATAACCGGTCTACATTTCAGCACGCCTCCCTGCACACATTTCTGGATCCACCCTGCTAGCCCCCTAAAATATAGGCTGTAGAACCGCGCCTGAATTTGAACACGGGCCGGGGAGCTATATATACAAATGCAGGTTTCTCCTACCTGGATATAAGTAAAAAGTAAAAGTAGTCTGTTTCTGGCCAATATGGCTCGTCAGGCAAGCGTTTAATTAGCTCCGGGGAGTGAGGCCTAATTATAGTTAGGGTTTGTGACTCGTGATCATAGGGTCAGGGGTTCGCATCCTGCTGCCTGCCAAATGATGTGTTATTGGGCAGGCCATCTTACCGGTACCCCAACTTGCCTCTCTCCATTAAGGAGTATAAAGTACTGGCATAAACAGGATATAATCAAACCTATGATGGACTGACATCCGGCCCAAACAAGTGAAATATTCTCACTCGTTTCACAGGAACTATGTAGATAATCTTCTAAAAATAAAACCCTTCATAAATTAGGTATGGCGATATCATCAGCGTGAATTTGGCGGGGACTCTGGTGGTAGTTCTGCACGGGTACCACACCATCAAGGAAGCCTTCAATCTCCACCAACTCAGCGCCAGACCCACCCTCTACGTCAGTGAGAGGCTCCGCCCCGGTGTAGGTAAGCCTGTCTGGATGAAACACTAGCTTTATATTAATTAAGTCCCGAGTCAGATTTGCCATAGGTATAATACTGACCCGAAAACTGGGAGTAAATATAGTTTGTCATATTCAAGGGCGCACCCAAGTGTATGTGTGTGTGTGTGTGGGGGGGGGGGGGGGGGGGGCGCCTCGGGGGCCTTTAGCCCCCCCCCCCCTCCGCCCGCAAGAGGTTGTCAATTCTCCTAAACGTCCCATGATTTGACCGTGGTGACATGTATGTGGCCTAGGGGTGTAAATAGCGCCACCAACGTCATAAAAGTCCGTCCCCTCCCCTCCCCTCCCCTCCCCTCCCCCCCCCCCAAAAAGGGCAACATTTTGTTAAAAAAATCGAACTTCTACAAAAATTTGGAAAACAAATTGTGGGACCCCCCCCCCCCCGGCCAACTCCTGGGTGCGCCACTGGTCAGATTAACAAGACAGTATCTTCTATCTTTTCTGGGTGACGAGTTATCGAGTCAGATGAGTTCAATCCTTGTCATCATGAGAAGTCCTACAAAAACGATGAATTAGAGATTCAGGCCAGTCAGATCAGTAGTGACACCTGTTATAGGGAATTGAAATCTGAAAAAAAAATGTAAACGTTGGTCGGCATTTTGTCCAAACCCAAACATTGATGCCAATACTCAGAAATATGCCGCACTAAAGATGTGTTACGGACACTATTTTGGGTCGATATGAACAGTTTTAAGTCTTTTGGGGGGTCCTATTTATAATAGGTATCATAGCGTCCTCTGGCGAGATATGGACTGAGATCCGGAGGTTTTCCTTGACCGTCCTGAGAGGCTTCGGAGTGGGCAAGTCCAGTTTCGAAGAAAACATTGCAACGGAGGCAAAGTTCCTGATTGAGGAATGGCAGAAGGAAGATGGATCCCCGTTCGACCCAAAGCACCTGATATCAAGCGCCGTGTCGAACGTCATCTGCTCCGTAGTCTTCGGTGAGCGGTTCCAGTACACCGACGACAACCTCCAACGTCTTCTCCAATACTCGGACGACATCTTGGATCAGGTCGGGGCAGGGGGCGCCATCGAATTCTCGTCCTTTCTCTCGAAACTCACGTTCCTGCCGAGCATCAGGAGGTACGTGGCGACGGCCAGGCGGTTCAACGAACAGATCGACTTGATGGTGCGCGCGCATGCTGTCGACTACGACGCCGACAGCCTTCGTGATCTGATCGACACCTTCCTAAAGCAGAAGGAAGTCAAGGAGTCGACGGCTGGTGGGGAATCTAAAGTGTTCACCGGGAACAACCTGAAGAAGGTTGTCGGTGACCTTTTCATGGCTGGAAGTGAGACTACGACCACAACCCTGAGATGGAGTCTGCTCTACATGATGACCTACCCTGAGGTGCAGAGCAGGGTGCAGAAGGAGCTTGATGACGTCACAAGGAGGAATCGATTCCCCCGGATGTCGGACAGACCTGATCTACCGTACACAGAGGCAGTTATCTGCGAACTGCAACGGATCAGCACCATCGTACCGCTAGCGGTCCCTCACTGCAGCACCGAAGACATCACATTTCAGGGGTAAATACCCATGTCAACTTTTCCATCGCAACGAAGTTTTTTATTATTTTTTGTTAAAGATTATTTTCATGATTTTCAGGTGTTCACGATCTTATCCAGTTAAGTTAGAATAACCTCATGGCATCTTCTTCCCACCTATAACAAACACAAAATAGTGATTGATTACGGTATCTGCTGCTAGACTCGAATCCGCCATGCCAGTTAATTGATGCCGGCCGAGGGTGGTCGAGTGATATTAAAGATATCTGTTCTAAGTTATAGTAAGCAAGAGGTCTTGTGTTCGAGTCCAAGCTTGTGAAATTCCTTCTAACAAGCTCTCGGAGACAGTGCTTATGGATTTTCATCTTCACAACGCAAACATTCCATCAACAGAAATTGTAAGTGCAGCATGCAGTCAATGAAATTCATCCTTCAAACGGGTTGTGAATAATTAGATCTTACAATTTGAAGATGTCTTGGTGGAGACGAAGCATGATAATGTTAATGAGTGATCATATGTTTTGTTACATCATGCACATTTTCCCTTTGAAAACCATGCAGGTACACCATTCCGAAGGGGGCGATCGTGCTGTCCAACCTTTGGCATGACCACTTCGACCCTGCGGTATGGGAAGAGCCTGAAGCGTTCCGTCCGGAGCGATTCCGGGATAAAGACGGCAAGCTGATCAGCCGTGAAGAGCTGACAGTTTTCGGCATAGGCAAGTAAAAGACTGTTTCCAATAGTTTGGAATGGTTTGGACTGTTTCCAATGAGAAATCTGAGCACTGGGAGGGGGGGGGGGGGTTGTAGGAGAGGGGTTCACACCCCCTTAACCGCAAAAAAGCAGGGGAAAAAGAAAAATCATGCAGAAATGAGAGCTCATGCATGTCCGCTACACCCTCACAGCCAAAGCTTGGATCCGCCCCTGGAGAGGTCACCAACGACGTGGGCCGGGATAGGGCGATAGACTTTATTCACAAGTCAGCCATATTGAATTGAAAGCGAGGTAAACTCTTCATTTTTGGGAATTTGCAAGTAGAAATGAAAGCAATGAAATGAAAGTTCATTACAAAGTAAAAGCAGTCTGGTCTGATGAATAATTAAAAAATTGTGATGGAACACACCCCATTGTTTTAAACCACATTTAAAATTATTAAAAGTGAGGCTTGGAACGCACTCCAATCATAAAATAGTCTGGCACCATTCCATTCAACAGTTTACAATGTATAAAACAGACGCAGGGAACACGATCGAAAATGGCTTCCTCGTGAATATTCGAATAAGGTCTAAGGGGTCAAGAGTTCCACCCCACTCTCTCTTTGTAACCGTTGAGGGGGTACTTCTGCGCTAAGTCCGTGGACAAAAAAGGAATAATGTCTCTAGGTTCAAGTGTATTCTAGTACTTTCTGATAATCTCTCTTGTGGGCTCCTAGGTCGGCGCATCTGTCTTGGAGAGCATCTTGCCAGGATGGAACTTTTCATTTTCTTCACTCTGCTCCTGCACGAGTTCACCTTCAAGAATCCCCCAGATGCTCCTCCTGTCTCGCTCCAAGCGATCAACGGAGGTACATGGGCGCCTCTGAGTTTCAAAGTTTGCGCCGTTCCCCGGGCATGAGAGCGACAGCGATATGCTTCAAAGTTCCGATAGAATCGAAAACCATACTATTAAACTGACATCATAACTCTTTTTAACCTGGGGGATTTGACGAAGATTTTTTTTTAAGGGATACGACCATTAAACTTGATCATAGAATAGAATCATAGATTCTACCCAAAGAACGACTCATAGTTTCTGTCCGCTGGAGGAAGCTCCACTACTTCGGATATCTGACCAGGGGACGTGCTGCGGAGTTATAGGAGCAACAATCCTGGAAGGCAAAGTGGAGGGCAAAACTCAAGAGGCCGACCCAAAGCAACCTGGGGAGACAACATCAAGGCCTGGACTGGACTGGACTCGGCATCCACACACAGTGTGGCGCGCCAAAGATCGCCCAAACAAAGTTGGCTAGTATACAAATATTGAATGCTTCGAGTGGTGTAGTAAAACTAGCCTCCCGAGGTGATCCGTGGACATTCTATTTTCCCGAGGTGAAGCCGAGGGAAAATAGAATGGTCCATGGATTTAATATTTTAAATTATTTAAATCTGAACACAGTTGAAATAAACTTCAATTTCAATACAAAATTGGTGGAAATGTATTTCTCTCTTCCAAACTACCCCTTTACGAAATGTATAAACCCAAGTCTGCGGCGCGCTCTCTTTGGAACAATACGCGCTACGCGCAACGCGCAACGCGCACACCAGCATCCATTTGCACACAAATACCGCGCCGTGGAAATAGTACTTTGGTTGCTAATGGTATAGTACTTTGGTTGCTACGGGTATAGTACTTTTGACCGTGCATAGAAAGATAGCAAAATTAGAAAGTAACATGTGACTCGCTCTCGGCCAATCAAGACACAGAATCTGTGGGTGAGGTGTTATAATGCCACCCACCCTCTGTCACACGTCAGAGGACGGCACTGGATAGGATAGGATAGCAGTCTTTCGTCACTAATTTTTCAATTGTTCATTTTTCAATTGCGAGTATAAATATTCTCAGCAGCCGTTCAAGAAAGTGCGCCCTCGACCTCGGACGACATCAGTACTTTAAACTGAGGAAGAGGATTTGAGGTTGTCAGAAAACCTTTGGTAAAGTTTTAAGAAAACCGTAATATGTCTCACCAAATCTATACGATAATGAATACAAAGAAATGTTGATACTAATATGAAAAGTACAGATGAGACAGTTTGTGCTGTACCTATAACATCTATAACATTAACTTGCCGGGGCGCAATGACTTGTAGGCCCTAATCATGATAATAAATAAGTCTGACAGCACGTGTCCTGCTCGGCAAAGGTTTTGCAGCGCAAACAGTCTTGACTCGCACAGTCGTAAACTACCGACAAATCTGCTGCACCATAGGCGAAACGTTTTCGTAATCCCCCCCCACCCCCACTAGCTATCGTCATCCCCGCCCCCACTCGTCGACAAATACAAATCCCCCCTCGCAAAATACGGACGGACTAGAGCAAGTCTAGTGGTGACTATGGCCGGCAGGTGAACAACATCTTGGGAAGTTTGACCTTCGGCCGCGAAATCGATCAGCACACAATGCATGCCGGTGATAAAGGGCCCAGTACATGTAACGGCATCATTTACAGAAACTACGTAAACGTACGGTAGGCCCACATGTAGAAATTTTGACAAAACACACTGGTCATAGAAGAGCAAGTAGTACGTACAGTTTTCAGCGTGCAGGTCCTGTACCGTCCGCGGGAAGATGAAAGCGATTGACGGCATGATGGCTCTCGACGCCCGCTCGGTACTCCTCGGTCTCGTGGTGTTTCTGGTTCTGTATCGTCTCCTTCGCCGTACGCCGCGTAATCTGCCGCCTGGCCCCACGGGTTGGCCGGTGCTAGGCTATCTACCACAGCTCGCCATGGCAAAAGAAGATCCGCAAAAAATATTCTCCAAACTAGCTGCCAAGTAGGTATAATAGTCCAAAATCCTAACAGTGTAACAGGCTGTGTTTCATTTCTCCATGGCTACACGTACATGTATTCTCTTATAGTCGATAATTACGAAATCCAAATGCTACTACATGTCCATGATGTATCTTCAACAGTGATTTCCGTATGAGCATTCGTTGCAGCTCCATGCATGGAGAAATAAAACACATGTGTTTTATTTCTCCATGCTCCATGGTATGAATGGTGGGCGTCAACTTTTAATATAAGGGGGTATACATTTGTATAGTGAAATTAACTTAACTCAAATATTTTGTGCCAATATTTTCATTCCTCAAACTATATGAATTTAATCCGACGCCTGTTTAGGTTGAAATCTTTTTGAAAGAAATCTTTTTTTGTTTGTTGAAAAAATGTCCGTAATTTCCGACCCTGTGTGCGCTCTGCAGTTAAGTTGAGATTTGATCTCTATTCAAATGCAGTTCGCTCAATGCTTAAACGTGTACTAAAATAAAGGCAAATAAGTGGACTATTAAAAAAAAAATTGACCCGCCTCAGGAGAAAATCTGGCTCGACAATAAAACCACGACTAAAAATGAGGGTAGTGCCTCTACTTTAATATAAAGGGGTACTAGTGATTAGTGAAATTAACTTTACTCTTAAATATTTTGTGCCAATATTTTCCTTCCTCTAACTATATGAATTTAATCGGACGCCTGCTTAGGTTGAAATCTTTTTGAAAGAATTTTTTTTTGGCAAATAGCAATGTCGGTAATTTCCGACCCTGCATGCGTTCTGCAGTTAATTTAAGATTTGGTCTCTATTTAAATGCAGTTCGCTCAATGCTTAAACGTGTACTAAAATAAAGGCAAATAAGCAGACTATTACAAAAATTGACCTCAGGAGAAAATCTTGCTCGACAATAAAATCACGACTAAAAATGAGGGTAGGCAAAGGAATCCGTTAAGTTACATGTAGGCCTATCTATCGCGCAGACCCTGTAATATTTTCCTCTATCTTTTAGCTCACAATTTGTTTGCATTTTTTTTGGAATGCCGAATCAAATCACACAACTCGCTCACGTTCGCCATTTCACTTACAGATACGGTGACGTGATCAGTGTGAATTTGGCGGGAAATCTGCTGGTGGTTCTACACGGAGTTGACGCCATTAAAGAAGCCTTCAATCAGCCGCAGCTGAGTGCTAGACCGAAACTACACGTGAGCGAGAAGCTTCAGCCTGGGGTTGGTAAGTGAAAAATATTGGGCATTTAATGAAGAACATAGGTTTTACTACCCGTAATTTGCCACTTCATCGGTATGCCTCCAATTTTGGGAGAAGAAATAAGTGACAACATGTCGTGGTGTCCAGTGACACACGCACCACAAACCCAAGGCTGGACTCGAACCAACAACCGGCAGAATTAGATCTTGAGTTGATGCTCCAGAACCCGATCGGGGCTATGGCACTCGATCCACTAACTTGCTGGTACAAACGCCCAAAAATTTAACAGATCGTCCAGAAAAGCATTCTTGCTGAAGATAATTAGACATTTTGCGTTACGAACTTAAAAACTATCCCAATCCGCTTTTGTAGGTATTTTTATTTCGTCTGGCGAGATCTGGACAAAGATCCGGAGATTTTCCTTGACCGTTTTAAGAGGCTTCGGAGTGGGCAAGTCCAGCTTCGAAGAGAACATCGCAACGGAGGCAAAGTTCCTGATCGAGGAATGGAAGAAAGAGGCAGGAACTCCCTTCGAACCCAGACACCTGATTTCACGCTCCGTCTCCAACGTCATCTGCGCCGTGGTCTTCGGCGAGAGGTTCCAGTACACCGACGAGATGTTCAGGCGTCTCATCCACTGCACTGATGACGTCTTCGAGAAGATCGGAGCCGGTGGCGCCATCGAATTCTCGCCCATCTTTGCCAAACTCACGTTCCTACCTGTCGTCCGGAGATACAAGGAGTCAGCCCAAGCTCTAATTGACCAGATTTGGTTAATGATAGAGAAGCACAATCGGGACTATGACGCCGACAACATCCGCGATTTCATCGATACGTTCCTTAAAGAGCAGAGCAAATTCGGCGAGTCTGAGGTCTTTAATGTCGACAACATGAGACAAGTGGTCGGCGACCTGTTCGTGGCTGGGAGCGAGACCACCACGACGACCCTGCGTTGGAGTCTGCTGTACATGATGGCCTACCCCGAGGTACAGACCCGGGTGCAGAAGGAGCTGGATGACGTCACAGGAAGGAATCGATTCCCCCGGATGTCAGACAGACCTGATCTGCCGTACACAGAGGCAGTTATCTGTGAGCTGCAACGGATCAGCACCATCGTACCCCTAAGCGTACCCCACGTTTGCTCTGAGGACACCACAGTTTTAGGGTAAGTAAAGTATCCGGACTTAGTTTTTCTCCAATATTTCAGAAACTAGGGTCCAAATCCTACGAGGCAAATTGACTGGCAACTTGGAGCATGTAACCAACCGCACTTTAAGTTTTAAGGAAGAACATTAACAAAGTACATACACTGTATTTTTGAGTAAACCGTTCATGTGAATTCTTGTGGAACTTTGCAGGGAATTTAAAGTTGTCTGGAACAAGTTTCTTGTAAAATTGCAATGTATTACACGGCCCCAAGAGTAGAAGATGGTACGACTCGAATTGTGCACGCGTTACCAGAGTTATTTTGAATATAAGTAATATATTTTAAGGACATTTTGTTCAATTTGTTCAACCTTTGCGATTGCTCAACCGAATAAACGGTAATTACCCCCACAGACCAAGGTTTTAATTGTTAATCACAGAGTTTTGTTCCTCGATTTAGGTACGATATTCCGAAGGGCACTTTTCTCCTCGCTAACCTGTGGCACAACCACTTCGACCCTGCGGTATGGGAAGAGCCCAAGTCGTTTCGTCCGGAGCGATTTCTGGATGACGACGGCAAAGTGATCAGCCGCGATGAGTTGACCCCTTTCGGCATAGGCAAGTAGATTTATACAGCATGTACAGTACTTACCGAAGTCTCTTGGGCACTTCCCAAACCACCGCGGAGCTCGAAGCTTTCTGCTTTCAGTTGCCTAATTTTAGGGACTGTTACTGCAAACCCTATACACTGTATAAATGTACGTACAGTATAGTTTGAAGTTGTCCAATGGGATCGAACCTATACAGCCTCCAACTTGTTCCGGGACTAGAGAGAAAGCCTAAGCCGAAATGACGCCGACGTTTGAGAAACTGCCATAGATTAATGGGTTAATTTGGTGTCACTTTAATTATTTCTGCAACTGAAGAGAATACTCTTCAGAGGAGCTATGTAAATGTAGTTTAGAAAAAAAACTGCGGAAATGGACGACGTTGTGTCGTGTAGGCTGAAGGAAAAGGTTTTTTTGCCAGGAAAACCACGAAATTGTGTTGAAACAAACAAATCAGGGTTGGGATTTGAACCAAGTTCACAGACATGGAATCACAATCCCGATGTGTTGTAGTATTTGGAATTTTAACCAGTGTTTCTTCTGAATTCCTCCTTAAGGTCGGCGAATCTGTCTAGGAGAGCATCTTGCCAGGATGGAACTCTTCATCTTCTTCACTCTCCTCCTGCACGAGTTCACCTTCAAGAATCCCCCAGATGGTCCCCCTGTGTCACTCGAAGGCACCAACACCTCGACCTGGGCGCCCAAGAATTACAAAGTCTGTGCTATCCCTCGAGGGTGACCGACTCACACAGGCGGCTTCTAATCAGTAACAGAAGAATGTTGCGAATCTTCCAACAGTCATTATCACATTATTTCTATCATGCAAAATATTATATGTACACAGATTATGCATTACCAGTTGATTGTCAATAATGTGACCAAAGCCTTTCAGAAGTTGTGTACATTTATTACATTTTCGTAACATTTACATTGCAGTACTGCTGGACTTGCATTATTTTCTTATTGTCATGGTCAAGTTAAGGAATACGGGTTTAATATATAGTATCCTCATGGTCGTTGAGATACTGTAAGTAGAAATACATGTAGTATGTTTGGTATAAGTACATTTTGAAGAAACCGAACTCCAAACACTCTTGTTGACTCAACCGATGGGCAGCCGTGTTAGTCAAAACAGCTACAGGTTGAGTAGATTATGTAGCATATTTTAAAGCTTAACTTATAAACTTGCTCAACCGTTCGCAGCAAGCAGTTCCATGAGCGAAACCCTCAAGAATCATTCAAATCACTCATGTACTTTTCAAGTTACTGAATTTTAAACACAACCGCCTTTTTAAAGTTCTGTCCACAGATCACAAAAAAGGTTTGTGTTCTTTCAGCGCAACGAACACAATTCACACACATTATGTGATATTAAGACAAGATAAGTTTGCGGTAGCACCATGTGAATAAATCCCTTTTGTAAGTATGTGTGGTTCTGAAAAGAACCTTTTGTGGTTCTTTTCAGAACCACACATACTCAGAACCACACATACTCACAAAAGAGATTAATTCACATGGTGCTACCGCAAACTAGGCTTGTCTTAGTATCTTTCCACCATGCAAACCTTCAAATCTCATCATATGTGATTTGTTTTCGTTTTGCTGAAAGAACACTTTACCGTTTTGTGATCCGTGGACAGAACTTTAAAACAATGCATGGTTGTGTTTAAAATTCCGTAACTTGAAAAGTACATGAGTGATTTGAATGATTCTTGTACAAACAGAAAGCTTATGAATTGGGCTTTCATATCCTAGCTTTTAAAATGGCTACATGCAGAACTTCACTAAAACAATGGTCGCAACATTTGGATTTCGGTTCATATTTATTCACCATGTACACATGTACAAATAAATATGAAAAGAATGGCTTTAAACTTAGACAGCAGATGTCTCGTGATGAACTCATAAGCTGGACTTTAAGATGGACTCAATTTAGTGTAATGGACACATTTTAGTTGGGGTGATGGTGCAGTTATATGTAAAATTGTTCTCAGAGTGACACCAGGAAATCTTTGAGTGGTGACTGTGTGTTGGCCTTCTCCTGCTTGGCCCCGGCCAGCATCCGCTGCAGTTGCTGGTGCTTCTGCTTGTTGAGATTCCGCGCCTTCCTGGCGGAGGCTGACAGCGTGCCGGCAGGGGTGACACCGGGGGATGCGCGGTGCCCTTGTGCTGTCGGTGTGGTGAACGGGGATGCGAACTTTCTGCGGAGAAGAAAACATATCACTGAATATTGATTATTTTGGAATGTCGTTATTTTTTTTATATTTAAAAAAAAAAATAATGCACAGTGGTGTTAATGGAAATAAAATGTGAAAAAAAGCGGTTCAATGGTTTAATTTAAGTTCGTTGCGCCATGGTGGTCAAAACTTTAGGAAGAATCTAAACTCTATTTGTTGTGGCGTACTTTCTACTGATTGAGATAAGCTAACGGACTGAGATGGGTTATGTATCATCAGCTAATCTTTTTTTGTTAAAAAAATTCCAGTGTTGTTATACACCGCGTTCCCACTTGAATTGGAAAAAGGTGGATCAAGATCCGGCATTTTGGTGTGATCGTTATCTTACCGCAACGAAACCGCAAGTCGCGTTCCCACTTATGCTTGATCCACCTTTTCGTACGGAAATGTCGGGTCCGAAAGGTCACTGAGTTCGGAATTACGCGCGCTCTGTGGGAGTGCCATTGTTGCATGGTTGCATGCTAGGCCAGGATGGGTCAGTTTTCAAACAGCACTATCAGAATTCAACGACAAAAATTACGCGAATTCACCAACATAAATCACGGATCCGTAGAGGATCCGTGCGTGCATAAATTAACAGGTGAAATCCAACAGAGCCGCTCATTGTGTGACATCACGGCAGAAACCAATGCATCGATAAGGGATTCCCTGGTTCTGAAGCTTCTCATTGGTTAGAAACGGTCACATGATGTACTACGACATCATTTTCCAATGTTCTATAGTCAATACTTCACATTTGTCACCTCCGTACGTACCGCGTTATCGGCACTATTCTCATCGCATACTCGTAAGCTTTTCCATGATTCTGTGCCAAAGTGGAGTCTTTTGGTGAGTGCGGACTCAGAGTCATTTATGGATGGAAAAATAAGTAAAATTTCACGAATGAAAAAGGTTTAGTAATGGACGAACACGCAACAAAAATAAGGCCTAGTGTAGGTTTAGGATACCACGTGCGCTTTTGCATGCGCGGTGCTAGCCCGTAGTTCAGTGGTTGTTTATTGTGCATGTTGTATACGCTGGAAATGTTCACATGAGCTACACGCCTGAAAACGTGTTTCTTCGTTCATGAGACCGCAACATTTTCGCGCCACTCGTGCACCGGGCGGATGTTACCAGGTCAAATTGCCGGATCAGATCCACCTTTTGCGTTCCCATCTGATCGTGATCCGGCAATTGCCGGATCTGATCCACCAATTGGGGGATCTGTATCCTGGTCCAGAGGTGGATCAGAAAAGGTGGATCTGATCCTGATCCACCTTATAACGGTTAGCGTTCCCACTACACACAATTGCCGGATCTGATCCACCAATTGGGGGATCTGATCCGGCAATTTGGCAAAAGGTGGATCAGATCCCCCAATTGGTGGATCAAGTGGGAACGGGGTCACTGTTGTAGTCCAATCATGATCCCAGTCCCAGGTTTATTTAGATTACCGTGGCACTAAAAACGATCTGTGGAATCTAAAGTATCATTGAAACTCGATCCAGAACTAAAGAAACCTTCAAAGTTTTTGTTGTTCTGCATTCAAGTTTACTATTAAAAGCTACCGGCTGTCACAAGTGACTGTGTATATTCTCCTTAGTATCATTTATTCATTGAATTGACTTATTTGGTTGAGTGGTTTTGAGTGTTTGTATGGGTGTGTGTGTGTGTGTGTGGATTCAGTGATAGGTTGTAAGTTCCAGTGATGAATATTCAGTATTGTTGAGTAAGCCATTCATGGTATGTGGGTGTGCCAAAGAAAGTGCTTTGTTACCCATGTGTGCCATAGTTAGCAGTATGAGTGATTAGTAGAGTATGAACATTTGTCAAATGCCTTCCAAAAATTCCTTGCATGGGAGCGGCTTGGGGTTTTGCCTATGCTAAGCTGCTGCAGGCACTTGCTCGCCAGACACACGAGAGAGAGGACCTATTTTGTCCTTCAACTAGAATCACACAGCTAGTCTGATTTTATTGCCAGCTTTAGCCTGAGCAGCCAACAATCACAGTTCAATACTGACAGTCTGTGGTCTGCATAAAAAGCTGACATTGTATGCAACTCCGAGAGAGTTTTGAAGATGCTAACTGTAAGTTTAAATTATTTTCTTTGCCCACTTTATTTATTGTATTAATTAGAAGTGAATTGATTCAATTGTAAAATCCGAGTTTGAATTCTTTACTTGCTAAAAATGTTGCGGAATCTTAGTGGGATTTTGGCTTGTAAAATTTCTAATCTCAGATGGCACAAAGAATGGGGAGATATTTCTACCGAGTAGAGTGAGCTTCGCACTACCCTGAGGAACTGAAGCTCTTGTCCAGGACCCCTACCTCTACCGGACCCCTTGGACCGGAATCTGAGTGATGCTGCATAGACAGTTGGCAGGCTGACAAGGACCTGGCGGCAGTCACCTTAATGATTGTATAAAATAACTGGCGAAATACCATAAACTTGATTTGGATTTTGAATGTGAGAGTGTAAATATTTTTAAATCAACAAGATTGAAAGAAGGATTAATAATTATTCAATTTTCCCGAAGATAATATTTGATGTGGTATTGGCAATCTAAATGAATTGAGATTAATACAGAAAGAAAAGAAGGTTGACCTAAAATTGAAGAAGTGTTTGAACTAAAATTGAAGAAGTGTTTGAACCAAAATTGAAGAAGTGTTTGAACCAAAATTGAAGAAGTGTTTGAACTAAAATTGAAGAAGTGTTTGAACCAAAATTGAAGAAGTGTTTGAACCAAAATTAAAGAAGTGTTTGAACCGAAATTGAAGAAGTGTTTGAACAAAAATTAATGAATTGTTATTGAAAGAGTAAATTGCGATAGAAACAGAAAGGTTTCAACTTAAACAGAAAAGAAAATTGATAAACTTGAAGTGAATTACGATTTGTGAATTTTGAGGTCAAATTGAAGATACCGTGATTAATAAGTGAATCTAAGAAACGAATTGAGAATTTTTGAGATTGCACAAAGATTTTGTGATTGAAGTTTAAGAAGTGAAAGTTTAAAACTTCACGGGTTAATTGGTGATTTGAAGTTGTGAATTGTTACAAGTTGAGAAAACAAGGATTGTTTGAGTTAAAGATTCACGAGATTTGAAGGAAAGTGCAGAAATTGAAAATTGGAGAATAATTAAGAGGTGAAGATTTGAGAATTGAAAATTTGAAGAATTGATAGATTTAATAGAATTGAGTGATAAATTTGACTTAAGTGATCAACCTAGATTGGACTATGCCATTTTGTGGAATTGAATAATTGAATTACGGGTACAACTCATCTAAATATCGTGAGCTATTTTACTGATTAGATTTCTGAATGCATTGATTACTGAATTTTAGAATCTCAAATAATTTTAGTGCAGCTCATGTAAAATCCTCTTTTTATTGTGACGTCCATTTTATAACTTTGAAATTGTAAATTTGGAGACGAATACTTGAGATTTTAAAACTTGTCTGGGCCCAAATTTCCGTTCGATCAGTTGAGTGTAATTTCATATCAGTTTTGGGAATTGTTAAATTTTGATAGTGAATAAGAGACAGTTTAAGTGAATACGTTTGAGAACCCAAGATTGAGTTGACCTTGTTTTTATTTGTCTGTGTCCCCATGTACTTAGCGTGTTCAGTTCCCTCTAAAATAATGTCCGTAGAAAACCTCTAAGAGGTAGTGTGACACCGGCACTGTTTGTAGAATGTTTGCCTCTGGCTCGGATCTAGACACAACTATAACACTTATCTTATCCAACAGTCTCAAATGAAACGTATTAAATCAAAGGGCTTTGGGCCATCCCCACACCTGCTTTGTTGGGCTTGCTTCGGAGTGAAGTCCCACCTGGGTGTGACAGATGTCCGGGCGTCCTGTCCTCCCGCTTGCTGCGTCTCCTGCTGATGTAGTCTCCTCTTCGCGGCTAGCTTCCTGCGTCCCTCTTGCTTCGGTTGACTGCGGTGTCGCTTGCTGCCGGGAATCTTAGCCGTGGCATTACAAGCTTGGCACTTGATTGACTGGGAGTCAAGAACAGCGCAGAGATTGAATTAACGTCTTCAAACAGAATACATGTACATGTATGTACAGTGTATTCACTAAAACATTTTCTTCACGAAACACTATTATAAAGGCGACTACCGAGTCGATATATACATGTATGTACAATGTAAGTCTTCACATTTTTTTTTAAATTGAACTAGATCATCGAAATCTACCAGGTTTTCTAGGAACGGGAAGGATTTTGTAGGACCGGAGAAGGATTTTGTAGGACCGAGAAAGGCAAGGCCCAGCCAGCCAGTCAGTATTGCTTGTGAGACTCGATATCCCTTGAACATTTTAAGTACAAACATATCTGGAAAGTGGTGATTTTTGCAGAATTTGGAAAGGCAAGTAGGTATTTGGCAGAAAAGTCCAGGGCGGTTTGAAAAGCTCATGGTACGCATGAAAAGTTACTAGGCGAGTCATCGAATACTTTGTAAGACATCATACTGTGGGTTGAGGTAGCGAACATTTCGCCGACTAGGGGCATGATACAAAAACACGACGCACAAAGAGCACAATCTTGAATAAATGTTTCCCGACGCATACCAATTTGGTCTGACTCTGGTCCCATCGTTTCAATTGGCTAGCCGCCTGTTTTGTGAGACTGGGCAGTCCATGCGCAGTCGCCTTCCTCTTGGAGTTGGCAATGCGTCTAGAGAGGCGGAGCTTCGGGGCGAGTCTGGCTGAGTGATTGCCTGGCCGGATGAGGTTGAAGCAGTGGGGGCAGTACAAGGAAGATGCGGCTTGACCGTCTAAGTGAATATAAGGAAAAGGGTCCAAGTTTGTCGATTATGGTTACCAGGTCTGGGACGAGGGCGATTACCCTCATAATTAGCATCACAAAAAGAATCGATTAAGCTATCGGTGTTGCGTATTTATTGATGATGGCCACAATAATGATGATGTTAATAATGACAACGTAAACAATATTGAAATTTAATGTACAATGTACTCTCCTTATCCTTCAGAATCCAACAGGTGTTTTTGAGGGTCTTGCACTAGCTAGGGTTGCAGCACCGTGGACTTTGTGTATGTTTTAAGGAAAGTTCCCCGCAAATGTGCCAAAGATTTCAGGGTGTAAATTTACGCGTGTCTAACTTTTAAAACAAATGCTCTCTCATTTAAGTGGAAAATTGTGCTTAATAAGTATAGGCCGCCTGATAACCCATCAACCTTTGGAGTCGCCAACGATATAAACTGCTCCACTTACCAACAGTGGTGCTTGACGATGACGTTCTATGAAACTTTGATCTAAAATGAAACATAAATGACGTAACATAGATAATTATGGTTGGGCTATGTGGAGCATATAAACAAACCCAATACACTTAATTAGCAATCCCTCCCCTCTCCATGCGAAACGACGCACGACATGAAACTGTTGCCGCCAAAGATTGATACAAGGTCATGTATAAAATAATGTACTATACTTCATGGCTATCGCTTATTCTGGTCTGCCATAATGCATGATACCATTAGAAAAACTTATTCAATCTAACCACCAAAGCCCCCCCCCAAAAAAAACCCCAAAACAGATCGATGCTAGGTTTGAAATGGGCACACAAATAGTGTTTGATAAACGAAATTCAAGCCATTGGACGTCAATGTTTTATTTGGTCACTTTTGACAAAAAAAATGAAATACAATTCAATCACACAAAATGTACTGGTATTAAAGAAAAACACAATGTAATACAATGCATTCCACATCCATGTTTTAAAGATATCAGGAATCTAAAGCTAATAATAGTCGGTCATCTTTACGCCACTGTGCTATGTTGATGACAAAGCGACATTTTAATTAAACGTCAATGCAATATTTGGTCACTTTTGACCCAAAAAGAAATACTTTTATTACACAAAATGTTTGTACTGGTATGAAAGAAATGTATTCCACACCCATGTTCTAAATGTAACGATATGGGTTTTTGGGTTTAAAATAATGAATAATTCATAAGGAACATGAATAATGCAATGTTATTTTCTGGCTGTTCCTTTTAGTGTACTTACCCCGCCAGCCTAATTGCCCTAGTTAACAAGTTTGGACATATGTTCGTCGACATTTAGGTCATTTGATAATTCTATCTTGAGAATGATTATTTGGTAACAGTATGTCATCATCATTGTCAGTAATCAAAGTCAACACTCCTTCTGAGTCAATTTTATGCGCGACGAGGGGTTGTGGTCATTGCATTACGGTAAGAGCGCTACCGCTCACATGGTTTGTCCTCTTGCGAGCGGGCCGTGAAAGAAGCTCAGACCGAGCCAACCTTTGTCTAAAAGTCGCCCACTTTTCCCTCATTTTTGGGGTAAGTTGGATTCTAATTAAGTATTGAGTAGATCAGGTAAGGGACATAGAAGAGGTTGGTTGATATGATTATTGTCAAACTGATTTATTTTTATAGTTTTTAGGGTGTTAGTTTCGTGTGGAAGTGTCAAAACTTTTCTAGAGTTGAATGACCGTTTTCGTACACATTCACGCACAATGCATTATATAATGGCGACATTGAGTTCAGCATTGTGTACATTCAGTACGTGGTGTGCGTATGCACAGCACAACGTTGAATCTCGACCACACTGTGGAATTAGACCTACTCGCTTTATTTCGAAATGTTGTTCGTGTATGTCGCATTGTTTATTGGTGCAGGGGACCTTTTATGATAGAAGCTATTTCCTTAAATATGTTCCCCGTGTATGCTATTTGTATTTTTATGTATTTTAATTTATAGCTGAGACATTGCTGTCACAAGCTTTGAAGGTTGACATCTCAAGTGCATTACAGGCCTTCTCTATTTTATATCAGGGTAAGACTGTAATTCTCTTTGTATGCTTGATTAAGTAGTCATCCTATTTAGTATTATTTTGGAGTGATCATGACACTGTCTACAAAACAACTATATTATTTATAGTTTATGCTGTGTAATTAAAATAACTGTTGTTTATAATATTAATGTAATCCAATGACTTTGGAACAAGACTTACAAAAGTTTAAGATCAATTCATTTTATTCATGGTCAACAGGGTCTTCTTTTATGGTCTTCATTGTCGTCTTATTGGAATCTTTATTCGGATCTTCATTTGGATTATTTTGTATAATCGGAGAAAGTGAATTAAATTAAAACTTAATCAAGTGAATCAGTGTAAACAACCGTCTGAGTGTTCCAGTTCAATTCTACTTGCTTTCCACCTTACTCTATCTTCATGAGGGTGAACCTGACCACCCTTATCATCGTTGGGGTTGCCACCTCGCGACAAATTTTGGCGTCGTAGACAGGATCAAGGTGCGACTTCAAGCAAGCAAGATTAATATTCGTCATCTCTGATTTACAGAATTGTTTAGTGTGTATTTCTTGTTGTCCTCAGACCCCTGATATATTTGTTGTTCTTTCCCTTTTTGGGATATGTATAAAAAAAAATGTTGGCCATGTAGGTCAATTTATTGTCCGCCTGTTCCCCAATGTGGCCGACCATTTTTCATGGAGCATATTCCCTCCGTTATTATGATTCAAGTCTAAGCGTCGGCCATATCCATGTGCTGGTGGACTGATCCCTGATCTTGGCATCATTCAAGTCAAGACTACATCTCTCTTCCAACATGTGAATTTATTGTGTATGGCTTATTAATTGTGGTAGCATTTTCCAAATTACACTGACCACATATTTATTTGTAAACAATTGACCACATATGTACTAGTTATTGTGTCAGGAAGTGTTTGAAATTTCTTGTTTATTATAACAAGCTTGACAATCGTGGTCCTTGAGGTTTAAGTTGAGACTACCACTGACGCATATTAGCAAGTACATTTGTACTTGAGTCATTTGTGATCATTCAGATTTGATATTTTAGTGTCTGCACATATGTAATATACATACAGTGTTAATTGACCACAGTTACTGTTAATTGCAGACTACTTTGAGTGTTTTCTACATTGTATTACAATGTATTGAGTTGTACATGAGAGAGTCTTGTGATGGCAGAGGGCAGGATTTGTCGGTCTCATTATTGAGGATTCATCACTTTGTAAGCTGTTATTTCTATGGGAACATGTGTATGTTTAAATTCCCTCTCTAAAACAGCATTGTGTGCCAACTTGATTGGTATCTTTGTATGTATGATCCTCATTAGTGCTTTCACTTAGTATGTAGAGGGCTGTGAATTTTCGAGTCCCTCTTTGTTTTTTGTGAAGCCATATTTTTAATGATTGACAGGTCCATTGCTCCAGTCCCTATTGATTTGTGACCGTGTGTATCGACCCTCTTTGTCTCCAACTAGTGGAGAGTCTATGTAAGTTTGGACGAATTTTCTGTGGTCCTAGACCCGGTTTGTTTGGTCACTTGTTGTTTAAATATAAAACCACCATGTCATTGTTTTGATTCCCTCCTGTTTGATGTGGGAAATTTACTGCAGCTGAACAATTGCAGAATTTATGTTCCTTAGTAGGTAACTATAATCTTGTGTACAGATTACACATGGACATTGGTGTTGTAAAAATCAACGTGAGGATTAGCCATAATATTATTTAATCAAAGTTGACATTCCTTCACATATTTTTGTTTGTGTTATTGTAGCCATTGGTTAGGCTGTCAGTCATAATGGCATCTACAGAAGCCCTTATGGATATCATAGTACAGTCACAGAAGGCTCTGACTAGTGTTCTCCAAACATTAATTTGTGAAAACATTCCAACAGTGGATATTTCCATATTTTATGGCCGACCTAAGAATGAAGTGGATCTCACCGTTACGGATTGGTTGGATGATGTTGAAACATACTGTAGGGAATGTCATCTTGAGGGTACAGCCAAGGTCAATGTAGCTATTGACCATTTAGTTGGCGTTGCCAGAGAGGAAGTCTTTTGTAATCCCCCTGAATATCGTAAAGACTTCTCAAAGATTGTTGGAATATTGAAAGCACGATTTGGTTCCCACTAACCGTTCATTCTCTCTGGACCATGTTTTACGCTCGGAAGCAGAAACAAGATGAATCAGCATTAGCTGATTTAGGTCGTGCTCTGATGTTGCTGTATGATCGCATAGAGAAAGTAGCCTCGAATCCTGAGGAAGGAAAAGCTCTTGCTTGCCTTCGAGAAAGAAGTCTGAGGGAACAATTTATTGGGGAGCATTGGATTCATGTGTGCGATTAGTTACGCAGATTAGGAATGAAATATCCTGACCTCACATTCTATCAATTTCGAGACGTGGCTCTTGGGTTGTTTGAAGATTTTGACAATGCAGCAAATTGCTCGATTTCTGTTGACCCTTATTTTGATTATTCAGCTACCGCTGTAGCGGAGCAGAGTACAAATTGCCCAGGTGAGACAATACCTGAGCAGGAGCAAACCAGTGAGCATGTCAGAGATATCCGCAAGCCACTAAATGTTGACCTCTCGCAGCAGTTGTTGCGACCTCCCAGTTGTTCACACTTAAAGCAAGGCCATGTTGCTCAAACTTGTATCCAGCATCAATGTCATGAGGTTGTAGATGCTAACTATAACCATCAAGGCCCAGCGAGCAGTTCTTGTGAAACGGGTTCTGATTTTTCTGAATTCGCAATGCCTGCATTGAACATTAAAGTGCAGGAAAAAGCAGGGAACCCCGGTGACCCTTCTGTGATTTCACAAGAGGTAAATGACGATTCCAAACCTCTTGAATGCCAAGATTCTTTAGGAAGCCCAATTGTCAATCATGAAAATGAGATAGTCATTGATCTGGGTTACAGTTCCTCTTCAGATATAGATGGGCCGGGTGAAACAACCTCTGAAGTTGTTCTTTCCAGTTGTCAGTCGATTCCAAATTGGTCGCGTAAGGTAGACACAAACACGAGTGTGCAAGCGAAGCCTTCCTATCTCATGCATGGCGTAGCTCTGCTGCCTGTAGATGAGCTTGGCGCGCAGCGGTCAGAACTTTGTAAAAAACGAACTGGTCGCTGGCCCACCGCAATTACTTAGATGAGTTTTGGAAAATTTTCAAATGTCTGATAAGTCTCAGACCGTGTTTTAGTTAGTGAGATTTGCCTGCTTCAGCAGGATCGCCATTGTGCCATCTCCGTGTATACATTGTATTGCTAGTTTTAGTTTGCATTATATTTCAAAATGTGATGCCATAATTATAGTTCGCATTCCAGTTGAAGCGAAGTATGAAGTTTTTGTACATCATAACTTGTTAAATATCTTGTTTAAATTTGGAAAAGTGCGTAACAGTTAATATTTGTACATATCTTGTTAGAAATGATGAGGTGGATTTGTTTAGTCATTGCTCAAATCACAATGTGACAGGTTATTTCCACTGCTTGGATATTGTATAATTCTAACAACGTTGATTAGTACATACATGTACATATTTATATTGTATTGAGTATAGAGTGATTGAGAAGAATTCTTTGAAGTTGTTGGTACAGTATAGCCAAAGTTGTTTTCTTGCAATTGCTCCAGTTGCTGGGAATTGACACACCTATTCATTGTAATTTTTGATATATTGCATGACATAATGTACTGGATTGTTAACGTGCGATATAGACATTATAATTTGTGTATCCCTAATTTGTATTGCTAATGAAGGACAATTCGAGGTCGCATAGTCTTAAAGCAGGGAACATGTAGTGAGACGTCTTTTACGAGGCACCGTACAATTTGCACACTACCCAGAAAAATGTATACAAACGCGCACTCAGTGCCGTGAACGCGCGAATATCATCCCTTTTCTGCCTGCACACCAAAGTGTGAGTATCATGTACAAAACTTGTGCTTGAAAACCAACATTTTAGTTTCAAATGAGCAAAATTTGTATTATCTTTACATTCTAATGTCATAATGCAAGTTCTCTGCTACCGCTGGGCTAGCTTTTAGTTTAATTCATGTTGACAAAAGGAGTGATTTAGGGGTGAATTAGTCTTCACAATTTCAAAGTTTTAATCACCGTGTGTCACGTTGATTTATTGCAATACTACTGTTTCATGTCAGGTGCAATATGGATGCCTAGTTCACAACACAGCGTACACTTGCCAGGCGTTCGGGGAACTTCGGGGAACCGGTGAATCTTAGGAACCTCACTTTGAATCTGGGAACTTTAGAAATACAAACTTTGTGATTCAATATATTTTATCATTGGCAATTGTGTCACAATTTATAGAGCTAGAAACAAAACTATTATCTTATCAATACTTTTTGCAAAAAAATAGTTAGTGGCCTGACGTTTCGACCCTAGCAGAGTCTTTCTCGAAGGCTGAATGACAAGACTATAAACATAAACAGGTACATGTATACATTACTGATGTAACAAAAGCAGTCAAGTGGAAATAGATGATGCAGAGGAAAATACACAGGGAAAGCAGGCGGCTGAACAGAAAGGAGGGTAACAAAAGGGAGGGGGATTGGGGGAAGGGGATGGTTGACCACAAGAGGTGGGGAACACAAAGGACAAAGTCAATGATGGGGAGAGGGAGAGAAAGGTAGTTAATTGGTGAATGAGGCAGACTGGAGGGGGGGGGGGCTTATCTGTGGTGAAAAGGAGAAGGCAAAGACAACAAGTTATTAGTCGTTTCCTTCTTGGATGTTCAGACCATGGGGTTGAATGGTCTGGAGACGTCTTATCCATAATTTCTCTCTACTCAGACGAACAATCTCTCTGTGGTTTCCTAGTGCCTCAATGCCCTGTAAAATCATGTCAGAAATTGAGTGATTAGGAAGATTGAAATGATGTCCTACAGGTGTATCCAGCTTATGGGTGTTGACTGTGGATCTGTGGCCGTAGAAACGTCTCTTGAGTGTAGTTCTCGTTTCACCTATATATTGAACACCACAAACTTTGCAAGATATTAAATAGATTAGATTAGTGGTGGTGCAGGTGACATGACCCCTTGTCCTATGGGTGGTACCACCGGTATGGCTGGTGAAGGAGTCCGATTCTCTGATGTGTTGTCTACAGACGATGCATTTGGAGGTGTTGGGACACCTGAAAGTTCCCTGTGGCAAAGGGGGGTTAACATTATCATTAAGGGGGGGGGGGGACTTCTGCCCGGACAATGAGATCCCTGAGACTGGGTGGCCGTCTGTAGGCAACTATGGGTTCTTCTTGTACAGCACGTTGAAGTCGATCTGATGTGTGAAGAATATGATGGTTAGAACTGGTTATTGTACGAATGGGGGGTGGAGAGTGAGGGGTGGAAAGTGACAACAAAGTGAACTCTCTCCGTGGAACTCTGTTGTTGCACAGGTCTTTTTGAAAGTACTGACTCTCCCTGGAGCGAGCCTTGACTTTCTGAATTGCTCGATGGACTGCCAGGGAGCTATGACCCCGGGAGATGAAGTGTTTCTTAAGTTCCAAGTAAGACAGATGATGGAGGACACCAAGGTATGCCAGGACACAATAAAGCAAAATACTACCCACCTTCTATGTACAATCCAAGCTTGGGAAAAAAAGGTCCGCATATTATCAATGCTTTCAATACTGAGATTTCAGATCTAATACTTCATTCTATAGTGTCGATGAAATACAAAAATCTAACCGCTGTGCCATCATAAATTGGGCACTTCATAACCCCCCCCCCCAAAAAAAAATATATAAATATTTACAGAAAATGGGTCATTTGGGAGGCATTCCCATAGACTTGTTCACAATTTTTTCCCCATCTTTAATGTCACTTAACCCCAATTTTACCTTATCCTTCACCCGCGAATTTCGGTTTATTTCATGAATTGGACCATGAGCAATCAATCGAGCCTAAAAGTCTTCCTCTAAATAGGAGCTGTGACATTAAGGAGACACTGAGTTGTCTCCCTAATGTCCGGTGTCTCCATAAGGTATCATTAATGACGACAAAATACCACCCAAAGGTACCATTAATGCAGGTATAATAATAAAATAATAATAAAATATAATTTAAAAATAAAAGATAACTGACATTCCTTTCGAAAAAAATCACTACATTGCAATAGTGAGAGTGGCATCTAAAAAATCTTTAACAGTAATCTGTCAAATTTGTATCAAAAATCGTTCTTTTTTATTTCAAATAATCCCCTTAATCCTTTCAAAGGTATACAATATCGAATATAAATCTATTTCCTTTCACGATTGTGATTATTGTATTCAAATCTTTCTCATTTCTCCAAAGATAAAGGATACTGTAGTCATGTGTACTCAATCTAACCATTTACTTACGCTAATTCTTTACAGGTATAGAGGAAACCTGGTACAATTACCAACAGAAACAGTATTAACCGTATTACCCGTGCAATAAGTGATATTGCTGTTCTTAAAAGTACAATACATTTTTCTTCATTAAAAAGGCGTAAAACAAAAACCAATCGCTAAATTCTTAAAAACAAAAGAGGAGTATCATCATAGTCGATAAATTAAACATAATGAAGACAATTCATATTTCAGCACTTAATAACTAATGAATGCTTTTAAAAACAAATCGTGATAATCGAAAAAGATTATGTTCCTTTTTTATTATGGCTACACAAATATTAAATATGATTATTTTGTTGCAAAATCTAGTATAATCGGCAGATAGGTGATGGGATTGTTCATTATTTTGATGATAATAGCATGGAATTTGGCACACAGTCAGAGTATGTCATGAAAAATATTTGGCTAAAGGGCCATCGCAGGTTTAATTGTCCTTTGAAAAAATATAAGTTGAATAACAGGCAATGACAGCCATTTTGAAAATTTTGGCTATATAGAGCCATTCGCGATGGCTCTATAGCCAAATATCTTTCTCACTCTGACTGTGTGCCAAATTGGCATGCTTTTATCATCAAAGAGTGCAATCGCCTCCCCCCCCCCCAAAAAAAATATTTCCTCTATCTGCCCCACTTTACCACGAATGGAAATCCACTCGGTGTGCGTTTCCCCTTTTTATTTTCAATGGGTATTCAGGAATTTTGTCAAGAAACCAGTCTGTGTTTAACCACGTTGCTTTTGTACATGTATATTTCAATATAGAGTGAGTGCGCATTACAAGTTCAGAACAATCGTTAAAACATATGTCAGAGAAAACTATCAAAATTAAAGAAACTTAAAATTACAATAGTAACTAGACTTATGTTTGTGGACAAACACAGGGCTGTTTTGGTTATTTTTTGTGGCATGTGACATGTGACATAAAGTTTCAAGTATAAGTTCCATCCAGGAAGGATGTGTAGTTCTGTTTATAACTGGTGGCATATAATAATGTGATTACATTCTCATATGTCTTTGAATTATGACGTCACATGTGACGTGATGACGTCATGATGACATCACATCAATTTTCATCTATAACTATATTTTTGTTTGTAAGTAACAACTTAGCCATAGCATACATCGTTGAAAGCAAGTTCACATCTTACACCAATTTTAAATTACAAGGCACTAAGCTTCCGGTTTCAACCGGAAGGAAGGGTCACGTGATTTTGCACATACTATTACAAATGAAGACCCTGGATTATTCTATCCATTCCCGCACACGTCAAGTTCAGGTCTCTCACAGTTGATTTTATATTGATTTTCAAAGATTAAATCTTTGAATTTTTAACGTGACGTCATGTGATCCATGATGACGTCATCGTGACGTCACTTCAATTTTCATCTATAACACATCCAAGTTTCAACCTTATCGAACCTGCATTTATGGAGATAGAGGCCTTCAAAGTATTGACCTATATTGTGACGTCACATGTCACGTGATGACGTCATCGTGAAGTCACTTAAATTTTCATCTACAACACATTCCGGTTTAGGTACATCTTTCAACCCAATCGGACCAGTAGTTCTGGAGATATAGCCCAATCTGTCAGATCTAGCCGAATTCTGCTAGAAAATGGTCACAATAGAAAAATCGCATATAATGTGACGTCACGTGACTCGTGATGACGTCATGATGACGTCAATGTTCGGCGACCATCTGTGGGTGGTGGTCTAAGTGTGTGCCAGGTATAAAGGCAATCAGATTGATTTTAGTGCCCAAAGTGCCGGTGACTAAAAAACGTGTACAAATGCTATGGGCATGGGCTGAAAAAGAAAAAAAAAAAGAAAAAAAAAAAAATCTTAACGAAAACAAAGGCTGTTTCGGCCGGTTGCCGAAACAGCCAAAAACCAACATATAAGAATACAACAATATTAAAACCTTATCCATATCTTTTACACAAGAAACATCTTAAGCTTGGTTTTTAAATACTGAAAGAATTCAAGGGAATGAACAACATGCGTGACGTACTTCCACTAGTGACTCTGCTCCACAAGCAGGGTATGCGGTGGCTGACCCGGGTGAGCCCCGAGAATGACTTCCGACCCGAACGGCACGGTGCTGACCCGTGTCGATCCGGGTGGGCTAAACAAACGCACCCAATAATTGAGGGACGGTAGTTAAAGTAAGGCCAAAAAAAATAAATAATAATCGGTCTCTGGTCAGACCGAAGTTCCGGAATCGATGCGGCGACGCAGGTTTTTTTTTTTTTTTTCAAGCTTGAATTGTACAGACAAGGTTGGTACTATATTGCTTGTTTGTGTCCTCATTTTACATTGGTGTCCTCCATAATTTGCCTTGGTGCCCTTTATCATTTGCCTTGGTGCAACTTTTCCATTCCTTGGTGCTCCTTGGTTCAAAAATTTGAGGAGGTGCGGCAATAGAGGGCGCTTCCGTGTTAATTTGAAGGAAAAAGGTTGACGCGCATGATTAAAATCGACGCGCGCGCTGACCAGAGACCGAGTACTTTTTTTTGGCCTAACCAGTCAAAAGAAAATATCGCTCTAGTTTTTGGAGGTAAACTCTTGGTGGCGCCCTATGCTGTGAATATCTCGTTTTGATGCCGATATTAAATCAATCCCACCATGTTCTCTGTCCCAGTCTCGGTCTCGTCGACACTCTTCGGCGGTTGGTACAGCTTGTGAGCGGTGAACATGAAAGCCAACGTGGTGAGCTTCATCGCGAGGGAGAAGATGATGGCATACAGCGCGAGGTCGCTGCGGTTGTGGAACCAGCACCGCCCCCTCTGGCCGTCCTCTTCGTGCCAAAGGGTGCAGTTGGCGTCTATGATACTACCAAAGATGATTGGACCCGGTAGGGAACCTTAAAACAAATCGTAATCGGAGACGTGAATACGTGCATACGATGTGAGGATCAGAACTTTATCTATTTAACATAGTTCTTCAGATTTGCGAGGGGATAAGCTGGGTTAAACGGGGTTCCATGTAAAGTCCTATATATCTACCGAGTTCCATACTTGTCTGAGAACCTGAAACCTACGACGTTCCACGGTGTTCTAAGGAAAGATTCAGTGTGCTGTGGACCTTATTCATGAGTCAGCCATATTAAATTGAAAACGAGGTAAAATCGTATTTTTGGAACTTGCAAATTAAAGTCAAAGCAATGACATGAAGAAAATTACAAAATCAGTCTGCTCTGATGAATAATTTAAAATTTGTGATTAAACATACCTAATAATGAGTTAAGCCACTTTTAAAAAAAAAACATTAGTCTGGCACCATTCCATTCAACAGTTCACAATTTATAAAATACATTCAGGGAACACGACCAAAATGGCTTCTTCGTGAATAAGGTCCATAGAATAATACCGGTCTCTAGAGATTCCCCAGGATTCGACAGAGTTCTACACAATTTTACAGCCAGTTTAAAACGTACCGAATACTCGCACAATAAGTTCGTTTATGCCAAGACCGAACGACTGCTGCCCACCAGGAATGCACCTTTAAAAAGAGAAATGTTGTCAAAAATGGTTATGACCTGTGCGATGCCCTGTGCACTCTTCAAGCAAGAAAGTCAAAATATCAACCGGCATCTCAAGTGCACATGGATTTAGTATAGGAAAACACTCGCAGCGTATCTGACACAAATCCCATTCACCAAAGATGATTGTGATTTATAATGTTGTCATTTCTAAAGACTGGAAATGTTGTTTTGGTTTGTTTCCAGTTGTTGCAGTTGATCCTAAACGTGTAGTCATGCTTGACCTGCTTAGGCCAAAAAAAGTGTCCGGTTTCTGGTAGGCGCGCGCGTCGCCGTAGCCATGCGCGTCGGCAAAATGAAAAAGTTTTTTTTTTTCAATGAAAGATGATGCCTCAAAACCGCCAAACTCACTGATTTGACTGGAATCCTGCTGCTGCACAATTTTAACGTGTTTTTAAATGGGGTTATGATCGAGAATATATCTTTATGCGGCCTCTCTGGGTTCCCATATATTTGCACTAAGTTTAGTCGGGCACCATTTGCAGTTATCAGCCGACATTTGAAGCAAAAAAAACAGGTAAAAAAAAGATGGGCAAGCTCCATCAGAAACCGGATACTTTTTTGGCCTTAACTCAGGTCTAAATTCAGGTGGTTTTTTTAAAGTTTTCTTGACTTGGATTGAGCCTTATAGTACGGCAGATACGGTAGGTGATGGGATACCAATTGTTTTCAAAAAGCCAAATCTGCGATGTCCCTATAGCCAAATATAACTCTTATGACATACTCCGACCGTGTGCCAAATCCCATGCTTGTGTGCATGTGATCAAAGGCACAATCCCCCCAAATATTTCCCCTATATCTGCCCCACTATGATGTCTGTATACATAAGAGCACACATACAGGGTGAGTAAAAAAAAAGGCGAATCCCAAATGTCGGGACTATTGTTTTCAAGAAGTTCTGCATGTAGCACTTTCTAATTCTAGGATCTAATCTAAATTTTGAAAGTGCTACATGCAGAACTTCACTAAAACAATGGTACCGACATTTGGGTTTCGCTTTTTTTACTCACCCTGTATTCTATAATGACTGTATACATAATAGGCCATCAGCCTGGGGGTTTGGTCGGTATCAAATCAGGGCATAAATGATTATAGTGCGCATGCGCAAGGTATACCGCCCCCGCCTAGACTGTGGGTAACAAGCATTTTGATGGACAATTTGAAAAAGGGTGATAACACCCAAAAAGCTGCCACCGCTGCAATGCTATCACATATTTTCCAACTCCGAATGTGTATACCTTGCCAAAAATCGCTATGACAATTATTCCCCTCATTTGATACCGGTGGCCAAAATTTTGGAGCAAGGCTGATGGCCTATAAGAGCACACATATATAGGCTTACCTTAAAATCACGTTGACTGATGCTACTCTATCCAAGAATGTTGCGAATATTAGGAAGAACAGACAGACTAGAAATATGTACATCTGGGTGCAGAAAGTAATACCACACCTACCGGGAACGGCCGTGGGGTCGACTGAGGTGCTGTTGACCGACACACACGTGCAGTCGGCATATGAGTATGTTTCGTTCTAAGATGCAAACAAAAAACACCAACTACAGGGGTTAGTCAATAAGAAGCGGAACCCATTTTTTTTACCTTAAAAATTATTTTTCATATCTAAAAATAATGTGAAACAAAGGTTTTGCCCTTCACCGACGTATAAACACTGAATACTCAGTGTGTTACCTCCGGAGTGAAAGTTGGAAAAAATCACTCTGGTATGACTCGAACCCATGACCTCCTGCTTTCTAGTGCAGATGTCTTACCACGCGACCACCCAGCTAACGAGATCGGTTGGCTGGTTCGAATCTGATGTACATAGCAGCGGGTACCGTACCGCATTCATAAGATGAACTTCAAATGGTCCAATCGAAATGCGATTTAAAAAATGTGAGTTCAAGAATCGTCGTCACAATCGTCTTCAAACATCACCAGCGATATAACCTCAGTTTAAAAGTTATACATATTCAACAAAGTCCTTTTGAAGGCCCATCTTTTGAAAAAAAAGTGGGTTTTATACATCATATTGTTTGCCTAAGCAGGGTTGTTAATAAACATATTGTGTACTACAGTTGTTGGCAGTTATTGGACCAAGTACTCATTTTCTTTGTTGTTCCAAACAGTCACAACTCACAATAAACTACTTTTTGGGTAAAGTAGGTTTAGGGTCATTAATGCGTTTAAATGGTGATATTCTTTAATCGGATTGAGCAATTTCGGTATTTTTTTTTATCTAAAAATAGTTTCTGAAATTTGCTTTCCAGTCATTATTATTTTTGGTCCTACATATTTTTTTTAAATATGAAATATATTTTCGGGGGCTTGGATTCCGCTATTTTTGACTCACCCTATATTACATATTAATTTAGCAATAATACACATACCTTATTTTCTACGTCAGTCTGTTTTGCAGGACTTGCAAGTTCGGTACAAAAACTTACGAAAAGAATGACTTATTTCATGTTGTATTCAATAGGGTTGTAAAGTTTGCTGCAATACAGTCAATGGTTCGAATGTGTTTGGTACATGTATATGATTTATAATCCAAAGATGTAAAATTCTGTTCTTTTGAATTTTGTGGTTAACTTAACTGAAGGTAAAAAAAACACGGCTTTTGATCTGTGTTTCCTAAGGTGCGCGATTTGGGTCAATTAATTACTTGCTTTAATTGATATACTTTCAGGATATCTTATAGATCACTGATGTTTAAAATTGGCAAAAATGCTTTCTCGTACCAAAAGAAGTGAAATAATCCAGATCATGGTAATAAGGTACCAGAATATTTGAAAATTAATATTTCAATAATTTTAATAGACAAGCAACAATCGACTTTTGGTGGTATAACTTAGGTGAAAGAACACGTTCATGATCAATATTCAGATATTGTACCCTCGTCTGCAAGGGCCAATCATATCAGACGATAAACGAGTTTATGTCGCATTATTTGAAGGATGTGTTTAAAGTTTGGTATAGTACCCCGACTTCTAGGCTTTGACATCCAGCGAAACACGGCGAGAAATACATGACGCCATTGCTGCCGCAGACTGGTGCGAAGGGCGTGGTCGAGCAGTGGCATCCGTCGTTGCACGGGTCGTCCAGGCGCACGACCGACACAGCACTGACAAGAGGGGAAACACAAGCAGGTCTATTTAATAATGGCGGTTGTATATTTGACAAGTAGAAATGTTAAAACAGGTAACTGGAAGGGTTGTGTTTTCTGTGGAATGTTAAGGATCAACCGAAGGCAGTTTCTCGGGACCGAAGATGACATTGGTTGTGGCAAGACTTTTTAAAATAGCTAAAAATACATGTACTGACTTTGTCAGAACAAGCCATTTGCGAGTTAAATTTGAATAAAATCTGGAACGCTGACTTAATCCAATGGTTTGCACGTTTTAACTTTGCATTTTCCCGACCAAAGACACTGTTTCTATATCACGTGATTCGGGGCAAGCCTTATGCTAGCAACCCCCAGCTCCGGCATGGTCTGGTGTCTTTGTGCCATGATCACCCATTGTGAACAATGCATCGGTGCTGAGCGTCTCTTAGCAAGAGCTTGCCCCGAATCATGTGATTAGCAACAGTATCTTTGATAAGGAGAATTCAAAGTTAAAATGTGCTAAGCATCATGAGCAAGTCAGTGTACCAGGTTTTTTTCTCTTCAAATCCCAAAGGGTGTAGGTTACTCGCAATTGGCTTATTTGTAGCGCCGATTGTTTAGGTCTCACCATTGCATATCAATTTAATGTATTTCCAGCATTATAGCATTTTGCGTTCAGCAACCATTCCTGGTGTTTATTACCAATTCAGTAACTATATGGATGCAAAAGGGTGCTACTCATCCGAATGGGGAACAAAAATACGTGCCTGAAAGGGGCTACCATGCAAAGGACCTATAGCCCCGAATAGAGTTGCATTCACTGATGTTCTGTTGCACCCATCCGGCTTAAATGCCTGGTCAATTTTGATGTCCTACGGCGGCCATATTGGGAGGCCTTTAAAAGTGACTTGTGGTGGCTTCGCTACGTGCATATATCATGCATGATGGGCGCGTGGGCTATCCATTGAGTAAATAATGCTTACCTGTCGTTTGCGTAGTGTTGGTACACGCCTGCCAGTGGTATCTCCGGGCACGTCAGGAACAGCGTCAGGGTTAGCAGTGCATTGGCAGTAAGAGTCCCCATGACAAACTTGAGCATGCCTAGCACTTTGAGCCGAAGCCTCTTGATCAGCCAGCCGCCCACGAATAGGGCGCCACAGCCGGCGGTGCAGATCAGACCACCTGCAAGAAATCGTACCGAAGCAGTCGATGCATGTCACGTCGAGCTCTTCACTTGTGTCTTATTCATAATGCAGTATAGGGAGTTCAAAATTTGACCTCTGTTTTGATATATCAGTTTATACTAAATTACTAATGTTATATGGTAGATGAAAGTTTATTGTTATACCTCTCTCTTGAACACTGTATTTTCATTGGCCTAGAACGATCACGTGTTAAGTTTATAAAAAGTCATGGCAGGCACACTCCCTGTGGGATATGTGATGTGACTTTGTACGTACAGTACGTACGGTGTGAAACGCTTGTATCGTTGGTACCCACGCTATTTTCACTATGTTTTCACACTTGAGTGTGAGCAGCGAATTAGCAGACGATTAGCTGTTCGAGCTCGGTACGCGACGTGCATGTGAGTTGACGTTCGATTGTCATGATTGTTGTGTCTACTGCTGTTTGTTTCGTTGTGTTTTCGTGTTGAGTTGGGTCACACAGCAATAAACCTCTGTACTGATGATGTCACACTTTGTTTACGTGTGTGCTTTCCTATTGTGTGCTTTCCTATGATGTCCCCCATGGTATTCTGATGTTCCCCCGTGGGCCCGACCCCCACTCAAAAAATCCTATAGCTACGCCACTGCTTACCAACAATGATATTAGCTATTCCGGAACTCAACCCGTACTGTTCCTCCAAGTAGATGGGCAGAAAAGTCCCAAATCCAGTCATCAGGAGGTTGTCAGCGGCCAGGCCGACAGCCACGGCCATGAAGGTGGGATTCCTGACCATGATGCGGAGTGCCGAGGGGAAGTCCCGCCAGGCTTTACCGAACTCCTTCTGACTGGCCTTGCCCGACCGGTCCGACTTGGCGTGGGCCTGGGACTCGCGTTGGGCCCGCACCGTCTGCGTTCCTGTGTGGTGGACGGAATTGTGAGTTAGCTTTTTTTAAAATTAGTTATTTGTGACGTCTGTTTAAGCCACGTCACTTGTGATTTGACTTGTGATTATCTTGTGGTGATTAACTAACTTCGATGTCTGTATGGATTCACAGGCACAATTTAACTACGGATGCATGGCGCTGTATAGCCAACTCACAAGATGAAGGACTCGAACAGGTTTGCGCATCGGTTGGAGCCGTGTTTTTATTCAAGAGGATATTTACTGAGTAGTCCTCCTTGTTTTTTTTATTATTTACAACTGGTTTCCCGTCTCAATATAAACCTGAAAGGCTGTTATATGTTTATCCAACTTTGTGGAATTAAACAAAAAAGAGTGTTGACTACCTATAAGCCAGTTGGTACCCTCAGTTCTCTATACTGAAACTGTCCTGATATCAGTGCTCATCTTACCTGGCAACTCGTGCGGAAAGCAGCTCAGCGGAATTGCGATGATGAAAGACGCAATGGCGGTGAAGAGGAAGCCTAGCCACCAGGCTCCCACCCACTGGGATGCACCGATACCCACGCTGACGAAGAAAGAGAGAGAACAAAGTACAGGTTATTGGTCGGCTGTATGAATACGGTTGGAACCCTAACCCTGCTGAATCCAACGGGATCTAACTATGTCATATACCCGACGGGGCCAAGTGTTGGATTTAGCAGTAAACCCCTTGTGTACATTCCGGCTGCAAAATGTTGGATACAGCAGGCAACTGGACCGCATTATAACGCCAAGTTAGACGCCGTTGGACTCAGCAGACAACTAAAAATAAGGCACAGTACAGGGTGAGTAAAAATAACCGAAACCCAAATGTCGGGACCATTATTTTAGTGAAGTTCTGCATGTAGCCCTTTCAAAATCCAGAATATAAAGGCCTAATTCATAAGCTTTCTTTTAGTACAAGAATCATGAAAATTGCTCATGTACTTTTCAAGTATTAAACGGAATTTTAAACACAACCACCATTTTAAAGTTCTTTCCACTGATCATAAGAAGGTAAATGTTCTTTCAGCAAAACAAAAACAAATCACATAGGGATGTGTGTGAATTGTTTTCGTTTTGCTGAAAGAACGCACACCTTTTTTGTGATCCGTGGACAGAACTTTAAAACGGTGGTTGTGTTTAAAATTCCGCAACTTGAAAAGTACATAAGTGATTTCAATGATTTTTATACTAAAAGAAAGCTTATGAATTGGGCTTTCTTATCCTAGAATTTTAAAGTACGACGTGCAGAACTTCACTAAAACCATAGTCCTGACATTCGGGTTGCGTTTTTTTTTTACTCACCCTGTACAGGAAACTCCAGTTAGACTCTATTGGATTTAGCAGGGTAGTCCTGAGCAACTACTAAAAGTTAGGGTATGGACGGTAGGACGGTGGCCAAAAATAAAGAGAGGCTTTACTGCATAAATGCATATCGGATCATTTTCTTTTCATGCATTTTTTTTCGTTTCCAATAATAATACGACTCAAAAGCCAACAGAGAATGTTCTAAACTTAACCTGTTGAAGCGTCAGCTCAGTGGATATTACACTTTTAATACGAGAAAGCAGTGATGAAACACGATTTCCTCACTTAATTGGCATTCACGGGTCGGTCATATTAAATTGAAAGCGATATATAATATTCATTTTTGGATCTTGCGAATAGAAACGAAAGCAATTAAATAAGTTAATTACAAATTAATACCAGTCTGCTCTGTTGAATAATTTACAATTTGTGTTAAACATTCCCTAATGTTTAAAGCTATAGTCCATCATTTGTAATTTGTGCATTTTGTTCGTTTGAAGCAACAAAAGGGTTCAAAATCTAATGAAGGATACTGAACAACTAACCTGATGAAGTTTCAGCTAAGCTTCAGCTGTACATTCCGAGAAAAACAGCATTCTAAGATCTCAATTTCAAATCAAAAGTTACTGAATCATGTTTTGAATTGTTTTGAATTGCAGCTTTACGCGACGTAGCGCACTGATCCGACGAATTATAACAACCGCGCGCGCGTGTGCGTCGTTCCAATACTTGTGCGCGCTGGGCTGAATAACAAAACGAACTACTAATTTAAATTTTCCTACGGTGCTTCTTAAGAATCACCGTTGGAAATGCCTTCTTTCGTTGATTACTTCAAAATGACAGCTTCCCAGAAGGAATAATTTCACAGGGAGTTTAGTTCCCTTACTATCTTTCAACCAAGTTTGTTTTTCAACAATAATTACGCCAGTTACTTTTCGGATGGCTGCAAATGATGGACTATAGCTTTAAGCCACACAAACAATGAAAGTGAGGCTTGGAAGGTATACATAATCTGACACCATCCCATTCAACAGATTACAATATATATAATAAATGAGAGCAAGCCAGAGGGAATTTCACGGGGTGTTTATTCCAAGCAAACTTGATGTTAATAATTATTTTGGTAGGTTGTTTTGGGGGACAAATGCAAGTGATCCTGTATTCCTTTAAGTTAAATGCCGTTTCACAAAAGGTATTTTTTTGCAAATTATTACAGGTATAATTTCAAGCTTCGCTGGTTAATTTCATCATGCTAAATTTCCGAGGGACCACTTTCTGCGCTCAATGTCAAATTAATATACCACGAGGCCACATTTTCGTGTGCATTAGTTTCTCATTCGAGCATTTTTAAAGTGCTTAATCTTTATCTATACCCGTATAGAAGGGATATTGCCGATGCTGGAAACGGTACCGAGGTTTGGGAAATGGCCCAGGTTTTCATATTTGCTTGAACCAAAATCCTGGGATGTGTTTGTTTGTTGTTTGTTAACTCACCTGCCCGTGCCTGTATGGAAGTCAGTGTATACGCTCAGCAGCAGCCCCACTATGACCAAGCCCAGTGCTGGGCCAAGGGTTGAACATACCCACAATATACCTACAATAAATCAACAAAACCAAAATGCTAAATGTTTATTACAAAGAGCCAGTTTCAAGATGCATTCCCTGTGCTGTTTCGAGTTTATAAACCCTCAATTTATTAAATGCAATTAGTTTATATACATTTGTGTATTATGGTGATATTAATTTGTACGTACCGAGATACATGCCAGCGTTCTCGGTAGAAACACTTTCATCCACGAAAGCGAAGCCAATGGTGTACCCCATGCTTCCGCCAACACTGAACAGGATCTCAGCGAGTATGAAGACCCAAAGATACCCCGACAGGGCTGAGATGCTCGCCTCATCATCGGCCGGGGAAGTCTGGATGTTGCCCTCGGTCAAAGAACAGGTGCTGGTGGTGTTGTCCACGCTGTAAGAGTATAAACCAGTTGTGAAGTGCGGCAGCGCGTGGACCAGGTTTCCCACGCCGAGGCAGAGCGTTCCCACCGTCAGCATGCGCGCCTTGTTCCGTTTGTTGCCGGCGTAGGCCAGGAACACCCCTAACACTGCCGCCACCACGTCATACATGGCAGGCAAAAGCCCCGTCTGGAAGCTGGACAGCTCGAACCGGCGCTGCAGACTGGCGAGAGACCCGTCCACAAAGCCGTTGACGGCCATGCCTTGGAAGAACAAGTAGGCGCTGATTATGAACAGAAGCCAACGGGGGCTGGCGAAGCAACGCAGGCAGTCGGGTCGCCACGAGAACCAACCGCAGTAGGTTCGGGCCTCGTCTCTGTCATCATCTGCCTGTTTATCGGCGGTGATGTCCGAGAACGCAATGCCATCTTCCAGTGGTTTTGGTTGCTGCAACATAATGATTACTTGAAATAGTGAATTTCGCCAACATGTCAATATTGTCTAGCTGTCCGTGTATGCGAATTCATTTTTCTGAAGCTTTTCAATCCACAAATCAAAACAGTACGCTTAGGCCGACACTAATCCGATATTGGGCGAAATGCCAATTGGTGTCAGTGCCTGCTTATCCAATAGACACGGTAGGCACTGTGCGTAGGGCCTACGAAAAATGTGCGGGTCTACGAAAATACCTCAATATGCCATATAACACATCCTCACACACATCCACGCAGAGAGAAGAAAAGCTTTAACAAGTTTTAGTGTTTCTCTCTGAATTTTATTTCGGGAAAGCTTTCAAACAAGCTAGTAGGCCTACTTGGCATTACCTTTTTGGTACAGCTTAGCATCGTTTAGCGTTGTGCTGGTGCCTAGGGCGCAGTGGCGTAGCCACCGGGGGGGGGGGCCGTGGGGGGCGACCGCCCCCCCCCCCATGAAACCTTGTCGCCCCCCAGTCCCCCCCCCCCCCCCCCCCCCACACTGAGATTTTGAGTTTCTAAACAAATTATCATTGATCTAAATCTAATAGTCGCGAATGATCCACATGATGACCACTGAAAAACGACCCTTCGACCGGCGACCGCGGACCAGTAAGCTGACAACCGGCGTGACATAGCGCATAATGATAATCTAAAATCCGTATTAACACCCACTGCATGCACTGCTCGCTCACACCACGGAACATGTATTATAGACAGGTGGTCCGTGGGTCACACAGTTTCAGTCAGCGATATCACGCGAATCGGCCACGCACAAACTTTTTCGTCCATTCATAATTATAAGCTAAATAATAATAATATACCAATTAAAATTCCTTGAAATCAGTGGCGTAGCCACGGGGGGGGGGGGGGGGGGGGGGGGGGCGTGGCGTGGGGGGGGACGTGGGGGGGGGGCGAACTTGAAGGTGGTTATACAATTGCCATTCAAGTCCCTAGTACAGCACCGTAACTGTTATATCAACTAAATTCGCTAAGGTAGGGTTTGAGATCGGATTACATTTGCATGATTACATTAAATTAGAACCCCCTTTTTGTTAGAAATGTCTAGCTATGTGCCTATGCCTTCCAGGGTGAACATCGTAACACGAAGGAAGTCACATGAATCAAAACTGATCGATTATAGAACAGAATTGGCATGTGTGCAGGGATAACGTTACGGTATCCGCAAGGGTGAAAAATCTGCAAGGGTGAAAAAAAAACTCGTACCGGTGATCCGGTGATCTGGTGATAAATTGAATCGGTGATCCGGTGAACCGGTGAACCGGGTGAACTTCATCGGAAAGGCGTGAGGCGGCTTTACAATACGGGATGTCATGCCTGAACGCACTTTGCCAAACCGAGTAATGTGTCAAACTTGGCATAGTATTTGAAGCTTTTCGATATAAAACGTGCATTTGATTTAAATTTAGCTTTAACGAACTGACATTAACTCATCACAACAATTGCAGAGAGATATCATACTAACCTCAGCCTTCTATATTAACTTGAACACATTACGACAAGTTCTGCAGAGTGTTGAAAACTAAGCCTGCCCCCTAAATGTCAAAATGAAAATTGGGGCACGCACCCTGGTCTTGCTGTCATGATTCGAGCTAGATGAGGCATAGGCTGTGGGTGCAAGCTAATTAATCCAATCGGTTTTGTACTCACCCTTTCGTTGCCCATGACGAGTTTGCAGACCTTAATAATAAACGACCGACACTCCGTTATTGAACACTCCCTACAGCTTGCACTGCTGATACTGACTGAGTACCACTCGTCACTGTTATACACTCCAGGCAGGAGTCAAACAACGAGGACATATCGTCGTATAATGGGGGACAGCAAATTCGGTTTCCGTGCTCCATCTAGCCTTGGTCAATGCTCTCGTCGTTATTCGTCCCGTACTCGGTCAATCGTCGGCATACATGTATATATCCTCACGCGCTATGCACATGCATGTAAAAATACAGCGCGAACTTTAGGACCTCTTAAACTAGACACTCTGCGTAAATTACAATTGAACCGTTTGGAGGAGTACAGGGTTCAATGAGGTACATGTACGGGGTAAAGGTCGTGTAACTGCAGCCTCTGCAAAACCTATAGGGCGCCCTCTTTTGACAACTAGGATTGTACTTGTTGAAAGCACATTGTTTTTAGGAGCCATCTTTATTGCATGTTTTATATTGTACTCCAGAGCATCTAAAAGGACCACCAGAACCTGATTGTTTTTAAGGCCTAAATAACCCCCAGAAAAAGCAAGGAGGTATTGTTTAATGATAACTCATATCATTGAGGACTTTCTAGAGTCTTTTGAAGCTTTAGTTTATTCAGTTTTTATAAGAAAAGTACTGGACTCTCATTTATATGTTATTTGCATGTAAACATAGTGTATAATTCCATAATATTAAACTATGTATTTGGATTTGTTCTTGTAATTGCAGTTTTCACGGAGCTTTGCCAGTTCATGTTTCGTATTCAATGGATGGAACTGTAGCCTAGATCACAGAGCCTCAATTATTGGAAATTATTTGAACTTGAGCCTGTGTGCTGATCCCTGATCCTTGAATCTTTGTTCTGTATTGGAGCTGTGTTACCATACTACCATACTGAAGTGAGAGCTTTACAATACATTCTTGAAACAGCAAGCTTCTGTCGAGACCTTGTTTATTTGTCTTCATCTTATTTTTCGAGACACTGCGCCCCCTAGTGGCACCCACACCTTAACATAGGCCACCGACTTCATGCGAATCGATAAGGCTGCCGCTACAGGTCGTGGTACTCAGTCGTCGATACGCCGGGACAAGATGGACTCATTCTCCGGCTTCGGCCCGCTCGATGCCGCTCGATACTCCTCGGTCTCGTGGTGTTTCTGGTGCTGTATCGTTTCCTTCGCCGTACGCCGCTTAATTTACCGCCTGGCCCCACAGGCTGGCCGGTGCTTGGGTACCTACCACAGCTAGCTGCGGCTAGGGACGATCCACATGTTGTCTTTTCCAAATTGGCTGCAAGGTATATTTTTGAGTATTATTTACTGACGGTCTGGTCATCATCAAAGCAAGCCTGCGACTTTTTGTGTTGATAGCTTTTATGCTTTAATTATTACACAGTGCTGATATGCGAAAACATATTGTGTAGCCCCCCAAAAAATTGTCAAGCCCCCCCCCCCCGCCCCCCCCCAAAAAAAACTCCGTCAAAAAATACTGTAGGCCCTATCACTGACTGATGATATAACACAAAATTGGCAGTCGCAAATGTTAAACGGTGACGTCACATGCGAAAGGTTTCCCCTAAACAATATAGTCGTGAGAAGGGTGCATTTGTACACTATTGTAATATAGTGTGTATGATTGTAGGATTTTATCAGCGCTCCCCATTAAAAATATGGTTCCCCCCCCCTCCCCCCCCCCCCCCCCCCCCACACACACACACACACACACATACTTGTTTCACATGACTAGTGTGGACTTTCCATTGCTTTCGTGTAGTTAAGAAAAACCAGTGAAAAAACTCATTTTTCTCAAACTGTGAAAACTCTTTCAACCCAATTTTTTTTCTATGATTCCCTTTAGTGTTTCTCTTCATTCTGCTACAGATAAACCTAACCCAAAAATGCCTCTAAACCTGTTTTCCAGAAATGGGGAAACACTGTGTGGACGTGGGCAAGTCCACACAACGTCGGTGCTACCTACATTATGTGGACGTCTTTGTTCGGAAGTCCACACTGCGTATGTAAGACAAGCTCACCCCCACACACCTATTGATTTTAAGTGTCCGGAGAAAATAACCGGTCTACATTTCAGCACACCTCCCTGCACAAATTTCTGGATCCATTCTGCTAGCCCCCTAAAATATAGGCTTTAGAACCGCGCCTGAATTTGAACACGGGCGGGGAGCTACAAATGCAGGTTTCTCCTACCTGGATATAAGTAAAGTAAAAGTAGTCTGTTTCGGGCCAATACGGCTCATCAGGCAAGCGTTGCTCCGGGGAGTGAGGCCTAATTATAGTTAGGGTTTGTGACTCGTGATCGGAGGGTCAGGGGTTCGCATCCTGCTGCCGGCCAAATAATGTGTTATTGGGCAAGCCGCATCTTACCGGTACCCCAACTTGCCTCTCTCCATTAAGGAGTATAAAGTACTGGCATAATCGGGGTATAATCAAACCTATGGTGGACTGGCATCCCAATCAAGTGCAGTTTTCACAGGAACTTGAGATATGTAGATAATCTTCTAGAAAAAAATCCCTTCATAAATTAGGTATGGAAATATCATCAGTGTGAATTTGGCGGGGACTCTGGTGGTGGTTCTGCACGGACACCACACCATCAAGGAAGCCTTCAATCTCCACCAACTCAGCGCCAGGCCCACCCTCTACGTCAGTGAGAGGCTCCGCCCCGGTGTAGGTAAGCCTGTCTGGATGAAACACTAGCTTTATATTAATTAAGTCCCGAATCAGATTTGCCATAGGTAATACTGACCCGAAAACTGGGGCTAAATATAGTTTGTCAGATTCAGGGGCGCACCCAAGTGGGGGGGGGGGGGGGGGGGTTCGCCTCGGGGGCCTTTAGCCCCCCCCCCCCCCCCCCCCCCCCCGCCCACAAGAGGTTGTCAATTCTTTTGTTTTTTGGGGCCAATTTTTGTTTAGTCCCATGATTTGACCGTGGTGACACCCCTGTGTGGTCTAGGGGCGTAAATAGCGCCACTTCATTAAAGTCCGTCCCTCGAGCTCCTTCCCCCCCAAAAGGGCAACATTTTGTTAAAAAAATCGAACTTCTACAAACATTTGGAAAACAAATTGTGGGACCCCCCCCCCCCGGCCAACTCCTGGGTGCGCCACTGGTCAGATTAACAAGACAGTATCTTCTATCTTTTCTGGGTGACGAGTTATCGAGTCAGATGAGTTCAATCCTTGTCATCATGAGAAGTCCTACAAAAACGATGAATTAGAGATTCAGGCCAGTCAGATCAGTAGTGACACCTGTTATAGGGAATTGAAATCTGAAAAAAAAATGTAAACGTTGGTCGGCATTTTGTCCAAACCCAAACATTGATGCCAATACTCAGAAATATGCCGCACTAAAGATGTGTTACGGACACTATTTTGGGTCGATATGAACAGTTTTAAGTCTTTTGGGGGGGTCCTATTTATAATAGGTATCATAGCGTCCTCTGGCGAGATATGGACTGAGATCCGGAGGTTTTCCTTGACCGTCCTGAGAGGCTTCGGAGTGGGCAAGTCCAGTTTCGAAGAAAACATTGCAACGGAGGCAAAGTTCCTGATTGAGGAATGGCAGAAGGAAGATGGATCCCCGTTCGACCCAAAGCACCTGATATCAAGCGCCGTGTCGAACGTCATCTGCTCCGTAGTCTTCGGTGAGAGGTTCCAGTACACCGACGACAACCTCCAACGTCTTCTCCAATACTCGGACGACATCTTGGATCAGGTCGGGGCAGGGGGCGCCATCGAATTCTCGTCCTTTCTCTCGAAACTCACGTTCCTGCCGAGCATCAGGAGGTACGTGGCGACGGCCAGGCGGTTCAACGAACAGATCGACTTGATGGTGCGCGCGCATGCTGTCGACTACGACGCCGACAGCCTTCGTGATCTGATCGACACCTTCCTAAAGCAGAAGGAAGTCAAGGAGTCGACGGCTGGTGGGGAATCTAAAGTCTTCACCGGGAACAACCTGAAGAAGGTTGTCGGTGACCTTTTCATGGCTGGAAGTGAGACTACGACCACAACCCTGAGATGGAGTCTGCTCTACATGATGACCTACCCTGAGGTGCAGAGCAGGGTGCAGAAGGAGCTTGATGACGTCACAAGGAGGAATCGATTCCCCCGGATGTCGGACAGACCTGATCTACCGTACACAGAGGCAGTTATCTGCGAACTGCAACGGATCAGCACCATCGTACCGCTAGCGGTCCCTCACTGCAGCACCGAAGACATCACATTTCAGGGGTAAATACCCATGTCAACTTTTCCATCGCAACGAAGTTTTTTATTATTTTTTGTTAAAGATTATTTTCATGATTTTCAGGTGTTCACGATCTTATCCAGTTAAGTTAGAATAACCTCATGGCATCTTCTTCCCACCTATAACAAACACAAAATAGTGATTGATTACGGTATCTGCTGCTAGACTCGAATCCGCCATGCCAGTTATTGATGCCGGCCGAGGGTGGTCGAGTGATATTAAAGATATCTGTTCTAAGTTATAGTAAGCAAGAGGTCTTGTGTTCGAGTCCAAGCTTGTGAAATTACTTCTAACAAGCTGTCGGAGACAGTGCTTATGGATTTTCATCTTCACAACGCAAACATTCCATCAACAGAAATTGTAAGTGCAGCATGCAGTCAATGAAATTCATCCTTCAAACGGGTTGTGAATAATTAGATCTTACAATTAGAAGATGTCTTGGTGGAGACGAAGCATGATAATGTTAATGAGTGATCATATGTTTTCTTGTTTTGTTACATCATGCACATTTTCCCTTTGAAAACCATGCAGGTACACCATTCCGAAGGGGGCGATCGTGCTGTCCAACCTTTGGCATGACCACTTCGACCCTGCGGTATGGGAAGAGCCTGAAGCGTTCCGTCCGGAGCGATTCCTGGGTGACGACGGCAAACTGATCAGCCGCGAAGAGCTGACAGTTTTCGGCATAGGCAAGTAAAAGACTGTTTCCAATAATTTGGAATGGTTTGGACTGTTTCCAATGAGAGTGCCAAGAAATCAGAGCACGGGGGGGGGGGGGGGTAGGAGAGGGGTTCACATCCCCCTCAACCGCAAAAAATGCAGGGGAAAAAGGAAAATCGTGCAGAAATGAGAGCTCATGCATGTCCGCTACACCCTCACAGCCAAAGCTTAGATCCGCCCCTGGAGAGGTCACCAACAACGTGGGCCGATAGGGCGATAGACTTTATTCACAAGTCAGCCATATTGAATTGAAAGCGAGGTAAACTCTTCATTTTTGGGAATTTGCAAGTAGAAATGAAAGCAATGAAATGAAAGTTCATTACAAAGTAAAAGCAGTCTGGTCTGATGAATAATTAAAAAATTGTGATGGAACACACCCCATTGTTTTAAACCACATTTAAAATTATTAAAAGTGAGGCTTGGAACGCACTCCAATCATAAAATAGTCTGGCACCATTCCATTCATTTTACAATGTATAAAACAGACGCAGGGGAACCGATCGAAAATGGCTTCCTCGTGAATATTCGAATAAGGTCTAAGGGGTCAAGAGTTCCACCCCACTCTCTCTTTGTAACCGTTGAGGGGGTACTTCTGCGCTAAGTCCGTGGACAAAAAGGAATAATGTCTTAGGTTCAAGTGTATTCTGGTACTTTCTGATAATCTCTCTTTTTGGGTCCTAGGTCGGCGCATCTGTCTTGGAGAGCATCTAGCAAGGATGGAACTCTTCATCTTCTTCACTCTGCTCCTACACGAGTTCACCTTCAAGAATCCCCCAGATGGTCCCCCTGTCTCGCTCCAAGCGATCAACGGAGGCACATGGGCGCCTCTGAGTTTCAAAGTTTGCGCCGTTCCCCGGGCATGAGAGCGACAGTAATATGCTTCAAAGTTCCGATCGGATGGAAAACCAGCAAACTATTAAATTGACATCATAACTCTTTTTAACCTGGGGGATTTGACGAAGATTTTTTGTTAAGGGATACGACCATTAAACTTTATCATAGAATAGAATCACAGATTCTACCCAAAGAACGTGCGACTCATAGTTTCTGTCCGCCGGAGGAAGCTCTACTACTTCAGACATCTGGCCAGGGGACGTACTGGGGAGTTATAGGAGCAACAATCCTGGAAGGCAAAGTGGAGGGCAAAACTCAAGAGGCCGATCCAAAGCAACCTGGGGAGACAACATCAAGGCCTGGACTGGACTGGACTCGGCATCCACACACAGTGTGGCGCGCCAAAGATCGCCCAAACAAAGTTGGCTAGTATACAAATATAACATGGTTTGAGGGTGGACAGTCGATATTGGCTCCCCGAGGTATTGGAAGATGACAAACTAGTTCCCGAGGCGAACCCGAGGGAACTAGTTTGTCAACTTCCAATACCGAGGGGAGCTAATATCGACTGTCCACCCGAAATAAACCATGTTATATTTGTTTTACTATACTTCATACATATTCAGTTGTCGATTTTTTTTTATATATGCACCTAAAACAAAATTCGGGGAAACTTGTACAGCTCACCAAAAGAATATTGTTGCTCAACTTCAATTACTAGTTCGGTTCGTTTGCAATATAATACAGTTACTACAGTTGTAAATACAGTTGTTGTGTACAACTTTCTTTTGTACAGGAGACATTTACACGGTCTATACATTTTCTCCAGTATGGCATCATTGAGCTCTGGAAATTAACATTTACGCGAACCGTGCAACCATGCATCTCTCCTGGGCGATGCTCGCGCGTGCGTACTGCACCCGTGCGACAGTTCCTCGATTGCTCTGTAAAGCGCATGCGTAGTAGACTGTCGCACGGGTAAACCATGCGACAGTCTACTACGCATGCGTATTTACCCTTTGCGTGAATCCTCGCGCGCGCGTTTGGTAAACAGCAAGAATAACATCTTGCACGTGATGGTGAATTGACCAGTGAGAGTTCGGCTCTCGATCATGAATATGTATGAGGTATAGTAATATACAAATATTGAATGCTTCGAGTGGTGTAGTAAAACTAGCCTCCCGAGGTGATCCATGGACATTCTATTTTCCCGAGGCGAAGCCGAGGGAAAATAGAATGGTCCATGGATCACCGAGGGAGGCTAGATTTACTTTACCACGAGATAAAGCATTCAATATTTGTTTTATAACACTTCACCCACAGATTCTGCTTGATTTTAATATTTCAAATTATTTAAATCTGAACACAGTTGAAATAAACTTCAATTTCAATACAAAATTGGTGGAAAATGTATTTCTCTCTTCCAAACGACCCCTTCACGAAATGTATAAACCCAAGTCTGCGGCGCGCTCTCTTTGGAACAATACGCGCTACGCGCAACGCACAACGCGCACATCAGCATCCATTTGCACACAAATACCGCGCCGTGGAAATAGTACTTTGGTTGCTAATGGTATAGTACTTTGGTTGCTACGGGTATAGTACTTTTGACCGTGCACAGAAAGATAGCAAAATTAGAAAGTAACATGTGACTCGCTCTCGGCCTATCAAGACACAGAATCTGTGGGTGAGGTGTTATAATGCCACCCAACCTCTGTCACACGTCAGAGGACGGCACTGGATAGGATACGATAGCAGTCTTTCGTCACTAATTTTTCAATTGTTCATTTTTCAATTGCGAGTATAAATATTCTCAGCAGCCGTTCAAGAAAGTGCGCCCTCGACCTCAGACGATATCAGTTCTTTTAACTGAGGAAGAGGATTTGAGGTTGTCAGAAAACCTTTGGTAAAGTTTTAAGAAAACCGTAATATATCTCACCAAATCTATACAATAATGAATACAAAGAAATGTTGATACTAATATGAAAAGTACAGATGAGACAGTTTGTGCTGTACCTATAACATCTATAAAATTAACTTGACGGGGCGCAATGACTTGTAGGCCCTAATCATGATAATAAATAAGTCTGACAGCACGTGTCCTGCTCGGCAAAGGTTTTGCAGCGCAAACTGTCTTGACTCGCACAGTCGTAAACTACCGACAAATCTGCTGCACCATAGGCGAAACGGTTTCGTAATCCCCCCGCCCCCCACCCCACTTGCTATCGTCATCCCCGCCCCCACTCGTCGACAAATACAAATCCCCCTCGCAAAATACGGACGGACTAGAGCAAGTCTAGTGGTGACTATGGCCGGCAGGTGAACAAAATCTTGGGAAGTTTGACCTTCGCCCGCGAAATCGATCAGCACACAATGCATGCCGGTGATAAAGGGCCCAGTACATGTAACGGCATCATCTACAGAAACTACGTAAACGTACGGTAGGCCCACATGTAGAAATTTTGACAAAACACACTGGTTAATAGAAGAGCAAGTAGTACGTACAGTTTTCAGCGTGAGGTCTTGTACCGTCCGCGGGAAGATGGAAGCGATTGACGGCATGATGGCTCTCGACGCCCGCTCGGTACTCATCGGTCTCGTGGTGTTTCTGGTTCTGTATCGTCTCCTTCGCCGTACGCCGCGTAATCTGCCGCCTGGCCCCACGGGTTGGCCGGTGCTAGGCTATCTACCACAGCTCGCCATGGCAAAAGAAGATCCGCAAAAAATATTCTCCAAACTAGCTGCCAAGTAGGTATAATAGTCCAAAATCCTAAGAGTGTAACAGGCTACACGTAGCCTACATGTATTCTCTTATAGTCGATATTTACTAAATCCAAATGCTACTTTGTCCATGATGTATCTTCAATAGTGATTTCCGTATGAGCATACGTTGCAGCTCCATGGTATGAGTGGTGGGCGTCAACTTTTAATATAAAGGGGTATACATTTTGTATATAGTGAAAATAACTTTACTCTAAAATATTTTGTGTCAATATTTTCATTCCTCTAACTATATGAATTTAATCGGACGCCTGTTTAGGTTGCAATCTTTTTGAAAGAAATTTTTTTTTTGGCAAATAGCAATGTCCGTAATTTCTGACCTTGCGTGCGCTCTGCAGTTAATTTGAGATTTGGTCTCTATTTAAATGCAGTTCGCTCAATGCTTAAACGTGTACTAAAATAAAGGCAAATAAGCAGACTATTACAAAAATTGACCTCAGGAGAAAATCTGGCTCGACAATAAAATCACGACTAAAAATGAGGGTAGGCAAAGGATTCCGTTAAATTACATGTAGGCCTATCTATCGCGCAGACCCTGTAATTTTTTCCTCTATCTTTTAGCTCACAATTTGTTTGCATTTCTTTTGGAATGCCGAATCAAATCACACAACTCGCTCACGTACGCCATTTCACTTACAGATACGGTGACGTGATCAGTGTGAATGTGGCGGGAAATCTGCTGGTGGTTCTACACGGAGTTGACGCCATTAAAGAAGCCTTCAATCAGCCGCAGCTGAGTGCTAGACCGAAACTACACGTGAGCGAGAAGCTTCGCCCTGGGGTTGGTAAGTGAAAAATATTTATGAAGAACATAAGTTTTACAGTATTATCTCGGCTTTGGGCCCGTAATTTGCCACTTCATTGGTAAGCCAAAAATTTTGGGAGAAGAAATCAATGACAACATGTCGTGGTGTCCAGTGACACACGCACCACAAACCGAAGGCTGGACTCGAACCAACAACCTGCATAATTAGATCTTGAGTTGATGCTCCAGAACCCGATCGAGGCTATGGCACCCGATCCACTAATTTGCTGGTAAAAACGCCCAACAGATCGTCCAGAAAAGCATTCTTGCTGAAGATAATTAGACATTTTGCGTTACGAACTTAAAAACTATCCCAATCCGCTTTTGTAGGTATTTTTATTTCGTCTGGCGAGATCTGGACAAAGATCCGGAGATTTTCCTTGACCGTTTTAAGAGGCTTCGGAGTGGGCAAGTCCAGCTTCGAAGAGAACATCGCAACGGAGGCAAAGTTCCTGATCGAAGAATGGAAGAAAGAGGCAGGAACTCCCTTCGAACCCAGACACCTGATTTCACGCTCCGTCTCCAACGTCATCTGCGCCGTGGTCTTCGGCGAGAGGTTCCAGTACACCGACGAGATGTTCAGGCGTCTCATCCACTGCACCGATGACGTCTTCGAAAAGATCGGAGCCGGGGGCGCCATCGAATTCTCGCCCTTCCTTGCCAAACTCACGTTCCTGCCTGTCGTCCGGAGATACAAGGAGTCAGCCCAAGCTCTGGTCGACCAGATTTTGTTAATGGTAAAGAAGCACAATCAGGACTACGACGCCGACAACATCCGCGATTTCATCGATACGTTCCTTAAAGAGCAGAGCAAATTCGGCGAGTCTGAGGTCTTTAATGTCGACAACATGAGACAAGTGGTCGGCGACCTGTTCGTGGCTGGTAGCGAGACCACCACGACGACCCTGCGTTGGAGTCTGCTCTACATGATGGCCTACCCCGAGGTACAGACCCGAGTGCAGAAGGAGCTTGATGACGTCACAGGAAGGAATCGATTCCCCCGGATGTCAGACAGACCTGATCTGCCGTACACAGAGGCAGTTATCTGTGAGCTGCAACGGATCAGCACCATCGTACCCCTAAGCGTACCCCACGTTTGCTCTGAGGACACCACAGTTTTAGGGTAAGTAAAGTATCTGGACTGAGTTTTCCTCCACAGTATTTCAGAAACTAGGGTCCAAATCCTACGAGGCAAATTGACTGACAACTTGGAGCATGTAACCAACCGCACTTTAAGTTTTAAGGAAGAACATTAACAAAGTACATACACTGTATTTTTTAGTAAACCGTTCATGTGAATTCTTGTGGAACTTTGCAGGGAATTTAAAGTTGTCTGGAACAAGTTTCTTGTAAAATTGCAATGTATTACACGGCCCCAAGAGTAGAAGATGGTACGACTCGAATTGTGCACGCGTTACCAGAGTTATTTTGAATATAAGTAATATATTTTAAGGACATTTTGTTCAATTTGTTCAACCTTTGCGATTGCTCAACCGAATAAACGGTAATTACCCCCACAGACCAAGGTTTTAATTGTTAATCACAGAGTTTTGTTCCTCGATTTAGGTACGATATTCCGAAGGGCACTTTTCTCCTCGCTAACCTGTGGCACAGCCACTTCGACCCTGCGGTATGGGAAGAGCCCAAGTCGTTTCGTCCGGAGCGATTTCTGGATGACGACGGCAAAGTGATCAGCCGCGATGAGTTGACCCCTTTCGGCATAGGCAAGTAGATTTATACAGCATGTACAGTACTTACCGAAGTCTCTTGGGCACTTCCCAAACCACCGCGGAGCTCGAAGCTTTCTGCTTTCATTTGCCTAATTTTAGGGACTGTTACTGCAAACCCTATACACTGTATAAATGTACGTACAGTATAGTTTGAAGTTGTCCAATGGGATCGAACCTATACAGCCTCCAACTTGTTCCGGGACCAGAGAGAAAGCCTAAGCCGAAATGACGCCGACGTTTGAGAAACTGCCATAGATTAATGGGTTAATTTGGTGTCACTTTAATTATTTCTGCAACTGAAGAGAATACTCTTCAGAGGAGCTATGTAAATGTAGTTTAGAAAAAAAACTGCGGAAATGGACGACGTTGTGTCGTGTAGGCTGAAGGAAAAGGTTTTTTTGCCAGGAAAACCACGAAATTGTGTTGAAACAAACAAATCAGGGTTGGGATTTGAACCAAGTTCACAGACATGGAATCACAATCCCGATGTGTTGTAGTATTTGGAATTTTAACCAGTGTTTCTTCTGAATTCCTCCTTAAGGTCGGCGAATCTGTCTAGGAGAGCATCTTGCCAGGATGGAACTCTTCATCTTCTTCACTCTCCTCCTGCACGAGTTCACCTTCAAGAATCCCCCAGATGGTCCCCCTGTGTCACTCGAAGGCACCAACACCTCGACCTGGGCGCCCAAGAATTACAAAGTCTGTGCTATCCCTCGAGGGTGACCGACTCACATAGGCGACTTCTAATCAGTAACAGAAGAATGTTGCGAATCTTCCAACAGTCATTATCACATTATTTCTATCATGCAAAATATTATATGTACACAGATTATGCATTACCAGTTGATTGTCAATAATGTGACCAAAGCCTTTCAGAAGTTGTGTACATTTATTACATTTTCGTAACATTTACATTGCAGTACTGCTGGACTTGCATTATTTTCTTATTGTCATGGTCAAGTTAAGGAATACGGGTTTAATATATAGTATCCTCATGGTCGTTGAGATACTGTAAGTAGAAATACATGTAGTATGTTTGGTATAAGTACATTTTGAAGAAACCGAACTCCAAGCACTCTTGTTGACTCAACCGATGGGCAGCCGTGTTAGTCAAAACAGCTACAGGTTGAGTAGATTATGTAGCATATTTTAAAGCTTAACTTATAAACTTGCTCAACCTTTCGCAGCAAGCAGTTCCATGAGCGAAACCCTCAAGAACCATTCAAATCACTCATGTACTTTTCAAGTTACTGAATTTTAAACACAACCGCCTTTTTAAAGTTCTGTCCACAGATCACAAAAAAGGTTTGTGTTCTTTCAGCGCAACGAACACAATTCACACACATTATGTGATATTAAGACAAGATAAGTTTGCGGTAGCACCATGTGAATAAATCCTTTTGTAAGTATGTGTGGTTCTGAAAAGAACCTTTTGTGGTTCTTTTCAGAACCACACATACTCAGAACCACACATACTCACAAAAGAGATTAATTCACATGGTGCTACCGCAAACTAGGCTTGTCTTAGTATCTTTCCACCATGCAAACCTTCAAATCTCATCAAATGTGATTTGTTTTCGTTTTGCTGAAAGAACACTTACCTTTTTGTGATCCGTGGACAGAACTTTAAAACGATGCATGGTTGTGTTTAAAATTCCGTAACTTGAAAAGTACATGAGTGATTTGAATGATTCTTGTACTAACAGAAAGCTTATGAATTGGGCTTGTCATATCCTAGCTTTAAAGTGGCTACATGCAGAACTTCACTAAAACAATGGTTGCGATATTTGGGTTTCGGTTTGGTTTTTTTATTGACCGTGTATATCAAAAGAATGGCTTTAAACTAGAGAACAAATGTCTCGTGATGAACTCATAAGCTGGACTTTAGTGTGATGGACTCAATTTAGTGTAATGGACACAGTTTAGTTGGGGTGATGGTGCAATTATATGGAAAATTGTTCTCAGAGTGACACCAGGAAATCCTTGAGTGGTGACTGTGTGTTGGCCTTCTCCTGCTTGGCCCCGGCCAGCATCCGCTGCAGTTGCTGGTGCTTCTGCTTGTTGAGATTTCGCGCCTTTCTGGCGGAGGCTGACAGCGTGCCGGCAGGGGTGACACCGGGGGATGCGCGGTGCCCTTGCGCTGTCGGTGTGGTGAACGGGAATGCGAACTTCCTGCGGATGAGAAAACATATCACTGAATATTGATTATTTTGGAATGTCATTATTTTTAATTTTTTTTAATAATGCACAGTGGTGTAAATGGAAATAAAATGTGAAAAAATCGTACGCGCAAGGCGGTTCAATGATTTAATTCAAGTTCGTTGCGCCATGGTGGTCAAAACTTTAGGAAGAATCTAAACTCTATTTGTTGTGGCGTTCTTTCTACTGATTGAGATAAGCTAACGGACTGAGATGGGTTATGTATCATCAGCTAATCTTTTTTTGTTAAAAAAATTCCAGTGTTGTTACTGTTGTAGTCCAATCATGATCCCAGTCCCAGGTTTATTTAGATTACCGTGGCACTAAAAACGTTCTGTGGAATCTAAAGTATCATTGAAACTCGATCCAGAACTAAAGAAAACTTTCAAAGTTTTTGTTGTTCTGCATTCAAGTTTACTATTAAAAGCTACCGGCACTGTTTGTAGAATGTTTGCCTCTGGCTCGGATCTAGACACAACTATAACACTTATCTTATCCAACAGTCTCAAATGAAACGTATTAAATCAAAGGGCTTTGGGCCATCCCCACACCTGCTTTGTTGGGCTTGCTTTGGAGTGAAGTCCCACCTGGGTGTGACAGATGTCCGGGTGTCCTGTCCTCCCGCTTGCTGCGTCTCCTGCTGATGTAGTCTCCTCTTCGCGGCTAGCTTCCTGCGTCCCTCCTGCTTCGGTTGACTGCGGTGTCGCTTGCTGCCGGGAATCTTAGCCGTGGCATTACAAGCTTGGCACTTGATTGACTGGGAGTCAAGAACAACGCGGAGATCGAATTAACGTCTTCAAACAGAATAATGTATGTACATGTACAGTGTATTCACTAAAACATTTTCTTGAGGAAACACTATTATAAAGCCGACTACCGAGTCGATATATACATGTATGTACAATGTAAGTCTTCACCATTTTTTTTTTAAATTGAACTAGATCCATCGAAATCTACCAGGTCTTCTAGGAACGGGAAGGATTTTGTAAAACCGAGAAAGGCAAGGCCCAGCCAGCCAGTATTGTTTGTGAGACTCGATATCCCTTGAAAATTTTAAGTACAAACATATCTGGAAAGTGGTGATTTTTGCAGAATTTGGAAAGGCAAGTACGGTATTTGGCAGAAAAGTCCAGGGCGGTTTGAAATAGCTCATGGGAATACTAGGCGAGTCATCGAATACTTTGTAAGACATCATACTGTGGGTTCAGGTAGCCAACATTTCGCCGACTAGGGGTATACAAAAACACGACGCGAGTAAATAGAGCACAATCTTGAATAAATGTTTCCCGACGCATACCAATTTGGTCTGACTCTGTTCCCATCGTTTCAATTGGCTAGCCTTCTGTTTGGTGAGACTGAGCAGTCCACGAGCAGTCGCCTTCCTCTTGGAGTTGGCAATGCGTCTGGAGAGGCGAAGCTTCGGGGCGAGTCTGGCTGAGTGATTGCCTGGCCGGATGAGATTGAAGCAGTGGGGGCAGTACAAGGAAGATGCGGCTTGACCGTCTAAGTGAATATAAGGGAAAGGGTCCAAGTTTGTCGATTATGGTTACCAGGTCTGGGACGAGGGCGATTACCCTCATAATTTAAGAGCATCACGAATAGAATTCATTAAACTATCGGTGTTACGTTTTTAGTGATGATCCCACAATAATGATGATGATATTAATCATAATAATGATGATAATGTTAATCATAATGACAACGTCGACGATATTGAAATTCAATGAACAATGTACATGTACATGACAGTGTATTTTTCCTAACTCTCCTTATTTATTAAGCATCAACAGGTGTTTAGAAGGGTTTTGCATTAGCTAGGGCTCAACTACATGCACATGGGGTTTGTTGCTGACCTCAGTGTGCTTTTGATACGATGCATGAAACCTTAGTGGGTTGCGGCACATATACAGTGGACTTTGTATGCGTTAAGGAAAGTTCCCCGCAAAAGTGACAAGGACTCAGTGGCTTTAATACATGTACGTGTCTAAACACTAAAACACAACTCTCTAATAAGTGCAGAACTGCCGCCGTAATATTAGAGGAACGTACGCAGAATAGGCCATTGAAGTGGAAAACAGTGTCTAACAAGTACATTCCTTGTAATAATCCATCAGTCCTTCAAGTCGCCAACGCTATACATGTAAATTACTCCACTTACCAACAGTGGTGTTTGATGATGACGTTCTATGAAACTTTGATCTAAAATAAAACATAAATGACGTAACATAGACAATTATGACGGGGCTTTGTGGAGCATCTACATGTACATGTACAAATAATGAACAATTCCCTCCCTTTCCATGCCGAAACGAGGCACGACATAAAACTGCTGCCGCCAAAGATTGATACAAAGTCATGTACATGTACATTGTACAGTCAACTCTCATTATCAAGAGCACTTTTATCAAGAGGTTCTGCTTATAAAGAGCAAATTCTGAAGTCCCAAATCTCAGGTTCTCTTCGTGTTTCTTTGTTTCACTGACCCTTTATAACAACTTTCCCGTTATACAGAGGTAATTTGGGTAGTCCCATCGACCTTGTTATAACGAGAGTCGACCGTATATGTACTTTACTTCATGGCAATCGCTTATTCTGGTCTGCCATTTGCATGAGAATATCTGTTATCTTAACCTGCCCCCCCCCCCCCCTCCCTAAATATGATCAAATCAATGTTAGGTTTATGATCTCAAATGAGCACAAAAATAGTGTTTGGGAAACGAAATTTAATTCATGGACGTCAATGTTTTATTTGATCACTTTTAACGCAAAATGAAATATAAAACAAGTACATGTACAATGTACTTGCATGAAGAAACAAGACACTATACCCATGTTCTAAAGATATCGGCGGAGGTTAATTGTCGGCCCTCTTTACGATATTTTTCGATGGTCATGACATTACGAGTTTTCGATGAAATTAAAACTAAACACTCCAGCAATTCGAATACCAGTAAATGCTAAACAATCATTTAAAGTATCCCTCAGATGACCTCAGTGGAAATGAAATATGAAAGAAAGTTCCATAAAACACGGACACAACTTCGTATCTAGTTTTTGCATAGTAATGGTAATAACATTCGAAAATGGAAGTATGAAATAAATATAAATTAGAACGTCTATATCGACGGACAGAGTAAGTGAAATTAAACTTGAAAGGGATAAAAATAAGATAATCTAAATGTATTACTAGATTACACACTGAAGTAAGAACAGTTTATGGCTAGACGGAGGCAGCTTTTGATTGAAAAAGACGTCTACGGCAACTCGGATGTCCGGACAGTCTTCTGAAGCGTAACGACCGCGTGTGGCGGTTCAATGCACGGTGTGCCTCGGCCTGGAGACCAAGAGCGCGGGCTGCGGACATGAAGGTCGGTATGTAAGGGGCGCTGTAACTTGGGTAAATCTGGGAGATCTCAGAGAGTTGGGTGAGGGCTGTCAAGATCATAGCTCGCACCTCGGAGTAGCTTTTGAGGTTGGGCTCGGGTCTGGCTGTCGAGGTGAGCTGATTCAACCATCCTCGAACGGTGCATAGAGCTGAGGTTGGGACATAAAAGTGAGAAGAGGAAAATTGTTAACCACTGACGAAAATTTATTACAAATAGTTCCAGGCATGCATGGAGGAATAAAGAATGCTTCGACCAAGATAAGGGTGGAAGACTATCATTCAAAACTTGACAAACTTGGAAATTCTAAGAAGTGTCCTATAGCCTAAAATGTATGTTGGAAGAGTTCCCAGTTACAAACCAATAGCTCGTTTCATACCTCAGTACGGTACATGACGTAACGGTCAAAGGAAAACACATTCTAAGATACTGAACACATTCAATGTTTTCTTACTGCAAACTGTAAAACAGACGTCGAATTCTTGTTTTCATAACACCTAAGTAAACTTGAACAGAAGATCCGAATATGCCTTCAAGTAAATTTTCATAAACATTGAGATGCTTTGATTGAATGGATTCAATCTTTACCAAGTTTGGGTGCAGCCTCCTTTATCCCAGGTACGGTGTTCAGCAGGTGCTGCCTTATGCACCTCACGGAGGCGTCGCAAGGGCCCATCCAACTCCTGTAGCTCACCCGACGTCTGCGCTGAACGCTGCTCCTGATGTAGCTTGCGATGGCCGAGGAGATTTCTTTGAACCGGGAGGGTAGATGACCACGTAGATACGGGGCTCGACTGGTGGAAGGATCTGCCTCAGGGCTCTTGGATGCCGACCACTCTCGGATGCACCACTTGTGACTGCAATCGCAGGAGGCGGGTGGGGGGAGAGTTGGTCGTGCACGAATGAGAGAGTCGATGGAAGGTGCGGTGTCGTTGCTTTTGAGTAACGAGCGCTTGACCTCTGCCGTGCTATCTTGGTGGGATTGGCCCGGCTGTTCGTCATTTTTAAGACTGTTCTCCATCTTGTCGCACATCTTGACCGGGACATGTACTGCTTCTCGAAGAGCGAATCGAGATCTGATCAATCTACGAGATTGTTGACGCTATCTTCGTCTTTGAAACTACAATGGGTGCACTGGAGTGCGGATCAAACGCCGCTTGCCGTGGGCGTGGGTAGTTATCAAAAGGACCGGCCCGAACTCACAGAGAGTAAACCGGGCTCTGATGTGCCGACCAATTAGCGCCTTTGCACCAAGGCAAATGATGGAGGGCACCGAGGCAAATTATGGAGGACACCAATGTATGTGAGGACACAAAAAAAGCAAAATAGTACCCACCTTGTCTGTACAATCCAAGCTTGAAAAAAAAAAAACCCGCGTCGCCGCATCACTTCCGGAAATTTGGTCTGACCAGAGACCGAATATTTTTTTTTTTGCCTAAAAAGGAAGTCAAAAGAAACATCTGGTACCCAGTCTCTGTTTCTATATTATTTCCTCGACACATACCACCAGACTAGCTACAGTAGTCAATCTTTTTCAACAAGTTGGGCATGTACCAGTATAGTCTTGGGCTTTAAATTGAAATCACTTGGCTGCAGTCTCATTATTCTCAATCATAATTATAGTAATTACCTCAAACATGGCTTGTGAAATAAATGAAAAGAATGTTGCAACCTGACGCTGCTTTTCTCCATATACATCATTCAATGAAGATCTGTCATTGCAAAAATTTCCAATTGAGTTAGGAAACACTTGCAAAATTGTCTTGACTCTCCATAGACTTTGTACACAACCGTTGAAGTAGCGTGTCTGAGGTTGCTACATTCTTTCCAAATAAATTACTGAGAACCTTATCTTTGCCTTGTGTCTTTGTGGACATTTTGAGAATCTTGTCCGCTAAAGAGTTAGTAAAGTTGGCCTGACTTTCTTTTCTGTATCTGTACAGCTACGTTGCAGAAACCTATTCAGGTATCATGATCGCAACGGAGTATAGGTACTCAAGGCACTGGGAGTTATGTTTATTATTAGATGAATGAATTACATGAGAAATATGAGACCCATTACATGTATGTAGCACCTTATAAAGGTTCACAAGGTGCTGTGGCCACTGCCAGAAACACCGGGGCGAACCCTGGGTTCTTTAACGTGCCTTATACAACACGGTCTTTACTTCCAATCCTTAGGACGAAGCAATAGTGGTAAAGTGCCTGGAGTAATTGCAGATGCAGAATACTGCGCCACTCGGAAATACACCCCTAAAATCTCTGGCTACGCGGTTGGAATCACTGGAAAAGAAACAATTCCAGTCCATTGCCAGCTACGCGGATACTGAGTGGGGGTCCATTATTTGAGAACGAAGCAACACAAAAGGAATGGGAGTTGCTGAAATTTTTTTAAGTCCAAACCAACTACCCTGTTGCCGGCTACGCGGATACGGAGTGGGAGTGCAGTGGAGCATGACGCACGTACATGTAGTGCTGAGAAGGTTTATTGAGGTCAACCAACCGTGACTCCGTAGCCGGCTACGAGGTGGATAGATTGAGTGGCGGGATATTCTGCATTTGTGCCATGTGCCTTGCTCAAGCTAGAGCACAAGCACCATGTTCCCACGCGCGGTCAGGATTCGAACCCATGTACCACGGCACATGAACACCGTAACAATTGGACCACAGCACCCGACTGTTTTGCATGTATTCTGCAGCATGGAGCTATATGTCTGCACTAACTGATGGTCCCATTGAGTCTGGCTTCTGGCATGTCAGGTGTCATGCCAAAAACTGTCCGGCGCCAATTTGTTTTGCAACAATCGACAATCGGGGACCGGTTCCGGTCAAATATACACTAGCTGCCTTCGGCAATGTTCGGCTTCTACTTCTATAGTTATCATGTTATACTGGCCTACTCACATAAAATATTTTGATAGATGTGGATTCTTCTCGGCATAGAGATTTCCGGCAGCCCATAGGAACCTTAAATTTTGTTGCTTTTCACTGCCTATTTGCTCACGTTCGTGGTCTGCCGCCATTCCGCCTGTTTACGTTTGTAATGCGCGCACTCAAATAGGCAAACACGTGCACTCTGGATATCAAAACCTCCACGCGCCAATAAAGAGTCAATGTACCAGACCAATTTTGCCCGACTAATATCTCTCCTGTTTTTACAAAGATATATTTAAAACCAATTTTAACTCAGTATTTACAACGGAAAAAATTATAATAGTTTCAACTATTCTTTTTCGGAAACTTTGATGGAGAAACTTGTCCAAATTTTAGAGTAAATGTGGTTTTTGACTTGGAGATTAAGCAACAAACAAACAAACACTTCAAAATGGCGGCCCCCATGTTGTTTACCATTTTTCTAGGAGTTTTCGTTAGAATTGTTCTATTTAACTCCTCCCTGGCTTCATGGCTAGCAGATAGAGTAGAAGTATCAACGCCTTTAACATCGTGGAAATCAGGTAAGCAAGAATAGTAAGCATTGTGTGTTATTTGAGATAAGATTAAGGAAAAAATAAAAAAGCATTCGCAAACATGGCAAATAAAAAAACTGCGCTGCATGCTGCATGTGCAGTACGCACAGGGAAGTACGCCGTGGCTATAGTTACGGCAGTCGACCGTCTGGTTCCCTGATCTAACAATTTCGACGTCAGGATCTTTTGGTCTGGGAACCCTTTAAAACGTTAAAACTAAAAGTAGGTAAAGAAAGGTAACATTACTTTTTTAACTGGAAAGAATTTTGCAACCTGATGCTGCTTTTTCTTCATTCCCGATCACCTCTATGCAAAAATTAGTGTTATAATAATAGATATAAATATGGAACTGAGAAACATTTCCAATTTTGATAGGAAATACTTAAAAAAATGCTTGACTCTCCATAGACTTTGTACACAACCGCTAAAGTAGCGTCAGGTTGCAACATTGTTTCCTTTTAAAATTCTCTAAAATCCTAGACTAGAGTCGATCCCGGTACCTTCAGCCATAGCATGGTCATGATGGTAGTCCGTTTATCCAATTGAGCTACCAAAACTCGATCTGGTTGGAATTACAGTATATATACATGTGATATAGATGTGCAATGTTTTTCTTGCAATGCTGAAGTAACCATGGCCATTGAAAATAGTGTTACGGCTGCCGTAATAATACAGCGGAAAGAATATTACAACCTGTTGAACCTGATGCCACTTTTTTTCTTCAGTGCATGTTTTATATTAATAAGGTAGTGGATATTTTGCCGGAGGTAACGCCGGCAAACTAACGTTTACTAAAGGTTTGCCGGCGGCAATCCATATCAACAGAGGGCGCTGTACTCTTTAAGATAGGGCTGAATTATAACATGTATTAAATTCCCACTAAAGTTGTGTAGCACAATCGGTGCACTGGTTAAGCAATTGCTCTAGAGAGTGGGATGTCCTGAGTTCGAATCCTGATCCCCGTCACATTTTTAAGGTTTTTTTTCCCATCCCCAAATAAATAAGAATTTTCTTCTTTTATTATTTTAATATGTCTCAAACATTTTATTGCAGAGTATGACTTTTTCTTTTTCAGATTTGTGGCTCTGGAGGATTTTTTTTAAAGGGAAATAAAGTCCGAAATTATAAAATGGTCTGATTACCATCTTGTAAATACAAAGTTACAATAATAATAATGGCATGGAGCCAGACTAAAATTTGTCACCGGAAAATGTTTTAAGTACAAAAAAACAGTAACTGCGCATGTTCAGTGCATATCCGGCAAACTAACGTTTACTGAAGGTTTGCCATCTCCGGCAAAATATCCACTGCCTATTAATAAAGGTCAGTCGTTGCAAAAATGTTGAAAAGTTATTAATCTGGGACTTAGAAACATTTCCAATTTTGTTAGGAAATACTTCAATAAAATTCTTGATTCTCCATAGACTTTGTACTCAACTGCTGAAGAGGCGTTTGGATACTACATCCTTTCCTATTAAAAGCCACTACGTAACACGTATTGTGCGAAGAGAAAAGCACAGATAGTATTGTATGCAATCAGCGTTGCTCGGCATCTACATGTAAACATATAAACATGGCAGTATTCTCCATGAATGATGTGTCGAATCAAAGTTGAGACATTCCATTCTTTGGTATATTGTTATAATTTATTGGGGCTGATTATGTTTCAATGATTTTGCTTTATTTACAGTTATAGAAGGAATTACCTTACTACAGAATGGCATCTCGCCATATGCTGGAGATGTATTTCACGAGGTGAGTATTATATGATAATGTATCTTAACCTGCAGTGATTAGTAAAGTAGCAAAATCTACAATGAAAACTGGAATATGATAATTGTTGTTGACAAATACAAGAAATACTGTTCATAAAACACGGAACTATAAGAGGATTATCGGTATCAATATCAATTGGTAGTAATACCTAAAAATACTTTAAAAAAAATTCTGATGGAGTGTCATGGCCTAGCTGTTTCAGAGGCAACAGTGACGTGGGTTCGAGCCTGCCGGCGGACACTTGTGCCCTTAAGCAAGGCACTTAACCATTATTGCTTCGTCCTTCGGATGGGATGTAAAGCCGTAGGTCCCGTGTGTTGTATAATGCACGTAAAAGAACCCAGTAAACACTTATCGCTAAGAGAAGGGGTTTGCCCCGGTGTTTCTGGCCTCCTGTATAAACTCCCACGTGGAGTATTTAGGAGAAGAACCAACCAAGAACCAAGAACATGTAGCTTCTAAAAGAGGTACACCATGTTTTTCCCCAATTCTTCAGTAGTAGTGAAAAAAAAAAACAGGCTTGGTGTTGTATCTCCATTGTTTTAATTAGATATGAGTTTTAGATTAAGCTGCATATGGGTGTGGAATTAAGCACAAATATGAATTGATGTTTAAATTTTGTATTTTTCCTCTTACAGACACCACTTGTGCTGTATTTCTTCCACCATGTGCTGTCTGTAGGACCATGGCTGGTGCCCACAGTCTTCGTTCTACTGGACCTCATCACTGCCTGCCTGCTGCATGCAGGGGCAGGACACTGCTTGACGTACCTTGTAAGTTGGTTAGTTTGTTACAACAGATGTGCATTTCCACATTCAGGGTCATTCCGATCACAAAGGATCAAAGAAATTGTTACCCTCCTAGTTTGTCTGAAAACTCACTGGTAACCCTAGCCCTGCTGAATCCAACAGGATCCAACTATATCATATACCCGTTGGAGCCTGTTGGATTGAGCAGTAAACCCCTGGTACAAAATTTATGCATATTCAGAGTTGGATTCTGTTGGGCACTGATAAATATTACCGCCAAGTTGGACTCTGTTGGTTCCAGCAGACAACTAAAAATTTATAGGCACAGCTTGATTCTGTTGGATTGAGCTAGAAGGAACCGTTGGACTCTGTTGGATTGAGCTAGAAGGAACCGTTGGACTCTGTTGGATTGAGCTAGAAGGAACCGTTGGACTCTGTTGGATTTAGCAGGGTAGTCATGTGGAACCCTTGTTAAGAGAAGTGAGGATGATTTATTGAAGAAGCACATTTTTGAGGATTCAGGAATTTCTAGTTAAAAATGCCTTCAGAAAATAGCTATTTTGAACATACCTCAAGTTCTTGAAATTCTCATTCTTCTTTGTAACGTTTCCCTACGTGACTGTCCTCATGTCTTGCCAATTTGGGCAACAAATTAAATGTGATTGTTTAAAAAGTCCCCCTTTGATTTATTTTTTTTCTTTAAAATCTTTTCGTTTAGTATGTTTTTAAGTTTTAACGTTGTTTGGATTTCAAATTATGCATTAAGGCCAAAAAAAGAAAGAAAGATGTTTAGCACCCTGCCTTTTTGAAAAAAAAGGAAAGAGGAGACCCCCCTTTTTTTTTCTTCCAAAATGGCCGCCCGATCCGGCTATTTTTCAATAAGGCCGCCAGGTTTTTTTTTAAATGGCCGCCATTTGGACTCAGGAAATGACATACCAGCTTTATATGGGCTAGATGCAACAGACAAAGAGGCCAAAATGATGTCACTGTTTAAAATTTATCATTATTGGGGTTTAAAAAAAAGGGGGAAAAAGGAGGGTGCCTGCTCAAAGGAAGTGGGAGGGGACGCTAAACATGTTTTTTTTTAATTTGATCTTACAGCTTTTGACTCAGTCAAAGGAAAACAGGATATACTCCAAGGATGCAGATAAGCTTCTGATAAAGAGATCTGATATACTTGATTTGCCTCGGCTGGTAGCTTCAATGTGAGTATTATAATTCTGCTTTCTGTTCCTCAATAATACTGCAATGTTTCCTTGTACGAAATTGAGCTGTAACTTTTGTGCTCCTTTGATTGAAGGTGATCCATACTTTAGAAAATCATCCAATTTCCAAAACTTGTAAAATAGGTCAATTTCTAGGTTTGTTGCATGCCTTCTTTAAAGACCATGAATCAGTTTGAGTCTTTTGTTATAATTATTAAGGAACCAGGTTTTCCTTTCAACTTCCATTTGTTTATGTTTTTTCCAGTTACCTGTTGAACCCCTACACCATAGTCACCTGCGTGGGTCAGTCCACTATAGTCGTGACTCATCTTGCAGTTGCAGCAGTCTTTCTGTTTACAACCAGAGGTATGAACAACTTTGAAAAAGGGCACATGTGTGCTCCATCTGGGCCAAGGTTAAATGAAACTCAGCAACTCAATTTCTGACTTTGTCTCCGATGGACTATTGTAACCCAATTAATGAGACATTGCCTGAGTTTTTACTAAAAATGTTTATGTGTTGCGCAATTGTTTTCAGAAATATAACTTGAGAATTTTATTTTCTACTGTTGCTCAGGGCACAGGTTTGCAGCTACATTGGCCTTAGCAGCAGCAACATACCAATCTCTGTACCCAGCAATGACGGTAGTGCCTTGTGCAATGCATCTGGTCATTTTAAAGGTAAACTTTGAGTAAGACGGCTGTTTGCTACTAGCTGTTTGTCCTGTAAAAGAACTATTACGAGCATACCTCGTGTGAGCTGTATTCAAGCTACTGGGTGTGTGTGAGGTGCATGCATGCTGTGGATTTTCACTGGTCCGGGTGCCAAGATTCCCAATATAGGATTTGGTTCACGTTGTTGATGTTGCTGTCTACTGCCCCGGCAGCTTGACATGGCGTTCCTGGGGCTGGTTGCATTAGAGGAACAACATCCAAATGCAGTCTTGTGGTACCAACTGCTATATCAGTTTCAAACTGGCAGGCCGTGGCTTTGTCTGAGTATGTCCAACAGAACCCTCTCTGTCTCTGGTCCAACGTCTGATATATCTAAGTATACATAGAAGTTTGTGACATCATTTCATTCCGAAATCTGGACTAAGATTTTATTTGGTCAATTTTGATGTCACGTTTTTGTAATACAACAACCTGTACCTCAACACGACACTGACTATCAAAACTGTTAGTAAAATGCTACTCATCGTGAGTGTAATGTTTACGTGTGTGGGGAGATCGCATCACACACGGGGTCGCGCGTATAGAAGGCGCCCGCTGATTGGTCACTTTCTCGAGGTCACATGCAGGCGAGTTGCAAAATTAATTGCCTAAAGACTAGCCATGGCCAAACTGTAAGATGTCTGCACTAGCAAGCAAGAGGTCATTCTTTTAGACTTCTTGCAAGCTCAGAGTATGTATATGTAAAGTGCTAATGAATTACATTAGTGAAGGGCATGGCTAAATCTTCAATTGACCAGGGTAATAATATTAAATGTTCCCACTAAAGAATTATACTCACGTTGATCACGGTTATCAATAAAAGGTAATTTGTTTCTCTTTTTCTCATCTTCTCCTAGGCTCAGACTGGATCCTCCGTTGTCTCCTACCTCAGTTCCTCCTCCATCAAGTCTTACATCTCCACTACCGTGATGTTCATCTTCTGGCTGGGATGTCTTCACGGACTGTCTTTCCTCATGCTGGATTCCTGGGACTTTCTCTTCTCCACTTACGGCTGCATGTAAGTCCCAGCCTGTTGTGGTGTGTCGCCTGGGATTTTTTTACAACTGCTTATCTAGCTCCCAGAATAATGTTTTTGAAATGGTATCATGCTGAATGGTATCACATGTCATCCGATGAAAACTGGGGTGCCAATGAATGTTTTCACTGGATGACGTAATCTTGGCCGTAATATGGTTCATATTTCATGTGAATTTGATGTCATGAAACATTTGCAGTCAGATATTTTATTTATCAAAATGTGCTCATTTAATTTGCAGTACCAATTTTTGCTGTGATGCTGAACATTTGCATTGACATGTACTTTTGCAAATAAGAACTCGCCTCTCTCTGTCAGATTTACTCATTACATGGCCAGTGAGTTTGCACTACTTCCCCAAATAAATAATGCTGTTTTTTTTCTTCCAAATATCTTAAACACATTCTACCAGAGAGCATAGACTCAAACGTTTTACCAATGAATTTCTTTTTGACATTAATGTTTTTACCTTAATTGAGTACCGAAGTGTGACGTCATTTTGAACCGGGAAGTGTAGTGCAAACGAATGGAGTACGCAGGTGTGTTGGTTCATGGGCTGAATCCCGCGCTAATGTCTTTTACACACATAATTGTGCGCGTGATGTATTCACTTCGGTACTCTATAGCCTTGGTCCAAATTGCTTGGTTACACCTTTCATTGGCAGTGCATTCAGCTGCTTTCGTTGGCACATGTGGAATTGCCGGCTGTAGCCAAGTTTTTTCTTAAAAAGGAAACTCAGTTTTCCCTTTGTGGTTTATTTAGTAAAGGACACTTTTATATCTACAGTCGAGTCTCGTTAATACAAACTCTTCGGACCTAGCCAAATTGTTTGTTATATCAGAATTTTGTATTAAGAGGAACATCAGTCTCATTCATTGTGCACATAAATGCACAGTCGGGACTAAGGCTTTATGTTTGTTATAACCAGAATTTTGTATTAACAGAGTTTGTACTAACGAGATTCGACTGTATTACATTTTGTATACATCAAGAGCATATTTCATCTCCTCAGCCTTACAGTGCCCAACCTCACCCCCAACATGGGGCTGTTCTGGTATTTCTTCACCGAGATGTTTGAGCACTTCCGTCACTTCTTCCTGTGGGTGTACCAAATCAATGTCTTCATCTACACGGCGCCACTGGCCATCAAACTAAGGTAAATAGTATTGACAGATTTGTGACAGCTTGGCTAAGGCCAACAAAAAAAATAAGTCGGTCTCTGGTCAGCGCGCGCGTCGATTTTAATCATGCGCGTTAATCTTTTTTTTTTTCAAAATTTTCCGCGGTAGCTCCAACAGTGCCCTCTATTGCCGCACCTCCTCAATTTTTTTTTACCAAAGAGCACCAAGGAATGGGAAATTGCACCAAGGCAAATGATCGAGAGCACCAAGGCAAATTATGGAGGACACCAATGTACATGAGGACACCAAAATCAAAATAGTACCCCACCTTGTCCGTACAATCCAAGCTTGAAGAAAAAAAAAAAAACCCCCCAAAAAAAAAAGCCGCGTCCCCGCGTCAGTTCCGGAACTTTGGTCTGACCAGAGACCGAGTATTTTTTTTTTTGGCCTAATAGAGAGCTTGACAAGAGTGCCCTCAGAGTGGACAGGTCCGTGTTCTTCTGAAATATGCATGAGTTGACACTTTTCATTGTTTCTGAATTTACATAACAAAAGCTGCCCACAGTGAGAACGCTCTATACAAACATTCTAAGTGAGATGTGAAATGTTAGATGTTACATGGCTTATAATTCAGGGAAGAGTTTGGCGCGCAGGTTATGCGTACTGCGCGATGTGGCACACCATGCAGCTGTGCCAGTGTATTGTGAATTTAGGAAAAAGAAATTCTGACTCACTGGTAGTATTGCGCATGCCTACGTCAGGATGGTGAATGTTCAACCAATAAAACGGGAAAAGGCACCGGATTTCGTAGGAGTCCAAATTTTACGTGACTCTGGAAAAGTGTTTAAGACCAGCCAGCCGGTCTTAATCAACCATTAAAGACTGACCTCGTGACCGGCTCTCGACCAATAGGAATGGGTAAACTGTCTTAGGTATTATGAATGCAGAATTATAAATCTATCTATTATCTTTCTATTTTTGTTAACAGGAAGCACCCGCTCTTTATGATGTACATTCAGTGCATCATTATAGCCATCTTCAAGTCCTACCCAGCATTTGGGGACACATCGGTCTATCTGGCCCTGCTCCCGGTCTGGTCTCATGCCTTCTACTGTAAGTACTGCCAGTATTGTGAGCACTTCTTGTGGGTACTGGCTACATGATTTTCCAAACCTCGGCCTCGTTTATGGCTTTGCATTCAGGAGACTTTTTGGCCCGAATCTTAGGGTATTCCAGCTCAATACTGGTTCCATTTTCTGCTTTACGGACAGTCCAATGTTTTGAGAATTTTCATTTGATTTAAACATTGAAGGCATCTAATTAATTAAAGCCAGAGATGAGGCTGAACTGAAGAAGAAGCCGAGGTTTCGTAAACATCTAGGCGGGCTTGAGTTGTGGGCTACTACTGCGATTCTTCTTGAGTTGATGTTAGTGTTTTCAAGAGAGCCTATGCTGTAAAGTAAGCCACTAGATCTGAAAATGACCTTTGATAGAAGATGAGTCTAGCCGATGCAGAGCTTAGTACACAGACCTTTCTGTATAAAATCTGGACAACCATTTCGTTAGTTTCTCTTTCATTTTGTAGATCTACGTAACAGTCTTGTGGTGGGAGTCATGTTTGTCCTGTCCTCCATCTTGGCTCCCATCTTGTGGCAGTTGTGGATCTACTCGGGAAGTGCCAATGCCAACTTCTTCTTTGCCTTCACTCTGGTCTACAATACCGCCCAGGTAAGAGGCAGGAAACTTTCAGGTTTTTCAGCATGTTCAGCATTTCTTTTTAGTGGGCGGCTCAAGGATGGGACTTTGAAAGGTGATGTTGGGGCAGAATTGTTGTTGATTCCTAAGTCAAATCACAAGTCAGTCATAATTAAAATGATAAGCATGTCGAAAGTCAGGTCACAAGTTAGGTTACAAGGCAAATCACAAGTCAGTCACAAGTCAAAACAATGGGCTGGGGTAATAACACTGATGTACCATGCCGTGAGCACCTGCTTGATGGATTTGTACAGGTTATGGGCTTCGTGCACCCCCAAAAAGGGCGTTTTTTGGCCACTTTTGAGAGCTTTTGAGTTGCATGAAATACTCACAACTTCCTGGAAGTGCCAAAGCTATCAGCCACAGTGTCTTCACGTGAGCGTCAGGCATCGTTGGCGCGTGTATGCATTCAAATCAAACTTGCGGTGGTCTCCTAGACTAATCCCCGCCACCAATAACTTTGGATCATTAGAAGTACGCAGTGGATGAACCGGAAACCAGTCTCTCCCCGAACTCTTCTTTTCTGGCCGTTGAATGCATGCTTGTGCACAGAGCAGATAAACCCATATTCAAACACTTCACTTGCTCTGGTTCTGTCCCCATTCAGTTGACGGGAACAATTTGGCAAAAATGTGATTGTTGATTCTCTCATTTCTATAGATCTTTCTTGCCACCGATGTCCTGTATGCCTTCTTGAAGCGGGAGTTTGCACTGGTTAATGGAATGAAGCCAACAGACAAGGATGGAAATACTCAACAGGCAGTATTGCAGTAAAACGCATACAGGCAATGTCGTCTTACAATAAAAACTGTTGTATATATTTATAAAAGTTTTCACATTTAAAATAATCCGCAAACTCGAAAGCAGTTTTTTCCATTAACTTGAGCCTCTGACATGAAAGTTAAAAATTTTGTAGAAACACATTGCACAATGTTTTTTTTTAAAAGGAGCATGGAATGTCATAGTGTGCAAGTTCTCTATTGGGACCGTGGACCATAACTGCTCAACTGTTGTAGTCATTAACCCTAAAAGGGCCGGGGGGAGGGGGGGGCGGAAACTGCCCCCCCCCCCTCAACTTTTTTTGCGATAGCCTTGAATTTTTTTTTTTTGCGACCCGAGCTGTTATGAATTTTTAGCCTCGAGCCTTGCACATCTTTTGATATCAAAAACATAACAATCAGACCACGGGTTGCCGCACAGCTTATTGCCGCACAGCTTATTAAATAACATTCTTCAAAACTTACTTATAATAATGACGTTCTCCAAAAATATCACTGGAAGGAAAGCCATCAGTCAGTGGAAAGTTTGAATTCACAGAATTAGTACCCACACTCTGTTAATTTTTGTAAATATAATTAGTTTTGGGATACCAATGGACGGAAAGTTTCTGCATAATCTTTTTCTAAAGAATAAAAATTTGTACAGAGAAAATAAAAATTGTTAATTTGTAGCACATGACCGAAGTTTAAGGTAATAATTTAAAAAGAGCAATTTCATGAGCACTCCTGTGAACCAAATTGCATTGATCAAAATTTCTTTGGTTTTGGATGGGATAAAAGGATCTCCTCTGTGCCCCTTGACAGTCTTCCTCCTTTACTTGAACAATTAGCATTATTCATTGAGTTACATCGGCCCCGACGCAAATTCCATCTTACGAACAGCATTTGCAAACACATGCCCCCATAGCCTTCAAAACCAACCCACTGAGAGGTTTTGGGGATATTTCAATTTGGAAATTGAGTGAGGCAGTGCCCAGTCACTGATACTTTACGCTGAACTTGGTGCCCATTGGAGGCACTTGGAAGAACAAATGATGTGCAATTGTCTTCTCCTTTGAAAGAATCAGGGTGGTGCCCAAGAAAAAGTTAGGTTGAAAGTTAAAAGTTCAGGTTCTTTGGTTAATCCACTGGTGGCATGGGACTGCTGGGAGGCGTGCTGGTCGGTTCAAACCGAGACATTGGTTCACCGTGTTCGTGGCTCTGTTGATACGGGTTGGGCTCGAGTTCCCGTGGTTCGTTGACAGTGTTCGGTAAAGTCGTCTCGCAAGAATAATCCGGTGCGACCGGTGAGGACACGCCGTCCGTGCGAGCGTCCGGATAATGAGCCACCGTGGCCTCGTAAGATGGCGGGGGCTCCTGCGGTATTTCGGGCGGCTTCCACGGGCTACTGCTGTAGTCTGGCGGCTCCAGAGCGTGCGGTGGTAGACTAGGATCAATCTGTATCCCGTTGACTATGAAAAGCCCGGAGTTGCCCCGCGGTATCGGGTAGCGGAGGGAGTCTGTCGGGGTCGCAACGTCCAGAGAGCGGACCCGGTTACGGTGCGCAGTGAGCGCGTTCTTCTGCCGGTGGTGGATGTACCGAAGGATCATTAAGGCACATGCTACGATGACACTGCATGCTATAATGATCCCAATGATGGAGCTCATCTGCAAGGAGATGATATCTGTTCGAGAACAAATCAACGTTACAGTTACAGTTGTAAAACACGCTTGTCTGACATGATCGTCAGTAAAAGTTCGTTATAGCACTACAAATAGGGCTGCAAATGGCTCCCTTTTTTAAATTGGTCTTAAAAATTACAGTCACCAAGAGAGGCATTTAAAAGCCCTGTTAGTAGGGCTAAAGTTCGTTGATGCTGTATTTAAATTTCATGTCGATTTTTTCCCCTTCTACTATCGTCCTTCGGAAGAGACCTTTTTCATGACCTTTTAGACACCTCTACCCTTGTCACTTCATTTGGTCTTCCAAAAAATACGCCCTGCTAGCGAAAATTGTTGTACAAAAAGTTGCTTCCGTTGGAAATGAGGAGGGGGACTCTCCTTACTGAAAAAATGTGATAGTAAAAAATTGATGTGCTGAGTAAACAATAGACTGATCTAATAAGCCCCGCCCAGTGACGCTTTTAACCAATCACAGCCGTGATTTATGTCAAACATATACGTGCGTGCATGCGCGTATGACGCGCGCTTCTGGAGCATCTGGTGTGGCCATAGATAGGTGTGGCATTCATAGATATAGAATAAAAAGACTCGGAGAAGCACACGTGTTGTAACAACACATGAGTGCAGTGGGCGGGGCTTAATGGATCGATCCTTTTCATTGGTCACATTTTTAGCAATGGCAATTTTCTGCTCACCGGATGGAGGGTCCGGAGGCGGGCTATCTGTCTCGCAGCTCACGGCAACATCCTCTGAGTGCAGGCAGTTGTGTTCTCCCCAGCCGTTGTGCGGACAGTGCGTCAGGCGGGACTCTTGTCCCCTGCAGTGGAGATTGTCCAGCAGAATATCTCCCGTGTGAATCCCGTAATCTGGGAAAATAATTATTTTGGTCGGTTGAGCGATATACGGTTATTATGCAAAAGTAAAAAAAAAACAGTTCATTGTAACCCGACCGGTACATTGAGAGAGTAGCGACAAGTATATATTTGGACGCACTGATAGGTCAAACTCAGATAGATTTCCTCATTCTTGGACCAAATATGGCGTCCAAAATCGGTACCTCTCATGTAGCTACCACTGATCTCCATTATCATGCAGATCGGTGATCGCAACTCTCTCTATAGATTGTTTGCGCTGCATCCATCTTTGAGGGTTGTCCTTTTGTTCAACAGGGACGTCATGTTTACGCATGGGTAGGCCTCTCGTGCATGCATTGTTAGTGTTAAACATAAAAGAGTAATAACTAACTTCTAAATGTGGTTGATTTTGCCGTATTATGCCTGCACAGTTTGTCTATCTCTGTTTGTTGTTCTGACCTGTACTGTCTGATGACAATTCTACTCCGTCGTAGCCGAGTTGTCTGCAGGCAACTCTGGCTGCGTTCTCGTTCCAATCATCATCGCACACGGTGCCCCAGACACCGAGGTGGTAGACCTCTAACCGGCCGGCCCACGCCGTGCTACCACCCGTCAGTCGAAGGTCTCCGTCCGCTGGTACATGGTAGGAGAAACAAAAACACGGGTGAAAGATACATGCTTGATATTTTTGTGTGCGGTCAATCTTCAGAATTGTGCGGGGAAACTTTACAATGCGGAAGAATCTAAACATTAAAATTTGCAAAAAAAGTCATCGATATGGGATAAAACTCAACATTGAAAACGTCTGAAATATTATACAGTTTCTCTATCAGCTTTTTAGAAATTAGAATCCAAAGTTACCTGGAGTATGTTCTGAATTACAGATGACCCCGGCGTCACAGTCGTGGCCGCTGCACAAGTCGTCAAACCATCCGTCTCGTGCGCACTGAGCCAGGTTAGTCTCCGTCCCGTGACATCGAAGCCCTGATATGTAAACAGGGCCCGTGAAGTCTGCGCCGAATAGAGTCTTGGCGTCGATGGCCACCTTAAATGTCAACATTTCGATAACATTTGATTTATTTTAAAGGATTCCTGGAACGAATTGTCGACTCAAAAGGCAGAGACGTTCGATTAACTGAATCTAGCCATTTACTTTTCTTCAAGACGTAAAAACAAATATAAAAGGCGCTGTTTTTACTCGATGGTTGAATGATGTTTGTTCGCAATACTGGGCTTCTCCCTTCACCGACGTAATTTTATAAGCAATGAATGTAAAATCGTTCGTCTGTGGAGCTTGCCAGGAGTCGTCCTCAATGGACACCATTTATCTTATCTAGACAGTAACCAATTTCTGAGGGTTAAGATATCTTGAAAACAATCGAAAATTTGGTATACCAGTTATGAACGTTTTTATTGAAAACTTATCAACGAAAATCTTATGGAAGGCAAGTTCACCGTTAGTGGCTCAAAATTGTGGGGTGCTGTGGTCCAATGGTTACGGTGTTCGACTCGTGGGTTCGAATCCTGACCGTGGGAACATGGTGCTTGTGCTCTTGAGCAAGGCACTTTACCATTATTGCTTCGTCCTTCGGATGGGACGTAAAGCCGTAGGTCCTGTGTGTTGTGTAATGCACGTTAAAGAACCCAGTATCGCTTATCGTTTGCCCCGGTGATTCTGGCAGTGGCTGCAATATGCGCCGCAGTACCTTGTAAACCCTTCTAAAGGTGCTACATAATGGGTCTCATATTTCTCATAAACTATTATTTACCTTTCTTTAATAATAGACATAATTTCCGAGCGCCTTGAGTACCTAATTGTTGGTAGATACGTGCGCTATATAAGACTTCGGTGTTATTATTATTCAACATTTAAAAGAAACAAAATTTTCATTTTCTAACTTTGCTTAAAAAAGTTGTATCGCACCTGAGCTCCCTGGAAGCCAAGTTGTCCACACGCCACGTTAGCCTCCTCAATACCCCAATGGTCGCTGCATATCGTGCCCCATGCACCGCTATGGAAGACGCGTACAAGCCCCTCGTACGAATTGCTGCTACCGTCCAAGCGAATCGTTACGGCGTCTATTAATAGTAATAAGGGAAAAAGATCAGATCAATAATCTCTAGGGAGCTGAGATGGTATAATGATGTAAAGTGCTTTGATCTTAATTAAAAGCGCTTTACAAGAACCCGTTAATATAATTACATGTATTATTAGTATTAATAAATCAGTGACCAAAGACAAGATATATCAGGAATATACTCCAGGAAATAACATTGGAAAGGTTATTTTGCTTTTTCATACTTAATTACTTTAAATTTAATGTTGTGACGTCCCATGAATGTATTTTGCTGTCAATTTGTGTTTCTGCCAGCCGAAATGAAACAGCTACGACTGCAGAAACATGGCTATATTTTTTTCTGAGAAAACTGAGGCCAGCGTTATTGACTGCTTGCCATTAAAAACCAGAAATATGACGCTTATACGTGTATATATTTAGAGTAAGATCAACATTTTGGAACCGAAAAAATCAAAACAGCACTCATTACATAAGGACAACAATCAAGCAGTAAATGTCTTATGCAAGGCCACAGTCCTTTTGCGGTCAACTCCTTTCCTACCATGTTTTACACTCTTTTGTCACCGTTTGAATCATGATTAGAGTAATCAAGGAAATTGTCATCTTACCTGTTTGATCGTAAGCCTGGCAGACAACACCCGCAGCCGTATCCCCCAGCTGACACCCAGACACCACACCCCACCCGTCAAAGGGGCACTGGTCCAGCTCCTCCTCCCCACCCTCACACCTCACCCTGTCCATCCAGTACGCCCCACTCCCCGGGGGAAAATCCCCACCCCAGGTGGCGTTCTTGGCCGTGCCGTAGCCCAGCTGTCGGCACACCACGTACGCGTCGTTCATGTCCCAGCCGTTGTCGCAGACTCTACCCCAGGTGCTGTCCCGGTAAATCTCCACTCTACCCTGGTAGATTGTCGAGCCGCTCACCAGTCGGACAGAATGCTGGTCTGTCAAAAAAATACATAAAATTTAAAAACAAAATCTAAATTTAACATCACTATATTAACATCAATTAAAATACCCCAATGTTTTAACGCTGAAAGCGACTTTCTTTTGGAAAATCAATTTGTCATGGAGTGATGTTGCTGGAATTCTATGGTTAGGCCCTACTGAATTGTGGAAGAAGAAATTTCAGTTTTGTCCTGAAAATAAGTTTCACTGCATTTCTTTTAATACCAAAATAATCTTACTGATAGAAACACGGCGCGAACTGTTATTGAAGAGCATATGGTCAAATTAAAAAATATAAAAAAGGATTTGTCAGACTCTCAACTTAAGAGGTAAAATAGTTGTTTGTGATGTTTATTAGGGAAACTCTGTTTTGTGTGTTTAGTAATCACTTTTTAAGTTCTAGTTTTTTTGCAATTACGAATACGTTCCATTTCGAAATGTTGCTTTAGGCCATACAGTGTGCGCATATTGTTTGTGAAAATGACGTAACTCTTGAAATTTTGTCATATTAGTCCAAAAAGAAATCTTACCTGGATTAGTTTCTCCAGAAATTAACCCAAATGTCCAGAAAATCGATAAACAAACTAACATCCCGAGTCTGAGACCATGAGTCCGTGATGGCGTCCCACCCATGACGACTTTCTCCTTGTCACTTTTCAACCCAGAATAAGACTAAAACTTCAAAAAAACTTGCAGTGACTTTCCATTGAGTTCGTGTCCAGTTGAGCCTCTGCCGCCTTCCAGCCGCATCTTCCAACAAGCATGCTTCCTTGTCAGTCCAGTCACATTACCAATCTAAGGGCAAGTTTGGTTTTAATCATGGAGCTATCTCCCTTGCTTTAGCAAGTCACTGTTTATTCGTCAACGACAATAAATATTCCAAATCGCCATGAAAGCTCCCCATTACACATCCTGTTTCGTTGTATAACATTCATGTCATCGCGAGTTGATGGTAATAATCCGAAAGCACGCTGTCCTTTTGCAGTCCTCACAAGCTGTCCAAAACAATCTCAATTCAATCATCAAAACGGTTAAGCATTCTTTACAACTGCTTTTGATGACGTCTTCAAATAACCATCCAGTTCGTCCATCCACTCATTACTTTTGCAGACTATAAGAAACTGTATGTTCAAATATTATAATTAAACCGCCGTCGTTATTTCATTTCGTCGTGTAAGCTGTTATAGTTTGCTTGGTCATCTTGCTGTACGTCACTGCGGGCGTGTATAAGGCTTCCTTGAATAAGGCTTCCAAACACCTTACAAAAGTAATTGTCTTGCGGGTTTTGTAGCTCCTCCACGAACACGCATAATTATGTACATGTACGTTGTAAACAGCTCATCTACAGCGTTAACTGGATCAATAGATCTATCATGGCTGCCCGAAGTCGATCCCCCGTGAAGGTGCAGTCAACAAACCGCCGAGTTGTCCAGAACGCTTGAGCGAGCTCTTTGTTGGCAAACCTACTGTAATGGGCAACGGCAACTAGGGTAAACACCAAAGTGAATCCTTAATGTAGATCAATATTTGTTCGCTCTCCAAGCATTTTTACTCGGAGGACGCAGCAAGCAACTGACATTAGCTCCATTTACAACTACATAAAAACGCTGTTTTCTTTATTTTAAAGGTATATGACGAGTAATCCTCCAAAAAAAAAAAGGAATGAGAAGTGCATCACCTGACCACAACATCTAATTTATTTAACAGCTAGGTCTTGTTGGTAAAATCTTATTGTATTTTCCCAAATGTGCACAAACTAAATGGCGCCCTTATATCGTGTCTGCCATATCTATAAATAGATTTGATTGTCTACCGCAGCCGGAACACGCAGTGTCAGGGGCGGATCCTGCTTTGGCTGCTGTGGGAGGGGGGGGGGTAGATAACTGTCAAATGGGGGCGGGGGTATAAGGCATTAATAAGACTTTACTAATAAAAAGTGGCCCAGTCCGGTTGACACATGGATCATATAGACCTACAGGGCATCGGCCCAATTCACTTTTAAAAAGTTGCATGTTATCATTGTCAAATACTGTTTTATTTGAACTGTTGGCCACTGTGCCACATACAGTGAATCTCTTTAAGCCAAACTCTGATAACTCAAAACAACTGTTAAGTCAAACAAAGAATCCAGTGCCTTCAGTAGTATAACAATGATATACAATCCTGCTTAACTCAAAACTCTGCTTAAGTCAAATTTTGAAACTCGTTCCCTTGATGTTTGACTTATCGAGATTTAACTGTAAACGAATGTTGCATTACACATTTGAATGAAGAGCATTTATGAATGTACATGTATTTTGTTGTAACCAATCCGGAGTAGGCCTATATAAATGATGCATGTTTTGCTCTGAATTTTTGCTCTGTCCTCACTCATATACACTGGAATCCTTTCAAAGCATCATAGAGTTCATGTCACTTTTTATTTCATTTCAATACTCGAATTAAAAAAACATAGTAAGCTGAAATCTTTTCATTCCATCCTTTCATGGCCTACTCTTTGACATGTCTGAAATTAAATGCAAAGAGATTGCTACGATAAAAACGAGTTTTCGTACATACACTAAGTTTGACCATTTTTCTGAACATCGTGAAACAGTTGCCATTAGTGTTTAATGCATAATATAAAAAAAGGAAATTAATTATATTCTTCAACATTGCGTTGAGTTCCTCCTTCAAAAAATGTCTGTGTGACATGTATTTTTTAAATGTCTGATTTTGATAGAAATTAATATTAAACAGATGTATTCGAAATATTATTAACATTTTTTTGATAACTTAAAATATAAAGTTAAAAGTTGTTGATGGTACCTTTTTTAATTGACAACATTGGATAACACCAGGCATATTATAAGCGGTATATATACTCAAAATAAATCGAATATCTCTATTTTATTGATAAAACAGGTGTTTCAATGTAATCATGACTTCTGATGAATTTGTGACTCTATGATGGACTTGATTAAACCTCCGCAGTATACGGACGCAATTTTTTGGGTACAGACAGTGGAACTATCACGTTCATTAAAATAAATTGAGCATTAAAGATTGTGATGCACGTATTCTGCACCCCTCCCCAAGTATTCCTTACAGCGCACTCATTCGCCCAAAATTATGTCTTATTGATGTCCTCAAAAAGAGAACGAGCAAAGAGCATCCTCATTGTGTTAACTTCCACAGATGAACAAAGACCTGTCCACAGTGAGGGCGCTCTGTGCAAGCTCTCTATTTCAATGGTCACTACCGATCCCAGTTTAGCATCCCAGTCGTGCACTGTATCTTCCCAGGCAAGCGCCGTAGCTAATTAGGGTGTTGACATAGCTCTGTTCGTGTACTCCCTGGGCCAGGTGGGCGTGGGGCCCGCTGGCGAATATCTGCACGTCCTCCCCTCCGTGCGTCTCCTCCAGTAAGGGGACCAGCGACTGGGCTTGGTAGTCAAGATCTTCTGCTCAGAGATAAGAAAGGAGGGAAGGATATTTAAAACTTACTTGTATTTTGTTTTGGTAGGGACATTTAATACGAGATTGTTTCCACTCAAAAACTATGGGGCACGGTTTGCCTATTTTATGTTCAAGAGAAGAACATCTTTATCTAAAGGATGTACATAAGTTAGCACCTATTCAAATCGACGTCAGGGTGCCAACCTGAAAACTGCGGGCACCAGACTCAACTGTTTGCTCGTCTTTCTCTCTTAAAATGCGCATGCTCGCTATGGTTAAGGGCAGTGATGGAGATCAGTGCTCTGCACATGCGCACTCTAGTGGCAAGCCCTCTGATCTCGTCCAATCAAAGCACGCCCATAGCCGGCCATTGACTGTATTTGATGACAATAAGTCATATTATTTCACAGGAAAAAGCTGGCTTAATGTTTCCAAGGTTTGACCATTTTTTGCTGAACAGTTTTTGGTGGCATTTTTTTTAATGATTAAAAGGTAAAAATTACCCGTGTCTACTGCATCGATGCGAGGTCGGCCGTCTGAATTGATGAAACTCTGCTGAACTGCCACGGCGGAAGGCCCGTTCACATAGCCCAGCTGGGTATACGCCCTACCGTCACTGATCGTGGCGAACTCTTCCTTCGCATACACTTTCCCTGTCCGTGAGAAAAGGTTGTTTTGTCGTTATCAAGTGCAAGTAAAGTCATGGTTAGATTCACCGGAAACTGTCTCATTCATTTTGTTTGGTGGAATGTGTCCAATCAGCATTAAATGTCCCGATAGGCCTACATTACATAAGAACATTGCAATCGTGCTGAAGTTTTCCTTTTACAAATGCACCCTTCTCACGACTGCTTATTTAGGGGGGAAACCGTTCGCATGTACGTCACATTCTTACATTTTGCTAGTGCAATTTCTTTATGGATTTTTTTTTTTTTGGGGGGGGGGGCTAAACAATTTTTTTTTGGGGGGGGGGGGGGGGGGGCCTACAGTCCCCCTAGCCCCCCCCCCCTCCTAGAATTGTTACTGGGTTCATCGTGTATGTAGCAGCCAGTAAATTTCTGCAGAAAATCCCTACAGTGTAATGTGAGTTTTAACAGTGACATCACAGAAACAGATGGCAGAAAATGGGAAATGTAATTGTACATGTATGCCTATGTGAAACAGTGCAATAAAAAATGAATTCATAAAGATTATTCTAAAAAAAAGTCAAAGGCACGGGCATTTGCACAAAACAATTACCTGCAATAATAAATTGTGGAGTTGTTTTTAGACGACCTCTGATCTTTTATTGTTGATATTCTCGAATGGGTCCTAACCAAGAACGGGTTTGTCCCCTCGTGGTGGTAGCAGCAATTAAGGATTAAGACTAGTTTGGTTGGTATTCTCAAGTGGGAGGTTACCGACAATGGGCCCTATATACCTAGACAAGTTCCAGGTGTGGAATGGTGTAGATTGTATGTTATTCGCAGACGGGTCCTTACCTAGAATGGGCTGTCCCCTGCAAGGGTAGCCGGCCATGGTCATGGTGTGGCCGTGATCTGCGGTGACAATCACCATGGTGTCAGTTTTGCTTGTCATGGCCATTGCTTTCTGGACGGCCGCGTCCATGGCCAGTGTCTCGTGGAGGGCACGCCCGACTTTGTTTTCGTGGTGTCCGGTGTCGATATGCGCTCCTTTGGATTCATACAAACAAATAAACAGCTGTTTTAACTCATTTAGAGTTGTTGAAATTGCAGAAGTATGAGTAGAAAAGCAACAAGTACTACATCGCTGTAGCTTTAATGTGTATTCTTATTTGGACACCTCAAAGATGGCTGTGTAATGTAGTCTGGTTCCCCGACCTGACAATTTCCCCCGACGTCTACACGTCTAAATTGTAGGTCAGGCAGCCTCCGTGGCTAAAAATAAACATGACGACATTGACGGCCCTTTTTCAAAGCTCGGCTTCGTTTCCGAATTCGCTTTATCACATAAAGCTTTTAATGTTCCGATCATTTTTTTAAAAATAAATCACTTGCTTCATATATCATACAGTTATGATATACAGTTTAATACTTCTGTAAGAAAACATTGACTAATTTTGACCTGGAATCTTCAAAGTTAGACACCCAAACAGCACTGTAAGCAGGCGGAGCCGAATTGAGACCACGCCGAGTTTTGGAAAATGCCGGTAACGGTCGTCAAATTCAAACTAGTGCATGACGCAGCAAAAAGTTCGCCCCTCGTATACGATCCGAGTGCAAAATCGTCGTTGAATTGCAAGTTTTCTAAATAAAAGCAATGGATATTAATTATCAACTAGTTTTTTAAAAGTTTTAATAAGCAATTAGCAGTTAATAAAACCTATATTATACTCGGAAATACTCGGACACTATCCGATATTCGACGAAATGAATTCGGCAAACTTCGGACATTTTCGGAAAAAGGAGGAATTCCTCCCGTTTTAGTCACGTGATGTAAATTGTTATACATTGTATTACCGGAGGCTACCTGACCTAAGATTCATCAGGAATAGTCGGAATCTTTTGGTCTGGGAACCAGACTATGTGTAATGCAAAGGGTCTGTTGACACTTGAGGGCGCTACATCTTCCTTATACCGCTTCTCAGAAGTCATTTGTTGTAGAGTGCCTTGCCTAGGGACACACGCTCCGGCTGGAATTGAGCCTACAACCCATAGAATGACGAGTAGGCGAGACAATTAAGGGCTTCAGTGTACTGACATTGATTACAAATCTTTGGAAAGAAATAGTTTTAAAAAAAAATACAAACCTTCCACCAGCAGGAAATAGTTTTGGTTTTTGTTTTGGAGAAGCTGGAGCGCCGTCTCCACCATTTCGGTGAGACTGGGTTCCTTGTCGGGCTTTCCCTCGTTGTAAGACATGTCAAAGGTGTTGAACAGACCTACAATAGAAAGATACGAGTTCATTTCGATCAATCAAGGTCTTGTATTGGAGATCCCATGAAAATTTATTTTCACAAAGATTCACAAATAAAGAAAGAAGATCTCGATGGTTGTCTGAAGTAGTACCCTGAGGAAATCTGAAACATCCAAGGTAGCTGAAATGTCCGAGTTGCTCAAATGTTGCTTAAAAAGTCAAAATATTCGGAACCCCTCACTGATTTTGTGGCTTTGGGCCCTGGTCAAAATAAAATACTTTCTTACCAAGAACGTAATCGGTGGATGCACTGACCGACTGAAGGGCTGCTTTGTTGGTGACGTAGCTAGTGCTGCCCAGTGCGCCGTATTTCGTCTGCCATGCCTGGATGAGGTCTGCGCCATCCGTCCTGCCTCCTTTAACGCTTGAGTCTTCTGGGTCCGTCTGGTCGTTCCTCATGAAGTAGTGCCTGCCACCGCCCAGCGCAACCTGCCGGAGTTGCAATAACAAGTCAATTGGAAGTCGATCGCAAGTCAGAGATAAGCCAATCGTACGTCAATTGCTATTCAATCGCAAGCTTAATGACATGTCAGTCACAGACTATCATGACATGTCAATCGCGTCAGTCACAAGGCAATTCACAAGTCAATCCATGGCAAGTTGATCGGAAGTTAAATCACAGGTCAGTCACAAGTCAATCACAAGTCAATCACAAGTCAGTCACAAGAAAATCACAAGTCAATCACAAGTCAGTCACAAGAAAATCACAGGACAATCACAAGTCAACCACAAGTCAGTCCGGAGACAAACCCCAAGTCAACCATAAGTCAATCACAAGCCAATCACAAGTCAATCACAAGTCCATCTCAAGTCAATCACAAGACAATCACAAGTCAACCACAAGTCAATTACAAGCCAATCACAAGTCAATCACAAGTTAGTCACAAGACAACCACAAGTCAATCTCAAGTCAATTACAAGACAATCACAACTCAATCACAAGTTAGTCACAAGTCAATCACAAGTCAGTCACAAGACAATCACAAGTCAATACAAGACAAAATCACAAGTCTGAATCACAAGAGACACTAAGAAAAAATGACCAAGACCTGTTTTTGTCATTGTTTATTCCGTTACTAGTAACCTAACTTTTCAAGTGACTCACTTGTGATTGACTTTTGATTGATTTATAATTACACAGATTACTTCCACAAAATGTTTAAAATAAATATATATGTTACTCTCTCTATGCCACACGTTCTAGATATTTATTAGTGATTTCCTTACGTCAATTTCCACGTCATTACCGACGAACTGTTTTGCAATGTCGTCGACATCACAATTGGTCTGATCGGCCGGGATTTCAAGTTTCCAGTCTGCGTCGGGGCTGTGGGCGTAAGTTGCTGCTGGCGTGTTGCCAACTAGGGCGGCAGTTGTCACTATACCAACGTTCCAACCTTTCAACAAAAAAGGACAAATTTATACGCGAAGTTAGAGATTATGCATACTCATTACTCTTGTAAGACTCATGTGAACCACAAACTTACACGGGCTTGCATTTTATTGTACATTTTAGAATAAATATTTTTTAAAGTACTTATATTGGCCTGAAGGTCAAATTCATACTTTGCATGCTCTTTAGCAGTTGCCGCAACGTTCGTATACTTTTGATATAAATTAGGCCTAAAGTCATTTTTGTAAAAAAAAAAAGACCTAGCCCTAATTGCTACGGGCCTACACAATTGAAAAGTATTGTTTTGGTGAAGGGATCCCTCTTTTTGGGGTGGGGGGAGGGGCACAAAACCCACCTGCTTCTTTAGCTTCGGTGAGAATTGATTTCACCTCGTTGCCTTTTGCCGAGGAGCAGTCTCCAGGTACCGCGGCGCCGCTCAGACCCACCACCCGGCTCTTGGTCTTCACTCCGGTCAAGATCGCCGTGGCCGTGCTGGCACAGTCCGATACTTGCATGTCAACGTTGTAGGTCTTCACCAGAGTGAGACAGATATCAAGTTACATGCTTCATCAGGCGAAAAGATGATTTTTAAATCTACACTCTTAAAATGCTTAACACAGTCAAAATCTTGGTTTGGTTTGGTTAAAAGAGTGATATATGGGCGATAGTGTTAACTGTTTCTGCTTATTTCAATTCGCTTAGGCCCCCCCCCAAAAAAAAATTCTAGCCCCCCCCAAAAAATTCCATAAAAAAATTGCTCTAGCAAAATGTAAGAATGTGACGTACTCTGCGAACGGTCTCCCCCTAATGCGAACGGTCTCCCCCTAAATAAATTGTATTGAGAAGGGTGCATTTGTACACTTTTAGTTAATATAGTGTGCCTGATTGTAAGATTTTATCAGCAGTCTCCACTGAAAATATGGCACGATCCCCCCCCCCACCCCCCCCCCACCCCCGCACCTATTGATTTTCGGAGGCGTAAGTGTCCGAAGAAAATGACCGGTCTACATTTCAGCACGCCTGCCTGAAAAAAATTCTGGATCCATCCTGCCAGCCCCCCCCCCCCCAAACAAATATAATATTGGCTCTAGAACCGCGCCTGTACCTTGGACATTCCAACGTAGGGGAACTCCTCGAAGGATAGGAATCCCTCCTCCCCGGGCATATCGAGCTTCTGTCCCTTCAGGATCCGGGCTCCTGTCACGGTCGTGATGCTCATGCCGTCACCGATGAACAAGATGACGTTCTTGGCCGTGTTCTTGTTCAGGTTCTCGGACAGATTGATGGCATCCTTCATGGTGGCTCGAGCCTGATTCCTCCAGTACTCGGGATCGGCATCTGCGTTTGAGGGAGTGTGGTCCAATGGTTAGGGTTTGTGGCTCATGATCACAGGGTCAGGGTTCGAATCCTGCCGCTGGCATTTATAGTGTCCCTTGGCAAGCCACTTCACCCACTTGCCTCTCTCCACCCAGGAGTGTAAATGGATAATGGCAATACGGTGGGGAGTAACCAGCGATGGACTAGCATCCCGTTCAGGGGGAATAGAAATTTTCTCCGTCGTTTAATACCAAGGAACCGGGGATCAACGCCGGCCTAGTGAACCATAATGGATTGGAGCAAATTTTACATAAACAGAAAAAATGTACACTAGCGTTAATGTCTTGCGACTTACTTTATGTATGTTTTCTGTCAAAAACACTCTTCTGGGCAGCTTGTGGAAAATAGTCTTCTTTTTTTCAAATAATGATATCCCAATGATGGTTTGATTTGTGAACAGACTTTCCTTGGAGAAATTATGCCAAATTGATTTTTGATGTCACTAAGATAATAGGAAACTGCCTGTTAGAGTTTACGGTTGTACGTTTTCTTGAACTATTACACGTCTATAATTCATTAAACAAAAGTTCCCTTTAGAATCACAGTAGCAATCTGAAATCTGTATGTTTACCTTTTAGACATTATGATAGGGTCGAAATACTTTAAATTGGGGCAGGGACACTGTCATGAGAACTTTAAACTCCCAAATTCATATATTTCCCTAGTCAGGTTTGCTTACCTCTGATCGCGATGTCGTCCAGGTTTTTCTGAAACTCCGGCGTGCGAGGCTTGTTGATGTTCACATCACACTCGCCGGGATCTGCGTTCACACGGCACCAAAGGAGAAAAAAACGAACAACCCTTGAAATTGACGACTATTTCATGTACTTTACAAGCAGTTCAAAACGCACAGCAAACCTCAGCCAGCGTACCGGCTATACGATCATTATTTTTCTGTGTGTAGAAAAATGTGTGACTACAAGACGATTCCAACATATTGGTCATTGTAAGATTCCCATTGAAAAAGATATTCCACAACTTTGATGCCAATTCTCCTTTGAAATATATTAATCTACTTTAAATCAATTAATTACAATTGCAGTATCCGTTATTAGAATGAAAATGTCTGCATTGTGGGAAAAGTGACGTATGGCACGCAGCCAAGTGAACAGGACAAAATCATTCACAGAGTTTCATGCTTTAATGAGATCATAAACCTAAAAATACAGCCGTGCATTGGCACAGTCGTGCATTGGCGTATTGGACTTACTTGAGTGATTTGCAGCCAGCTTGAGTCAAATCAAATCCATTCGACATTTATTTTCAACATTGCCATCCTCAGTGACAATTCATATATGTATATGGAAAAATATATGTATAAACATTCTTCACAGACGATATGTAATTGAGTGTAAACATTAAACGATGTCAACATGAAGGAAAAAGGTGAAGCACTGCTTTGAAACCTTTCCCTCGGACAGGACAAAACTTAAAAGCAAAACTGTTACTATCACATTTTTGAGAAATTCCCAAAAGAAAACATGTTCTTGTAAAGGATAAAAATTATGCCAAAAGAACTTAATTACTTCCCTGGGAGTGTCACATCAGTGATATCCTTTCCTAAGTTTTTTTTTTCCGTAAAACAAAATATTCGGTATGTGATTTTTTTTGTTCTATTGAGGGCCCCGATCGAAACGAATTTTTTAAAGAAATCTGAAATAGTTTCACACTGTCGGACCAAAAAGAGCACTCTTGAACATGTCAACTTACTGCTCAGTAAATCATTTCATTAAAGAAATGGTTTCAATTTATACACAACTCACCCGTCTGTCCTTCGACGTAGTTCAACTGGCCGGCTACAGCCACGCAAACCAGCAAGACCAGAGCCGTGGAAGCCATGTCTACTCCACTACCGCCTGATAACACGGACTAAAACTGGAAAGCTATGCCTGAAATAGTTCCTGGTCTTTCGGTCCCAATTCGTGTTCCTCTATTTGTCGACTTGTAGTGCCGCTCTACGGTCGCGCAGCAATTTTGGGAGCCTGATCAGTAGTTCGATGATATCAAATTCATGCAGTTTGACACTTGTACGGAGATAAGCGGTTTTGGGGGAGGAGCTAAAAGTGAACTCCATTGCGCATGTCTGTACTGATCACCTGATATGATCGAACTCTGGTCTTTGGACTGTTATTGCAGAAGTACCGAACTTTATCAAGGACGGGAAAGATCGATTTGAGTCGATTTTTAAGAATAGCAACGAGGCGTAAAATTTGACCTAGTTCACGACCATCCTGTACCGGTACCTATAAGGTAACAACATGAACTACATGTATTGAATTCCAGTTCCGTGATGACTATTGAACGAACAGCAAAACATCAGACAATAGGTTTTTTTACAAAAGAAACGCCCCCCGCATTTAGCTCCGGGCTTTTGACGCGTTCTTGCTTTGCCGCCCTCTATAGGTGACCTCTGACAAAGCACAGAACTCTAAACACTTTGACCGCCCACTCGGCAAACTATCAAAGCGTCTCATTTTAGAACTGAATCCGACCCAGTAAGATAAAAAGGAGATATTAAGATAAGTCAAGATTGCTTGAAGCGGGTGAATTTAGGTCTTTATCGCCGTTGAACCTTCCAAAATCATCGGGTAATTGGTGCGATCAGATGGTGAAAAATACCCCTGTTGTGAAAAGTGTGACGTTGCAAAAAGGAAATACTCCAATCAATCTTCTTCGAGTCAGGTGTTTTCGAATTATTGTGCCGACCCATAACTCAGTCAAGAATAGCATTGTTTACAAAAGCAGTCAAATTCGTCACGAGCCTTTACCAGATGACTGTTTTGGTGGTTCCAGTCACGGAGTGCACTCCCAATCCCTTCACAATGGAAAATTTCTCTTTAGAAAAGTTGGGGAAATGCCAGGGGGGTAAACATTTTTACGATCGCGCAGGTTTTTATTTTCTTTGTCCTCAATATGTCTGGTGAAGCTAACAGTAATCTGAATTGTGATACCACTTGAACTAGTCATGACTTGCAATTTACAAAAATGCAATAAAATAAAAATTAAAAAAAACCCAACAACCACGAAAACAACGAAAACGACAACAGCGACAACAGCGACAACAGCAACAACAACACCACCACCAACAATACCAGCAACAACAAACAACAACAACAACAACAACAACAACAACAACAACAACAACAACAACAACAACAACAACAACAACAACAACAACAACAGCAACAACAAAAGTTAAAGTTTACATCTTAAAAACACACTATTTCAACATCTAATAATACATTAACAGTCAAATTCAGTTTAAAACTTGTTTTACCTTAAATACTGAATACAAGAATTGGAAAAAAAATAAGCAGAAACTGCGAATTCAAAAGACAAAATCCAAAAGAGAAACAGACCCAAAAGCAATAAGTATAATATCCTCCAATTAAAAATATAAAGGTGTTTTGAAATACTTAAATACTGCATACTAAATAAGAAATAGAAAAACACCACAAAATACACACAGTTATGTCGGGCCAGCAATCTCTTTCCCACCCCTTCCAACCCGGAAACAATTTATAACTTGAAGAGGTTGAACAAGGAGGTTAGAACATTTGCTGGTATAATGCCATGAAAGTCTAGTTGTTTAGGAGGGAAAAAAGGGTCAAAATTGAGACCACTGCTTCATTCTTGTACTTTTTCGTGTCGGTGCTGGGTGCATGCAACTATTACAAAATATAGGAAATATAAAATGTATTATAAAAGTGGACATTATTTTTATTGTTTTATGTGAGTAATTTCCCACTTTTAGTTTACAGATTATTGCAGGTAAACTCCACAAACAGTTGATGCCATCACTACATGAAGATTATTTTATACAAGCGGAAACGTTTTCACTGGGCACACAGATGTTTAAAATTATTGAGAAGTAATGCATTGAAAACCAAAGCTGCAGGAAATGGCCGCAAAAGTTAGACGAATATTATACACCCGTCTTAGAGATGTTCTTAAGAAGTTTTTTGTTATGAAAGTTTTCACGCATTTGTAAGGAAATTCTGGTGCTGTTTTTTTGTTTTTGTTATGCTAATGCCAAGTTGCATGTTACCAAGCAACAGTGTGATGTCATTTCAGGCAGAAATCTCAATGTTGCAGCTATTTCAGCTATTGACATGATGTTATCGCAAACCCCCCATTCATTGATCTTGTCGACTTTGCAAACCCTTAAGTCTCAAATTACAATCTTGATGTTTACAAAATTGCAGATATATAAATGGCTACTCCAAAGCTCGAGTTGCCGCGTATAGGACCAACGGGAGCCACGCCATCGACCGGGGGAACGCGCTCCCGCTCCCGGGGGTCGTTACGGGCGAGCCCTCGGTAGGATCCGCCGTGTGGCACCGGTCAAGGTAGTCCCCAATGCAGGCGGCGTACTGCATGACGTGCATGATGTAGTTCTGCTCGTGGACCGAGTGGAACAGGTGGGACCAGGGCCCGCGAGAGAAGATGGCAACATCCTCGCCACCGTGCGTCTCGTACAAATGAAACATCAGAGCCTGCTGCTGGTAGTTAGAGTCAGCTGTTTATAAGAGTAAGAAAAAAAGTGAAGATTTTATAAATGTTTGTTTGAAAAGTTCAAAGCAGAACAATAGAACCGCTAACGTAGGGCTGGATAGCCCAGTTGTTAGAACACCGGAGCGGCAGTCCGAGGTCGCAGGTTCAAGCCCCCTCCAGTCAATTTTTTAGTTGACAATGGACAATGTCTTAACTACGACCCTCTTATTTTAAAAGAGTGCAGCAAAGTCACTCGACTAAAACTTAGACATTTGGATTGAATTTCATTCAATGGAATTAATCCAGTTTGAAATCTAGAAACAAGTTATTCTTCACTGTCACGGTCATTATTGTATGGGATCCAACGGTGCAGTTGAAACAGTAATTACCAAATAATGATAATCACAACCTGTATTAAAATCTGATTGAAACTTTCCAACAGCTGAATTCTTACGAAGCGTGTCTAGATACAAAACAAAATGTTGGAAATGATCCCTTTAGATTTAATGGAGAAAAAACGCTCCATTAGCTAGTGGCGTAAATCACTATGAAGCCCCGCCTACCCCCATGCAACCATGAAGCATTATCAATGTCCGGACAAATCACTACGGCTGTTTTAAATCAATCATTTTCGCCACGGGGTATGGTTTTTTTACTGATTAAACGTCAAAATAGCTTAATGACTTCAGCGGGTTAGGCAAAAATATGTCGCAAATGCGCGCCCTTCGAAACTGTACCAATGTCTAGCCCTAATGCTATTCCATGCTATAACATGCTATTCCATGTCAATGTTCAGTTTATTTCAAACCGCCCAAAATCCCGTTAAAACGTTAAGTAGCAGATTGACTAAAATAAATCATAAGTTAGTAAAATGATGGCAAACGGGAACACTTAAAAATTCAATTAGATAAGCGTAATTATTTAATATTATAATTTCGAATTGAAATTGTAACTAGATTAAATGGTACTTTTGTTAAAATACATGTTATTGGTTCATCTAACAATGTGCAACTTAAAAACTGTTTCCTGAAAATGTTTACTCCCAAAAAGTGATTAAAAGTTACTTTTACATGTTAATATTGATGCGTGTGTCAAACATAACTGCACCAAACGTTTATGGTGGTTCTAGACAGCGGCTAAACGGGGGTGGGGTGTGGGGGGGGGGGGGTTCAACACCCCCTCCTCCCGATCCATTACTGATCAATAGTCGTCATAGTGCTCTCAATTATATCAAGAATTCCAGTCATAGAGCTATCAACTCTAAATGTGTTCAAATCGAGACGGGTTATCCCGAATACATGCGAATCAAACGAGCTTACATTAACTAATCAGGTTAACGTCTTGAGTTAGCTGTAACGTGAATTAATTATCATAAGTTACCTGTGTTAACGTTGGTTATATTCGGGCGCTCATCAGTCTCAACTAGTGACTTCTGGACGATCGAATTGTAAGGCCCGTTGTAATAGCCAAGTGTGGTATATGGTAGTCCACGCTCGTCAGAGAATATCTTATCTGCCAAAAACGGGACAAGATTGGGACATGAGATTGAGGTGCTCAGCCCAAAGCAAGAACAGAAATCATTTCAATTCTCACCACGCGCCTTATTCACGAGTTGGCCATTTTTGTTGAGTTCCCTTAACATATATCAATCATTCTTAACTGTTGAATGGGATGGCGCCAGACTATTTTCGCAGGCATGATGCAGCCTTTTTTTACTGTAATTTTTTTTTTAAATCTTGCTTCAAACATTAGGGAACGTTTAATTACGAATTATAAATTACTCATTTCAGCAGACTGGAATTAATTAGTAATTAACTTGCTTTTATTTCTCTACACAAGTTCCAAAAACGAAGATTTTACCTCACTCTCAATCCAATATGGCCGACTCGTGAACGAGGCCCAGAGAGAGGAAACGCGTAAGGAAACGAATATGAATTGAATAAACCATGTCGCCCCTCTGTTTTGTTGTTATTGTAACCGCAGATGCTTAAAGTTGGTGTGTACGTGCTTTTTGGGTGCGGCACCTTCAAAAATAGTTTTGCAAATTGAATTGATAATTTTCTAGCATTATATTAGTTGTGAGCTTTCCAATGAGACATCGCACGAAAAAAATCAGCCCGCGACAAGTAATCAATTCCTAAATTTCAACTTCTGAATTAAGAGCGGCACGCTCCTAATTCGTTCTGAATAGTGTGCGCCATTTCTGAACTGAAGCGCGCCTTTTAAAACCACTATTTAAAACTGTACAAAGACCTGCAAAAACAAATAAGCATATTTATTTGTTGCAGGACATTATATTCCATTAAGTTTTGTTCCGAAAAGAAAACTCAAAATTTAAAAAAAAAACACGTATATACCAACTTAAATACAATATGCAGATTTTGCTTTATAATGCATATGCTGTTGTATATGGAAAGAACCTCACTGCTTAGTACTTCACACGATTATTCTACCTGTACGATTGCTGTAGTCTTTCCAAGAAGAACAGCAGAAAAAGTGCAAGAATCAATTGAATTATCCAGCGAAGTCCATTCCTAATATCATGTATCATTATTGAACGATTAACAATTAAACCTTCTAAAACTTTCACCCACTAGTAATTCTAGTACTATCGACACCATCAAAACGAAAATACATACATCACTTTGATACTATCTTGCTTTATGGAGGACATTTGTAACTTTTTTATGGGTAGATTTTTTTTTTTTTTTTACAAAAAGCGGTAAAGAGAGAACGAAAGGACAGATGAGAGATAAGGAGCAATGAGACATGGGAATCGACTGACCCAGAATCTTATGACCCCGTGGCTGGTACCCAGCGAACGATAACGTATGCCCGTGATCGGCTGTCACAGTGATCAGAGTGTTGTCATTTGTCAACGCCACTGCTTTGCTAACAGCCTGCTCAAGCGCGATGGTGTCGCTCAGGGCATGAGAGGCGAGGGAGAGATGGTGTGCGTGGTCTATCCTACCGGCTGGAAAGAAGTTGGGGAAACATTAAGAGTATTAATGGACTGATTGGTCGGTCGTTGTCGGCTGTTTGGTTGTTGGTCGGTAAATGTCGGTCTGTTGGTCGATTGCGACAATTATTTGCTCGGTTGATTGGTCTGTCAGGTTTCATTTTAATTAGTTGGTTCGTCGGTTTGTCTCACAGTAAGTTGATTGTATTGTTGTTGACAGGACGTTCTGTCTGTCCTGCTGTGCCGGTCAGTTGAAATCGTTGAATGGTCAGTTGATCGGTTGCGGGTTTATCAGTTCGTGGTTGGTAGGTTTAAAGTCATTTTGTTCGGTTGGTTGACTGGTTGTCGACCAGTCGGTCGGTTTGTCGAAGGCTCGATTGAACGAATTGGTCGATCCGTATAGAAGGTTGTTTCTGTTGGTTTGTCGGTCGGTACGTCGGTAGGTCCGTAGTTGAGTTTGTCTGTAAGTTGGTTGATCAGTCGGTTAATTGGTCGGCCATCAGTGGGTCGGTCCTTCATTCAGTCAGTCGGTCGGTTCGACAGGTCGGCTGTTTGTCCGACTTTCAGTCGAAACGGTAATGCATCGGCCGGTTTTGACTACACGTATTAAGTCAGATTGTCTCATCAGTACCGCAAAACAGAACACGAATGCAATATTCGTACCTTCGATGAAAAGAAAGAATCGATTATTTTTCCGCCGGAGCAATCTGATTGCCTTCTCCATCATCTCAGCAAGGCTCGGTTGTTCACCGACGCCTTGAGCTCTGTCGTCAGAGTAATGCAGATGTTCATAGCCGAACAGTCCTGGGAATAGAAGATTTGAGATTCAACCCATGTATTTTAGGCCTCCCGAAGTTACATTTTGGCATGTCAAAATAATTTTCACCCTGCTGACCACAGCCATAGTCGGCTCCCTGCAAGATTGTCTGTCTTTATTCAAATCAAACTACCTTTTTTTTTTAAATAGTGTAGGATAAATTTAATTGGACAAGGTGGATCCTTGCTGCCATTAAAAGTTGTGAATATGAATGTTGAGCATGCTAAGTAATCACTGAAAGAATAAAATACAAATAAACATGATTTTTGGGCTGAAATCGCAAAACCAAAGCAATTCACATTCCATGCGTGTTTTCGAAAGGAAACAAGAAAAGGAGATTTCAAATTTCCATTAGAAGAAAGTTCTTATTCCTCAGGTAAGTTTCCTTATTGCATTGCTAGATGCACTTAACACAAAATGCTAAACGGGTCAATTCGAATAGAGAGCTGTTTGTACCAAGCAGATAGTCCGTATTCCACGGATCGATCCGGTCGAACTCCGTCTGGTTCCACACGTACTTCGCAATTCCCTTCTGACTGTATCTCGCTTGCCACTCCTCGATCAGATTCCTCCCGTCCGGCCTGGCTCCAAACTTGTCCGGTTCCACCGGATCGGAGAGGTTATACGGGGTCAGCCAGCCGCGACCGCCTCCCATGATGACCTGGAGACATAAGACACTGTCACAGACACTGCTACACTGCTGAAACTGGCTTGACAAAACCGGCCCATAACCCAGGCATCCACCCATCCACTTGCACAGACTTGTTTACGTTACATACCGAGTGTGGACATTCCTTTGTTTTCGTGTAATTAAGAAAAACCTGTGAAAAAAATTCATTTTTTTAATTTTGCGACTGATAAACCTAACCCAAAAGGTGACTGTTCTACGTTCCGACACCCCTATGTTCCAACAACCCGCACATTAGATTGTGTTAGTCCCGATAGGGTTAGGGTCAGGGTTAGGGTTAGGGTTAGGGTTAGGGTTAGGGTTAGGGTTAGGGTTAGGGTTAGGGTTAGGGTTAGGGTTAGGAATAGGAATATGTGCAGTCGGAACATCGGGGTGTCGGAACATAAAGGTGTAACCACCCAAAAGTGCCTCTAAACCTGTTTTCTAGAGAGGGGGAAACACTGTGTGGACGTGGGCAAGTCCACACTTCGTATCTGAAACCTGGTTTATGTAGGCATCTTTTGTTTGAAAGTCCACACAGTGAATGTAATGCTTGTACACCTATGCAGACAAACCAAACCAACTACCAAACCAAATACCCACCAAAAAAACAGCACAATTCTAATGTCCATGAGCCTGTAAGAAAGGTATAGGTGCATGTTAAGGTTTCATTAGGGGGCAGGGGTATCTCCACCTCTCTGATTTAAATCGGACTAATACTGACACTCCCGGCTCATCCCGACGCTCATCTCTCCCCGTGGCATCTGTAGATGATTTAGAAAGGTGGCCGTCAAGATGCATGTTCTTTGCCTGTTAACAGAAGTTCTTTTTGCAATAAATTCCTTTCCTTCTAAAGTTGTACATAACTATTGGACCAACCTTATAGTCTACTGCATAACTAAGTGGTGATATGACGTCTTACACTGTACGAATTGGTTGAACACTGTTGGGTTATCTGCCCAACATTGGTTTGAATTTGTTGGTTAAATTGGGCAAAAAGTGACCGACTATTGGGGAGAATTAGCCCGAGAGAGTTGGCCGTTGGTATGTTGACCGACATTGGGCAAAATACCAACCCGTATTTGCCCAACTTTTTTTCAGTGAAAGAGCGGTTCGTGTACACGGTGTACATTGTACATGCGCCAAAAGATTGTCACAACGAGTGGATATCCATTGTTGATGGTAAAGAGGTTACGGATAGAGTTTTACCTGCAAAAAAAAGTGGAGTGAGCGATAGAGTTGTTTATGTTTACCGATCTGCACCTAACACGCTGCAATTTCCTTTTTCAGATTTACTGCAGCAATAGGGGATGGGTCACGGATCCTGTTACACTGTTTAATCTATATGCAAATTTCTTGCAAAGGACTGCCAATTTTTCGTTTGGCTTTCATCACAAAAAAGGGTCAAATCGTATCGGCAAAGTATTATTGGCACCGAGTGCACCTGACCTTTGCACTATAAGAGTATATTGTTAAAAAATAATGCTCTAACTTATGAACGACTGTTTCTTAGGTATTGGTATCATCAATGGACATTAAATTAAATGAATCCGAAATAAATTCTTGATTAATCCGAGACATGCACATGGTTAATGTTAATGGTTTGCTGGTACAATCTCAAAACTTTGTGAGGGGCGCTTGAAAATATATGCACAACGGCGCCTGGACTTTTGTGCCGGAGGCTTCAGTCTGTGTGTAATATATTTCCGCACAGATGAAAATTGACAACGCGAACATTATTGTTGTTTAGAGATCAAAGGTGGACTTCACTGCTTTACAGGCAAGCAGGATGTGAGCTAAAAAAAATATGAAAGGCTTTTTATGGTCACCTAAACCAGATGAATTTCGTGGGAATTAGGCTTGGTTCTATTGTGGTAGTTATGTTCAGTCAATCGTTGTTGTTGCCACTGGCGAACAGGCAGCTCGACAGTACTATTTATAACAAGAAAAAAATAGTTCTTGGCATTTTTTTATACTTTGTACTGTATGTGTTCCATGTCCGGGCTTTCAATACGTCTCGATCTCGGTGCATGGAACGGGTAATTTCATGCTGCTTCCAGGCATAGATATCTGCTAAGCACCAAATATTTGCTTAGCCAAAAGAACGGTTCATCGGATGTCTGAGAGTGGTTCTCATTGGATTTGTCGCTAAGCACGTATTTGTGCTGAGCTATTTCTATTAAAGCCTCGGGCCTCAGATTTTTCTCTCTCCGGTATTTTGACCAAGGGTGTCAGTGATAATTAGGCTCAGTCTTGGTTTCCAAGTTTTAAGTCTCAACTACACATTACAGATTAGGTACACTAAGATGATGGATAGGCCTAAAGCAAATCATTCCCAATAACTGTTACAACTTTCCAAATTTGAGGTTATTACATGCAGTTCTACTCTGTATGAATGGAGTCCTTTTTTAAAATCAAATTTAACTTGACAAGTTCTTCGTTTCGCCCTAAATGATATGCTGTTCACCCTGACAAAAAATAAGGAAATTGAACTGGTGACAATACATAAAAACAGAGATTGCATCTTTAAAGTAAGCCCCTCTACTACGATTTCTGGCTCCGCCCTTTAAAGAGGGCCATGCTATGTAGACCAATTAAAATAAAATTTGCCATCAGTATTTGGATCTCAGACAAGAATAATGGCTTTGTGGATCAATATAGCAAATATGTGTATTTCGATGCGGGTCTTATAATTGTAACACATTTGGGTAAGCCTTTCTCTTCTTTGGAGCAACAAAAGTTGTTATTTAAATGCGGAATCCGTGCAACTAAACATGCTCAAACTGAGTAGGCCTAAACAGTGCTCATACAGTTACGTTGATGTCAAGTGCAAAACCTTCCAAAGAATAATGAAGATTTCAAAATTTCGAGAAAAAAAAAACTTACATCGATGTCAAAGTCCGACTCGACCAGCTGGGCGGCGATGTCCTTGCAGCCGGCCTGCCGTGCCTCCTCCGGTAGGGCGGCCTCCCAGAACCGCTCCGGTACGTGTGCGTACGTCGCTGCTGGCGATGCATGAGTCACCCGTGTCGTAGTGACAAAACCCACGGCCATTCCTGCATTCAAAATACACATTTTGTTTTACAACTTAATTCATTTACATTGAGAAAATTATCTTAGCATTTAGATTTGGTAGGTTTAGCCCTGGCCAGTTTGTGAACAGGGTTCAAATTTATAGCGAATATGCCGAGCACGAAAAAAAAAGGCTTAGTAAAATGTGTACTGAGCAAAACAAATCAGCAAGTCTTCTACAAAAATGTACAGCTTTCCAATGTAGTTTTTGCTGTTTTTCTCTCAGTGAATTTAATTCGCTTAGCCAAAAATATATGCTTAACAGCTCTTAAATGATTAAATCTGTACAAGACACATCTCCTCTGTCATCAGAATAAAATATTGTGTAGCAAATCTGCTGAATCTTATACATCTCTTATATAAAAATGAACATTTACTGAAATTATAATTCAACGTGGTAATCATTCCGATACCTCCTGAAATGAGGTGACATAATTGTTTACTTCTTGTTATCAACTCAAATTCTTTCTCAATTTCAAAGAGTGAAATTCACTCCATTCGAGTGAAGATTCACTCCCACAGTCGGAAACTAGGGACTAGACGTTTTGGAGTGAAATTTCTTCAATCGTAAAAATCGAGTTTTTACTCAAGCTTCGACTGAAGTGGTTCATTTTTCAGACTATTTCAATCGAAAGTGAGAGTGATTTTCACTCTAAAACGTTTAGTCCCTAATTTCATTCTTTGGAATTAAGAGAGTTGTTTGTCCGTCTCTCGTTAAATCATGTCCTTGTGTTAAACTTCAATGATTCCATCCGTTTCTTAACGACATTCATGCTAAGACCGCAGTCAACACACCTGCTTCCTTGGCCAGTTTCAAGATCGAGTCCACGCTATGGTTCATCGTGGTTGGGTAGCACACTGAAACGTTTTTGATCCCGGCGTCCAATCCGATTGTGCGTCTCTTCGCCTTGACGCCGGTCAGGTACGCGGTGGCAGTCCCGGCTGAGTCCGGTACCTGAGAGTTCGTGTTGTATGTCTGTGTAACAAAGGAAAGAGGAGCTAGACAATTAGTGTAATTGATTATTGATAGTTTTTTTTTTACTTATCTCAAACTGAAAGAACTAATTTCTATACAGGGTGAGTCAAAAAACGAAACCCAAATGTCGGGACTATTGTTTTAGTGAAGTTCTGCATGTAGCACTTTCAAAATCTAGGATATGAAAGCCCAATTCATAAGCTTTCTTTTAGTACAAGAATCATTCCAGTCACTTATGTACTTTTTAAGTTACGGAATTTTAAACACAACCACCGTTTTAAAGTTCTGCCCACGGATCACTAAAAAGGTGTGCGTTCTTTCGGCATAACGAAAACAATTCACACACATCCCTATGTGGTTTGTTTTCGTTTTGCTGAAAGAACACTTACCTTTTTGTGATTCATGGACATAATTTTAAAACGATGGTTGTGTTTAATGAATTGGACTTTCATATCTTAAATTTTATAATTGTTACATGCAGAACTTCACTAAAACAATGGTCCCGACTTCTTTTTTTTTTTTTTTACCCACCCTGTATTAGGCCTTCATCAGATTCGATTCTGTGAAATGAAATGTGCAGTGCTAACACGTGATCACCTTAGAGTATCCAAAATGAGGGAAGTCCTCGAAGGACAGTTTAGCCTCCTCCCCAGGCGCTCCTGCTCGCTGCCCTTTCATGATCCGTGCAGCAGTTATTGTGCTTACACCGAGTCCATCCCCAATGAAAAAAATAACGGCTTCGGCGCGGTTAGTGTTGTGCTCAGTGGACCTGAGGGCGGCTCGGAGTTCGTCGTGCGCTTCGCTCCTCCAAAACAGCGGATTCGTTTCCTCTGTTAAAAAAAGGAATTCTTACATGAAACTTGGTAGAGATATAAACCATGTGACGGTTTTACGGAATCTAGCTTTGTCTACGTCCAGTACACTTTCTAAAAGTATAGGCCTACTATATATTTACACTTCAAAATACGTTACGTTTTTCATCGAATTATCTGATGTTGATTGTCAAGTGTTAAAAACAGTACAGTGTCTAACAAAAAGCAATATGATCACTTGTGAAATGATACAAACTTAATTGTTGGAATTTTGAAAATATTTTTTTTTTAAATAGTTCTCTTAAAATATTTCAGTACAGGGAGATCCGACTGCCGATCTTCATAAAAACGAATATATATAAAATTGATATAACATCAACGTCAAATTAATATTAACTTTTAATCAGCCTATCAATTTCCACTTAGAGATACGAAGTAGATTTTTGAACAGCTGTATCTGCAGTAGGCAAACACGCAATCGAGATAAACCCGACATAACTATGATCATCCAGCACTCGACAGTTGCGAATTAATAGGAAAGGTGTGAACATTGAATCTTGACACCATCTTGAAAAGACCAGTAAAAGTATTACAATTTATACACATAGAAAATAGATAAAAAATAGCCAAAATCTGACGGAGCAAGCTACAACAAAATTGCACTCTAAAATTGGAATGTTGATTGTGCTAAAATAGATAAATTAAAAAACATAAGTTTTAGAAAGAACTCTTATTCAAACGACAACATTTAAATAAAACTGCAATAGTTGGATAATTTCACTTTGATAATGTGAGCTCAATATCAAATTATGCTTAGCATTAAATTGTTCTTGGTAGAACGTGGTTACCAGCGATTAATACTTTGTGATAGCTATTTTTCGCTGGTTCTCAATCTGACTTGTATAAACTTGTTGAGCATTACGTCTTTACTAAGTGTCCAACATATTTCGCACATGGTACTAACATATCATTTTACAAGGACATAGCACAACATTTTACGAAAGAAGAAAGCTAAGAAAATTTATAAAATTAAAACAAATAGTAGTGCCGTGGGTGTTCAATTAGCCATCGTGTATACAGTAGGTCAAGTTTAAGACCATTTACGAAATGAATATGACCCAACAAAACAGGACTCAATACCTGTGTACGTCAGATAGAAAACGAAACAGATGTGTGGAATTCTTTAATTTAAATTAAGGCTTTTTTTTCTTTCGCACAAATATTTCATGATTTGTGAGTAGACCGGTCACTTACCCAATCCATTTGTTATCGGCGTACACATGACCATCAAGACTAGAGTCCAAATCACCCAACTTGTCCTCCGGGTCAGAGCCATCATTCGTGTTCCACAGGCGACGTGTGTGTGCAGGCACGGTTCCCAATGTATTAATAAATATGCGAATCACACCACAGACGAACACGACAGGTCAATATCGAATTAAATATGGGGGTCAACTGTTTATTCTTGTCAACTCAACTCCTCAATAATAATGTTTAAATTCTTTGATTTTTTTCTTATGCCGTGAAATGTTGACTGTTGGACTTCGTTGAGTGGATATCGTAAAACGGGTGGCAGAAATTACGGGTACATTAAAGTTTTATGCAAATATTTGCAGTGATATTTGCTGCATAGAAAATGGGTTCATAATGTGTGGTGCGCTTGCCCTTCTTTGTGGCCTTTATATTCAAATCAAACATAGAGTACAGTACACTTCTCCGCACACGTCGAGTGCCATTGGTGACGGAATTTTTGCTGCTTAAATTCTATGACTTCTGTTCCAATTTTTTTTAATTCAAAACCGCCACTGCAAACATAGAAAAAGTAGAGCAAAGAAACTATCATGCCACCTGGTTCCTTTGAAATGTAAATTGTATATATTTAGCCTTCGGTTGTCACTGTTCAAAATCGAAACCGATTGATTTGTAGTTGAACTTTCAAAAATTCGGGGGAAAAAGGCTGTACAAAGGGTAGTGATCAGGCGCGGATCTGGGCCCCCCAACTCTGGCAAAAAAGGCCAAGTATCCGGGAGAAAAAAAGCTTTAAACCCCAGCCCCTGCGAAAACTTCTGAGTGATTTCTAAAGATGATAGAGCGGCTGCTCCCAATATTTTGAAAAGGTTAAATAGTCGCAAAATATTTCTTATTAAGGTATCCCATTTAAAAAAAAAGGAGCATTCTCACCGGCTCGATGACGTCAGAACATTGAGGTCCCTTTCTCTTACTTGACAGTTAATTACTTATGGATTATGGAAGATGCCGATTCTTTTGAGGACATTTTGTTAAGCGGTGTGTTTGTCGCGTCCGGGCTCAATATAAGTCACAAAGACCCTAAGGCAAATCTGTTCTGCAAGTAGGCTAATATTTTTTTGTCATGAACCTACAATTTGTGAGAAATATTCTAGACTTTACTTTTTGTTATTTTTTTTCAGTTTCAATCAATCCTCTACTGTATTCGATATTGGTGCTTTATTTGACTCGATTCCTTGTTCTGATAATCGATTCCATACTAATATTTTATTCTATTTCTTGTTAGTTCCTGTCGATAATGTTGACGAAGCAGACGACCGGTATTAATTTGCGCCCTCTATCGATGACAAAACCAGAATTTAACGTGTACAAAGATGAATCTGGTTACACATATATCTGATAGAGACTTTGGAGTCCAGAAGTTATATGATTGCGTTGCCTGTGATCGACAGTCACTCCACAAACCTCTTAAAACTATGGATTTCAACTTTAACCCATTATTTGATGCTGAGCTTTAAACGGATGACTTTTATTAGTGTAAATTCTGTTTTTGTTCCTCTCTTTCAAAAAAAGTGCACCAAAAGAGCTAAAAGCAGATATTTATCGGTCAAGTTGATGTAGTTTGTTTACATATTACTGTTTTGAGGAACTTTTCGACCCGGAGAAAGGGTCAGTCAGAGGGCACAAAACCGCATGTCCATCATTGTTACGCTGCAATCGGAATTGCGTTACTATACAATCAGAAGAGATATTGGAGAGTTTACGTTGAGACTGAGAACTATAAGCAAAGTTGAGAGTGTCACAGGATGGGACCTACTGCACCTGTGCCGTGAGCTGTTTACATGTACTTCGTCCAAGCTAATAGGTCTGATTGGGCCTTCAATGGTGTTGACTTCCGCGATAACCCCAAGTATATTTCTAATTAAAGCTCAAGGTGGAAAATCTCGCGATGGAGTGTGTATGCCACCGTAGATGGCGCCCTTTTAGTAAAGTGGCGGTTTTGGGTTTTGCGTGTGACCGTGATAATCCGTGGAAAGGAACTTTCGTTAATGCGAGTTAGAGTTAGCCTAAGGTAACATGTATACAGATTTGTTGGTGTCATGTCTGATATTGCAACTCATCTCCAAAACCTTGCATAAAATGGATCATTTTGTGTAATTAAGTATTTCCCCAAAGCTTGACTGCAGAAACAAACACTTTTGCGCAAGACTACAATATTGCAAGTAAACTAAGAATCTCAAGTTTTAACAGATAAATAATGTTGACTCGTAACTCAATTTTCATTTTAAATGAAATGTTCACTTTGTTTTGCTGAGAAAGGCTACTTCGTCCTGCTCTGTATCGTAACAAAAACAACAAGCACACACCACTGTAAGATGTCCAGAGATCTTACGGCGTCTTATTCGACAATAAGCTTCAACAATAATTGTATGATAGCACCGCTAAAACTGACATTTAAAAGTTTAGTCCACTGAAGACTAGTTTGTTAACGCGTAATCTAATTCTGACGATACGGTTTCTTAAATTTAGAAATGCTTGTTGACTTATACGGATAACTGCACCAAGTTTATCTGACAATACCAAAATTACCCTAATTCGATAAGAACTTCAAAGGGCAAATTTCGTTTTCGAGTGACTTTGAGGTGAAGTGATTAATCACGATGTCCGTGATGCCTACGTTGTTGTGTCACTGGCCGGTCATAATCTACCGTAAAATTGTGACTTGACTGAACTTACGGACAATTTTCGGGACCGTCATTTCGGCGTTTGATCCCCGGGATTCCTGGCATACAAGGCCCGGCATGGCGCTCCGTGTGCTTCGCTTCGCTCTTGTGGCGTCGTTGGCTGTCCTGATCAAGCAAACTCTAGCAGGTTAGTGGTGCACCTAAACCTCTTTTTGTACTTTGTGCAGGCCCATTGTGTAGCTGTAAGAGGAAAGAGAACTGAAGTCGGAATCGTTTGCTATGCATTTATGTTCCGTTTAATGTAATAATATGGGCTTTTTTTTGTAATGGCAACAATGGCAACAAAATTGTTCATGAATTATTTCTCCATCTAACCAAACTCTTAAAGTATAACCGTTCGCCGTTTTTCATGTCGCTTGATTTTTTCCTGCGATAATTTCACGTTACCTTTGCTCTTCTTTCATTTTGGACTAAAGTAATATGACATTGTTTCTTAAGATCGGACAAGATGGCTCTCAGAGGTTACATGGCAAATTGGGAAATGGGTATAGTCGAAAGAGAAACCGAAGACACAGAGTAACTTGCTTCCAAATTTTTTTCTGTTTATTTTAAAGTTAAGCCAACTCACAACTCTTGAAGGTTTTGCCTATAGTGTGACTTCGATTTTACCAATTGAACATCAGCCATAGTTAAGACAGGAGATAAAAATAAATTGAAAAACGTTTGCAATATCTCCCTCACATAACAATTGTGTTTGTTCACATAACCAACTTATCTTTGTAAACATCCATTTCTTAAATGTAAAAGTAACACTGCTACATCGTACATTTATACAATCCCTATTGCTTGGTCTTTAAAACACCTTGAAATTAAAACCACCAAACAAACTCAAGAAAAACAATATGCATTTTGAGACGCAATGTCCTACATATTACCGACTTGCTTTTATATACTACGAAGACAAACACTTTATATATTATACAGTCAAGCTTGCACCAAGCGTAAAATAACTGCAGTCAAGTCTAAATAAGTGGTTTTAAAGTAAATGTTTCTAGCTTAAATACAGTGTCTCATTGGTGGTGTTTGACTGAGAGTGTTTATTGCAAACCAAAATAAAAATCTCCGATTTTAGCTGTTGAAACGGATCCCCAGTATTGGTACGACAGAGGCCAGGATGAGCTGAATGCCGCCCTGACCGCGTCCGAAGGCCTGAACACTAACACGGCCGATGGAATGATCTTGTTCATCGGTGACGGTATGAGCGTGGGCACCGTGACTGGAGTCCGTATCTGGAAGGGACAGAAGGACGGATTCACCGGGGAAGAGTCGGTGCTGGAGTACGACAAGTTCCCACACTTTGGCTACTCCAAGGTACATTTGTCAGGGAAAAAAGTGCAGTGCTTTATGATCCCGAAATTGATTTGTCAATTTGCCGGATGAAAGTCAGGGGGCTCTGCTCGATTAGCTTGCCTCTAGCTGAATTTACTCGATAAATCAAGTTCTGGTTGGTAGACATACGAATAATGCATACATGCTGATGAAAATGAGCCATGTTTTAATCCTATTTCGCATTCTGACGAATTTAATATGACCCCAGCTGTGGATTCTTGGTATGGTTTTGCTTTCCCAATGCACATAAACTGACACAAACGATTCTTGAGTAAGCCAACGTTGTCATGAGCTGCATCAGTGCAGCAGTGACGACATCTGAAGTTATTTAGATTGAATACTACTTCTTTTCGTTGTTTCTTCTCCTAGACGTTCAACACCAACTCGCAGGTGCCTGACTCCGCCGGGACCGCCACGGCGTACCTGACGGGCGTGAAGACCAAGCGCCGAGTCCTGGGCTTGGACGCCGGTATCAACGTCGGTGACTGCGCGTCGACATTCGGTCACGAAGTCGACTCCATCCTAAAAATGGTTAAGAACAATGGTAAACAAAAATTCATTCAAATAACAGATGGGACTTGAAATACATGTATAACAAACCAAAACTTATAGCTGCGATTCTTAATGAATTTTACTTTATCATTTTTGGGGTTGTTTTGGAGGTTTTTTTTTTTTACCAGGGATGTAATATTTTTTTACAATTCACACGAGTTTAACGGTCGGTCTTGATGCTGCATCTCATGTAGGAATGCCAGTGGGAATCGTGACGACGACCCGAATCACACACGCCTCCCCGGGCGGATGCTACTCCCACGTTCCAGAGCGGGACTGGGAGGCCGACACGGAACTGCCGCAGGAAGCCGTGGCTAACGGCTGTAAGGATATCGCCAGGCAGATGGTGGAAGATAACGACATCGACGTGAGTGTAACATTTGCAAAACTCACGGCTCCGTTTCGCCCAGCTACAGCCCGGGATTTCAAGGAATCATGCTACGCTCAAACCAACTAAAATACATGAACCAATGTCCTGGTGTGACAGGATTTGGCTTCTATAGCTCTATAGCATTAATCAAACCACTATAATTGTACTTGAGTCAGTGTTGTTGTCGAGTCACCAACGTCGAGTCCGAGTCCGAGTCCCGAGTCACAAGCCTCGAGTCCCAGTGAGTCCGTATCTCGAGTCACAAGCCTCATGTCCCAGTGAGTCCGTATCTCGAGTCACAAGCCTCGAGTCCGAGTCACGAGTCACTTGTTCTTATAGTTGTTCAACAAACTAATTTTTTTTTTCAATCATCCATTCTGTCTTTTAAGTAAATCACAGTGTACTGTATATACTTTACCTTGTGTGTACATAATTTTGTTTAGACCCAAAAGGGTTTTCCTTTTAACTCCCATCCCTACAAAAATCCCTTCTTCTTCCCTTCCCTCCATGTTTTATCATCAAAACATTATTCCTCAATGATCCTTTCCCATCCCTACGTTATGTTTTTTTCTTTTAATGAACATACATGACTCGAGTCACGAGTCACCAAGCTCGAGTCCGAGTCATCATGGTCGAGTCCGAGTCCGAGTCACGAAAAATGTGACTCGAGTCCGACTCGAGTCCGAGTCCTAGACTCGAGTCCTACAACAGAGAGACGAGGCCGATAATTCGTAAACCCCGACTTGTGATATGTACAAAGATGTGGGTACAAACTAGATGGATTCAAAGATGTATCCTGAAGGCAATTATTCCGGTAATCTATTTGGCTCAAGAACACAAGCAGTATTAAACAACATTAACTTTCTTTAGGTCCTCAAGAGTCGAGGGTAATGCTTTTCATGGAGTCTTAGATAAATCTCAGAAAGCAATTGTGGTAAAGTATCTTCCTCAAGAACACAAGGGCCTAACTTCACTGTTTGACCTGTGATGTTTTTTTTTCAATGAAGGTCATGATGGGCGGAGGAAGATACCGATTTTACATGGAGTCTCAGACGGATCCTGATACAGGCTTGCCCGGTGCGAGAAAGGACAAGGACCTTATCGCCGAGTGGCAGCAGAAATACCAGAACCGAGCCAGTGCAGAGTACATCACCAAGAGGCAACAGTTGCTAGACTTGGATATAGAAAACACGGACTATCTGCTCGGTAAGGATCGATTAGAGCGCCACCGGAAGGTTACACCTCATTCGGGTCTGATTCGCATTGCATTGTGGGAACGGTCAACATCCCTTTCTTGAGCTTGGGTTACATGAATAATACCAATTCCAATATTGAAATTTGTTCCGGGTGTGATAATTATTAAGGACATCGTCTTTTTATTTTTATTTTTTTCTTGTTTTATACGTATCCTTTTCCCCACAGGGCTTTTCAGTTTTTCGGAAATCAACTTTGACATCGAAAGGACTCCCGACGAACCGACACTGGCCGAGATGACGGAGGTTGCCATTAAGATTCTGCAGAAGAAGAGCAAGAATAGCGGCGGACGATACTTTCTCTTTGTTGAAGGTGACTTCTTCATTTTTGTTGAAAATGTAAAATAACCATTTACCCAAACCATCAATGTTATTGAGACCAGACGCGCGCGGATATAATTGTCGGCCTAACTGTTATCTACTTTTCAGTATAAGTCCTCGTATCATTCGTCCGTAGACTTTCTGAATGCATTAAAAAAAGACAGGGGTAAACGAAATGATTGATACCTCCAATTGGGAGGAATCTTTCCTTCCTGAAATGGTTTTAGAAAGATACGAAATAAATCACATGTTTTTGGTTCTTAGGGTGTGAGTTAATTGTTCATTTTCGCACCTGTCCTTTTTTCAGGTGGTAGAGTCGATCATGGGCACCATTTCACCGAAGCCAAACACGCCATTACAGACGGATTGGCTCTGGAGGTAGCCATAGCAAAGGCCAAGCAACTTACTACATCCAACACCCTCATGGTTCTGTCATCGGATCACGGTCACACGATGAGCTTCGCCGGTTACCCGAAAAGGGGCAACCCTATCTTTGGTAAGCCTTGTTTTTGATTGTCTTGCTTTGTTGCTGGTTTGATCACTGTGTCGGGTTGGCTGGCTTGCTTGTTGACTGGCTGGTTGGCTTGTTGGCTGGCAGCATGGTTTGTTGACTAACGAACTTGTTGTCCGCCTTGCTGACTGGTTGGTTGGCTGGTTGGCTGACTGGTTGGCTGGCTGTTGGTTGGTTGGTTGGTTGGTTGGTTGGTTGGTTGGTTGGTTGGTTGGTTGGTTGGTTGGTTGGTTGGTTGGTTGGTTGGTTGGTTGGTTGGTTGGTCGCCTGGTTGGTTGGTCGCCTGGTTGGCTGGCTTGCTGACTGACTAGGTGACTGGCTGGCTGAGGTGACTGGCTGGCTGACTCCCCGGGCAACTGACTGGCTGGCTGGCTTGTTGGCTTGTTGGCTTGTTGGGTGGCTGCTGGTTAGTTGGTTGATTGGCTAGTTGGCTGACTGGTTGGCTGGTTGGTTGGCTGGCTGGGTGACTGGCTGGCTTGTTGGCTGGTTGGCTGGCTGCTGGTTAGTTGGTTGATTTGCTAGTTGGCTGACTGGTTGGCTGGTTGGTTGGCTGGCTGGGTGACTGGCCAGCCGGCTAGCTGGCTGGCTGATTGGATGGCTGGCATGTTGGCTGGTTGGCTTGTTGGCCGCCTTGCTGGATGGCTGGCTGTCTGGTTAGGTGGTTGGCCTGCTGGCCGGTTGGACGGCTAGTTGGCCGGCTGGCTCCCCGACTGTCTTGCTGGCTGGCTAGTTGGCAGTTTGACTAGAAGGTTGATTGACTGGCTGGCTGCGCGTTGTTAGCCTGTTGACTGGCAGGGTGGACTGGCAGATTGGTTGTCTGTCTGTTTAGGCTGGCATGCTGGCTGGTTAGCTTACTGGGTGGCTGGCTCGCGGACTGGCTGGCTCCCCGTCTGGCTGGCCGCTACTTGGTAGGCTTGCTGGCTGGCAAGCTGGCTTGCTTGCTTACTGGCTATTCCCAGGTTGGCCAGAAAACTATATTAAACGAAGCTCACTGAATTCCAGATGCTCCGAATTGAATTAATTAAATTATGGATTCGGCACATATATACATTTTCTCTTGCTGTCTATCCTCCTCAGGTAAAATCTTCGAGGATGCTTTCAAGTTGCCTTACACCACACTAGGGTACTACACCGGAAGGAACGCATACACACACCTGATGCCGACCTTCACACTGAAGAAGCATCGCACTGATATAACCAATGTCGACACAGGTACACAAATTTCCTCGTTTAGTTCCAGGTATAAGTACAAATTCCGGAGTTGTATCAAGTCATCATACGTTAAACACAAGCCATCACAAGACATCACAAGACAATCATTATCAGTCACAATTCATCAGGTGCCAAGTCAGGTGACGGGCTATTCGAATGCAACGTGACAAAACAATATCGATGCGTTATTCATACCGTGTTATTTTGTGAACTGACTTGTGGAATCGACCTGGGATTAACCTGCGATTGACTTGCTATTGACTTAAATTTGACTTTGGATTGACTTGAGATTAGAACTCAGTGCCGAATAATGATCAAGAGCGCAAGCACAGAATTTCGTTGTGGAGTGCGATACCAGAACAGCGTCTTTGGTCAGTGGGTTCAAACACCGCACTTTGTATTTTTGTGTGAGAATGAAAATTTCAAAATGACTCATTTTTTCGGTAACGGTATTATTTTTGATTTTGATACAACAGAGGCAAATGAGTACGAGCAGCAGTCCTTCGTGCCTTCTGTGTACGAGACTCACGGCGGCGAGGACGTGGCTATCTTTGCCACGGGGCCCTGGTCCCATCTCATCCACTCCGTCCACGAGCAGCACTACATCACGCACGTCATGATGTTCGCCGGCTGCGTCGGGGACTACTTCGACACCTGCCGCGACTCGCCGTACATCAGCGGAGCTCTGACGGACAAGGACGCGGACGTGCCGGCCAGATTTCGCGCCAAGTCGCAGGGTCAACCCCCTGTCCCTACCGAATCGAGCGCTTCACTCCCATCCCCGCTTTGGCAGACAATTTTCACTGTTGTACTTCTTTGGAAGTTCACAGTCAAAACTCTCATTGAATAACTATCTCCATCCTTAGAATGATTAATGCAACTACGAATATTTATATAACTGACCCAATTTACTAATGTTATAACGCACCAAAATATATTTCAGGACCTTATATAAGCACTGAGAACGTCATTAATGATACTATTGATAAACTGTATGTGACTGACAAACTTTCAACCAGCTGTGTACATTTGTATTATATTGGGTCAGCCTACATGTTTTAATGTCACATTTGTTGGAAATACAAAACATATCATTCACTGAATAAACACAGAAAACAATATTCAAATGCTGCATGTATTCCCGTTATCTGTTTCAAAATTATATGAATATTCACTTGTTCTGTAACCAATTAATTCTACAAAAAGGTTACTTATATGTTAATATTTTTTTTTAATCTTACTGCATCTCCATTCTTGTCAGAATTACCAAATAATCTATGCATTTTACACGATTTGACAGCAGTATAATTTATTCTACAATCCATTATCTTATTTTAAAAAAACAACTGCTTGTAAACCAGAAAGAACACCAAGCAGTATTATTACCCGCCCTTTTTGAAGTCAATGAATTTGTATATAAAACAATTTTAATGATGTTTGGGTAGCGGCAAATGTCACGTGGGTGCAAAGTGCCGGTGTAGCATGAGTTTAGGTTTTATGAAATACGGACCCATTGGTGGTATTGCGCATGCTCATATAGGAGAGGGACCGGTCACGTGAGAGGGTTTAACCAATAAAAGGGAATCAGAGTCCGATTTTCATACGAGTCCGATTTTCATATGACACCGGTGTGTTTTTGTGCTGCAACATTACAAAGGGTCGGTGCATATTGTGAAACAAAATAACCGATGATTTTGCCAAATGCCGATTATTCTTATAGAAATAACACTCTTTCGCTTTAATTCAAAGCTTTGATAAACATGGCGATTGTACATGTATAGTGACCGTTTTGCTGAAAATTAAGATTAGCAAGAAATATTTATTAATTTCTATATGTCGCCGTTTCTGACTTATTATTTGTGAGTAGTTCTTTTTGTTGCGGATTGTGAAGCGCTTGTAGGAAACCCCTTCCCCCTCCCCCTTTCTGATGTAAAAATAACGTTTCTTCAAAACAACATAATTGTACAACTATAAAAATGTACTTTCCTATAAGATGACACCATTGTAAACACACAATTTGTGCATTGGCTAGAGGTCACATAAGAGTGTCGGAATAATTCATTTCTCTAATAGAAAAATGCCAATGCATTTCACAATTCTCGCGTTGCAATGATACGCGAGAGGCTTTCCAAATCTTGGCATTGACTGAGGCTTCGGCTTTAGGCGTCTGTCTTCATGATTTTGAAACCCCACATTTGAGAATCTTGAGTTAAACGAAGCCTCAATTTTTTTTTTTGGATTGATAAATGGTTTATCAAATCAGCTTTCTCGCCACCTGTAGCGGAATTGTGTGAAGCTGTAACAATATATATTAAGAATGCATTAATTTAAAAATACTTTTCTGCCACAAAATAAAAATATCGTATCATCAGAATTGATAAAAACAAGTATAAGAAAGTTTTCGGTTGTCCCAACACTTCAGGTTTGTTTTAAGATTGTGGAGTCTGAAGCCCGAGATTAAGCCAAAACGCTGATGAAGCCGTGATATCAAAAACGGCCTAATATCAATATCCAAGCTTCCCATGGACCGTTTCACGGGATACCGCCATCTTTGTGATCACGTGGTAATCTTTGGGGGCATTTCATTGAAATGAAGTCCCATCATGTTGTGGATACAACGCAGAATGGGAGGCATTTTCGATGAAATGGTTCCAAAAGATTACCACGTGATTGCAAAGATGCACGGTATCCCATGAAACAGTCCACATCAACCTCGTTTCCAATAGTAAACCCTGGATAGGAAACGTTCTGTATCCTGATTCAAAACCGCAATTGGCAAGTAATGGATTTATAAATTGGTTGTTATTATTTCCAACGTGTATTACTTGTTTTTCACGTTCATTGTAATTATTACGTCCACTCCTAGGCCTACTCAGAAATAATCACTTCCTTTCATATTTGCTCATATGAATATGAAATGTGATATTAAAGATTGTAACATGTTAACTTAAAAACAATCGTGTATTCGTAACTCATGCCATGCTCACGCCGCGACGAATTGATTCCGTCTTTACCCCAGACACCTAATGCAAAAACAAACGCTGATGTAATTAGCACAGGACGGCACCAGACCTTTCCTCATTTACATACGTCTTCGAAAATTTTGGACATGCAAATGATCCGATACCAGGGTGAGAGAGCAGGTAGTGATGGACGCGTACTGCTCGACACCCTGGGAACGAGGTTGGCTGAGCTTTTAATTGTTACCATAGAGGGCGCCATTCGCAAAATTCAGCAAAACCAAATTAATCCCGTGATGTCTCGAGTATTTTGTACACACCCCCCAGTAAGAGATGACCTCAAGACTTGACATACCGACACTGAACAGACTTCGAATCAATTTTAAAATCGGATTTAAAAGCAGATAAAAGCAGATAAGATTTAGATGACAATGAGCTGGCCAATATTTATAGAAACTTTTGACTTGTTTGTTTACATAGTACATGTGTTTATCACTATCACGGTAATAGCAAGATACCACGTCAATTACCCCACTTTGCAGGAACTTTGACATCTCCAAGTTTGGACTGATTTTGGAGCCGAGTTTAGGCCTATCACTAAGCCAGTTAGACCGTCGTTTAGCTTCTTACGTCTCCATCATGGCGCTGCCCTGGCTTCGTTTCGGTCTTGTGGCGTCTTTGATATTCCTCGTACACCAAACAGCAGCAGGTAAGATTTGGTACACAGAGTTACCATTTCAAGCCTAATAGTAGGTCTGTTCGATTGATGATTGCATCAACTTGCATAGTTCAAAACGTAGTTTCTACATCAAACAGTGCTTTTGCCAAAAGTTGGCAACAATGATAGGTTATCAATTATAGGCAATTATAAGTTTGTTAATAAATGAAATAAACAAATCGACAAATTAAGAAGAGAATACGAGGTCTTTAAATCAGGAATATAAGTGCCTGTGTTTACTTTTTTTATGTTTTTTGTGTGTGTGTAAAATATAAAATGAGACCAAGCTCCACAAATTTGAACATGTTGTGCAGCTTTGCTGTGCAAATTCTGTCATTAGTCAAAATTTCAAACACTAGTGAATGTGAGCAACATTGGATGACCCGCAACAAGCGTTTCTGAGCAATACCAATCAAACGTAACAATAGTCCACTCGTCTTGTCCTATTTCACTTATTTACGGGAATCAAATTCGTTGGATAGGCATACGACCATTGGAGGCCTAAATGTTAGTATATTGCAAAGTTTTAGTCGAGTCAATCGGAAGTTCAATCACAATTGTCAGGGGGCGTAGGCTACAAAAACAAAGGATTTTATCATATACGGAGTTAACTTAGATAACTGAATATCTTGACTTGACACTCGGACCTTTGATTGACTTGTGAGGACACGACGACTTCAACCGACTCGATTTTTAACTCTCGTACTAATTGCTAAAATCTTTCTCTAGTTGGTGAAACGGATCCCCAGTATTGGTACGACAGAAGCCAAGATGAGCTGGTTGCCGCCCTGACCGAGTCCGAAGGCTTCAACAAAAACACGGCCGATGGAATGATCTTGTTCATCGGTGACGGTATGAGCGTTCCCACCGTGACTAGTGTCAGGATCTGGAAGGGGCAGAAGGACGGATTCACTGGAGAAGAGTCTAAACTCGTCTACGATGACTGGCCGCACCTCGGATTCTCCAAGGTACGTCATTCTCACCATAGAAGGAAAGGCCAGAATGCCAAAAGGAAGTCTCTTTGATTTGCCCTGTTGACTAGACTCCTTAGCTGCAGGTCCAAAATTGAATCGGCAAACATTACGGTTTGTCAGGCACTTTGACCGACAGTCTTTCTTGGCACATTGAGTTAGAGGCGTTGTTCTCCTCTTGATCTTAAGATGGGCGTGTGAGCTTACGAAACTCATTTACTGGCATATTGAATTCAGGCAAATTTACTTCTGTTTGGGGGCGTTTTTATGAATGTTGTGATGCGGAATTTGGCTCACTTCATCTTCATGTGCACATGACCGTTCTATCAGAGTGTGTTTTCAACTTTTCACTGCATACACAAAACATGGATTATTCAGTAATAGGCTCAACTTAGCGGGATTTGAACTTCAAACACACGGGGCACCGACCATTGCTCTACCAACCTTGCTCTCCATCATTATGTTCGTGTTTTCCAAATTTCTTAATATCTATTTGTTTTTCGAATGGCGCTCTTAAATCACACGTTCAACGGACAGTAAAAACTTGCAACAAAATATTCTTACTGTAAGCGTTGAGAACTGACTTGCCCAAATGACGAGAATATTTCCGGGTGTAAAAACAAACATTGTTATTTTGAAAAATTACTTTGTACTTCTACTTTGTCTCCGTAGACGTACAACACCAACTCGCAGGTGCCTGACTCCGCAGGGACCGCCACGGCGTACCTATCGGGCGTGAAGACCAAGCGCCGAGTCCTGGGCTTGGACTCCGGTATCACCGTTGGTGACTGCGCGTCGACATTCGGTCATGAAATGGACTCCATCTTAACCATGGTCAAGAACAATGGTATATACCTATCTATCAAGCATTTATTATAATGTTTCAATTTGATTTAAGGGCAACCGTGGTTATAAACAGCTTTTTCCATTATGCAGAATTTGAGACCCTTGCATATGCTGAACTTGCTGATATATCTCTAGCCTCTGATGCTTTCTTATTTGCATACGCGCATACAATTGAATTTAATAGCAAACTTGTCTGTTGGTCGGCTTTTGTTCAGGTATGCCCGTAGGTATCGTCACCACGACCCGAATCACCCACGCGTCCCCAGGGGGAGCGTACTCCCACGTACCCGAGCGGGGGTGGGAGGATGACAGCGAGCTAACGGAAGAGGCCAAAGCGAACGGGTGTAAAGACATCGCCAGGCAACTGGTGGAAGATACCGACATTGATGTGAGTATGGCTTCGGTAAAAAAATTAAGAATAATTTAACAACTGATGTCTTAAGTGTTCTTTTCTCTGTCAGCTAATGTCTTATGTTCATTTTCAACAACTATAGTGCTAGAAAATAGTACCCATTCGTAAGACAGAACACCTCCAAGCGCGGTTACCACAAACACTCTACATATAGTTTAATGTCTGCTCAGCAGAAAAGTAGCATTTCCAGAATAAAATGCCTTGGAGTTCGGACATATCGTTTTCTAGAAATGGCACATTTTCGAACTCATTGCGTCACAAAACATCATTTTTTTTTACCACCAAGTGGTCTTTCACTACGGAGCTTTTAAAGGGACATAGATGAAAAAAAAAAATTGAAAACATCTTCGTTAGAAAGAAAAAAATCTGCGTTCGAACGAAACAAAATCTGCGTTCGAACGAAAAAGCTGTTTGCTGTTTGCTGTAAGCTGTTTGCCCTCCCTGTGCTGCCCCACCACTTATGTGGGTGATTTTTGTGGGTCAAAACATTCTTTGCCCTAAAAACTGTTGTACCAAACATGTAAAACGTATCAATCATGATGGGACTCAAATCATGCTCTTGTAAGTGCAACAGTTTCTCCACATTTAACTGGTTATCCATGGGCCACCAAAAAACATGTCGGGCTAGCCATGGCTATCAGAATAGCCCAACATGTTTGTCGATTGCTATGAGTATGAGTAGGAATCAGTTAATTAGTGAATCCCGTATCTGAAAGTGAGGAAGCAGAAAGTACATGTACATGAACTAGTGTTAGACTAGTAAAATAGGCTTATTGAAAGCCAGAAATGATCAAACAATATATACATGTCAGTCGCTTCTAAAGTTTGGAACTATTACAAGGATTAGGAACGAACATTTATACTGTAAAGGATTCGTGGATAGACAAATTTCTAAAAATCACAATGACGACCAGTTATATTTTATTTACCTGAAAAATTTGAATGATAATTATATAGCCTTTTTTAATTATTTTTTTTAAACTTGCCTCACTTTATAAAAAGAAACCAAAAAGGCAAATTACTTTTAAAAATGTCTCATAAGTGTGTTGCCTCAGCATAGCATAATGGGTGGGACTGATGGGGTGGGGGGGGGGGTTGTGTTGTAGCTAGTATTGTAACAGGATAGGGACTCTTAAAAAAAGAAGGACAATTAGCTAGATCTTCATTGCAATGGTTAAACTTCATGACCAACTAACAGCAAGCCCTAGTAAGACCGTTTGAAAGCTCATAGACTGCTTTAAGACCAGTTATTGAAATCCCTGTACTTGGGCCACGGACCTACATTGGGCACATATGTCATGCATGTTGGACCTGAAAAAACATGACCAAATCACCCACATAAGTGGTGGGGCAGCACAGGGAGGGCAAACAGCTTACAGCAAACAGCAAACAGCTTTTTCGTTCGAACGCAGATTTTTTCGTTCGAACAAAGATTTTTTGCGTTCGAACGCAGATTTTTTGCGTTCGAACGCAGATTTTTTGCGTTCGAACGCAGATTTTTTGCGTTCGAACGCAGATTTGTTTTCATTCTTACGATGGATTTTTTTCAATTTTTTTTTTCACCTATGTCCCTTTAAAAGCTCCGTAACAGTAACAGTAATTACAAAACTCTTAATTCCATTGGCCTTAAACTGTGCAGATATACAAAAGCATATCAGTAACTTTTACTAAATTAATTTCAATAAAAACAGCAGGAAAATTAGCTAGTTTGGACAGAATCCATCCTTCGACGGTAAGAAGGTAAAAACTGCCGTTGTATTTTGGATATTTGCCCTAACCCCAGCGATGTTACTATTTGCTCGTGAATCAAGGTGCTCATGGGCGGAGGGAGAAACAGATTCAGGATGAAGTCCCAAAAGGACGAATCGGGTCTTCCTGGCTCCAGGGATGAGTTGGATCTGATAGCTGCCTGGCAGGATAAGTACACGAATAAAGCCAGTGCGGAGTTTCTGGCAACCAGGGATCAGCTGCTGGCCCTTGACCCTGATAGTACGGATTATCTCCTAGGTAAGCCGATTCATCCAGGCAGTCCAGAAAAAAAAACCTCATTGCCCTTCAAAAACGTTACTCTTAAAATTTTCAAAAACAATAAACAACATTGTGTTTGCAAATTGGATGTTGTGGTCACGTGGTGCCAACTTCCAGCAAATTGTTCTCTTCTGCACTTCTTGTTTATCGCTTGGAATGTAATTGGTGTAAAAGTGGCGACATAAAATGTTTAATACGGGAAAATATGAGGTTCGGCCGACGGTTATCCGCTGGTATGACGTCACAGGGCACGTTTTGTCTATACGACATGTGAACGCAATTCCGGGTATACAAAAAGTAGAAACTAATTTTACCGTTTAGGAGCGTTTTTTTTCAGGAGCTTTACTTCAGTCTACAAATAACAGATTGTAAAGCTTTTATTGTTAAATTACAGCAATGTAAATGTAAAAATAACATGGACTTCATGTACGTTTTGTTCTCCCAAAATAGTGGCGCACAACAGCGCCCTCGTTCGCCCAAAATATGACCCATATTTTTTTAACCATCTCATTGATTGAGATGCCCTTGCTTTTCTTTGCTGCAGGTCTGTACGCGTTTTCAGAGATGGCATATGACATCGAGAGGACTGCTAAGGAACCCTCACTGGCCGAGATGACGGAGGTTGCCATCCGGATTCTCAAGAGGAAGGCTCAGGAGAGGGGCACACGATACTTCCTCTTCGTTGAAGGTGAGACGACCTCCAACTTCATCTCTAACCCTATCGCCAGTTACTTGTATCTGGCTCTAACTTACACTCAAACTCAAACTGTACTTATTGCTCTGCCTCTTGCAGAGTTCGAAACGCTGAGTTTCCACCGTTTTTCTTCAGAACCTCACAGACTCACAAAAGATATTTGGTACATGGTGTTACTGTAATCTTGTTTATAACTCAGCCTCAATTAACTCGAACTCTAACTCCGACGGTAATCTATTTCTAACTTAAATTCGAAATCTTAAAGTAACATTTTGACTCCCAATATAACTCTAGCTGTAATTCTAACTGTACGTCCAACTCTTACTGTACAACTTGTGCTGTATAACTCTAACTTAATTTCCAATCAACAAGCTAGACTTATTCTACAATTATTGAAATTGAGCAAATTACAAATACAATTTTCAGAACTGTTTCCCCTTCGAGAGACACATCCTGAAAAGTCACGCCAAAAGACGTACAAGTGCATTCTGATATAACACGGTTGAAAGCAACTTTTTGTGAATTTTGCGATTCTTTAATTTTTTCAATTCTCTTTCACGATTTTTTTTTTGGCTTTCATTTTTAGGTGGAAGGGTCGATCATGGCCATCATTTCAATCAAGCCAAACACGCCGTGACAGACGGATTCGCTCTGGAGCAAGCTATAACTAAGGCCAAGGAACTGACTACCTCTAACACTCTCATGGTTCTGTCATCGGATCACAGCCACTCCATTAGTTTTGCCGGTTACCCTAAACGTGGAAATCCTATATTTGGTAAGATTTCTCCCTCCTTTATTTATTTAATGAACCATTAATCGATGAATGGTTCATTAACATATCAAGTGGGCGGGTTTAATAGTAGGTTGGCTGGTTGGCTAACGGGTTAGTTTGTTAACTAGCAACTGGGCTTGTTGAGGAGCGCGCAGATCAGGTATAGCAAGCAGGTTGGCTGGTTAACGAGCAGGTTGGCTAGTGCACTAGGAGGGTTGCTGGTTGGTTATGATTAGTAAGCATGTTTTGTTGTTGGACAATGGGCCGACTTGTTGTCAAGCGGGTTATCCGCGTTAACTAGCAGGTTGGCTGGTTGGCTAGCAGTATCAATTAGTGTGATGCACCTGATTATTTTACTGTGCCTTTACCTCATTATTTCATTTGCTTACGTAATTGTGGAACGAGTCCATGTGCTTTCTAATCCGAATTCATTGTATCCCTTGGAATTCGATTATATTATGACCCTGCCGTATTAATTCTTTCACCTGCTTATAGGTAAAATATTCTCCGACACGAAAAACTACCCATACACAACGCTCGGCTACTACACAGGAAAAAATGCTTTACTGCAAGTAGCGACATCGTTCAAGTTTAGCGGACATCGCCCCGACATTACTAACGTTGACACGGGTAAGATGGGTTATGTTTCTACCACCGATTTTTGTTTTGGGTTTAGGTAGTTGGATAATATTTTTTCCTGATAAATTATGGTTTGATCCATATTGATAAGTACATGTATTTGATACATTACATTTTTGCTGAATGCTGATAATTTTTTTTTTCAGAGGGAGATCGCTGGTTTAAATGTTCAGGATACTTACCTTAATACGATCATAGTGTAGGTTGGGGGCACGGGGGAAGGGGACAAACTCGAGCGAAGGGGTGCGTGCTAAGACAAGTGACACTTTTTGATCGGGGACTCAAATTGTGTACTTGTTGCCTTACATTTTTGTTTTATTCAACAGAGAAATCGAACTACGAGCAGCAGTCGTTTGTCGCCACCCTGACGGGAGCGCACAGCGGCGAGGACGTGGCCATCTTTGCCACGGGGCCCTGGTCCCATCTCATCCACTCCGTCCACGAGCAGAACTACATCCCGCACGTCATGATGTTCGCCGGCTGCGTCGGGGACTACTTCAACACCTGCCGTGACTCGCCTTACCTCAACCCCCGTCTGACGGACGAGGACGCGGCTGTGCCGGCCAGGTTTCGCGCAGGTCTCGGGCTGAAGTAGCCCTGGGTGGATCCTCGGGCGCGCACGGTCCGTCACCCCGTTTGTCAGTTATTCGCACTTTTGTTTGTCCCTTATAAATCATACCTTCTAAACACTTGACTTCATACTAACGATATATTCATGCATGATTATTCATTCTGTAAAATTGTGTCTTCAGACAAATAAGTAAACAGGTCTTACCATTTTTTACACTAATTTTTAATACAAAACAATTTTTCGAGATAACAAGCGACTAATTTGTATTGTGTATTTTTATTTCCAAAAGTTGTATTGCAATATATTATGTTACCATTATTTTCTAATCAGTATTTTTCAACGATGTTTTTTTTTCTTCTTGTAATGACATTTGCCAATTTCGAGGGGATGCCTCGTATGAATGAGTGTAAAAGAATATGCCAGAAATGTCATAAATAATGGTCTTGAAATTGAATTGTTTTGCTCACCAGGTATTAAATACTAATTGAAAAAAAATAACCGCATTTTGTAATAAAAACTATCCGGTTCATTTATCTTATTTCTTAAAAAGTGCAGCTGGAGTTTTGGTTTAATTATTTTTTTGTGTTCTTTTCTGCAGTTCCATCCCAGGGCAATGATTTTTGTAAGAGGGCGGTGTTACAATATGCCATGCCAAATTGAAAAAAAAAACACGCAAAGGTGTATTTTGCAGCAATTAACATTAAAGGGAAGAAATGATCAAATTATCACAAAATATCTCACTGGGTTGTTAGGGAACGACAGCCTAAAGCATCCTTTAAAGTTGCGGCTCCTGGTGTGCTGACATTTTCAAGAAAAAGTGTATTTTTCCAACGCTGGTCGGCCGACCAGCGTTGGAGAAAACTGGCTTTTTTCAAAAGTGCTCCTATTTTTTCATATTTAGTTCGTCTGCGGTTTCTTTGCAATTGATTACACACCTGAGAAGACTACAAGCCTGCTAGACTAATTCTCATGATCCCAAAGTCTACAAATTGCTCCGGTTCATCTTAAGTGGCGTCAGGGAACCAGACTACAAGAATATGATTGGTTTTCATGGTTTTTCCAAACTATAAATGCAAGGTCAAATAAATTATGTGTTTATGTGACGTGGTAACAATAAATGAAGGGAGTCGGAAACAAAAACACACACAAAACATCTGGTTTGCAGATTTTGTTGTCGTTTAATCAAAATTTGCAAATCTTTCAGTTTAATGTCTATCATGTGCGGCTTTTCAGATGTGGCGCTTGCCGGAGTTTATAAACTGATTTTAATACAAAAGTATTAAGTATAACAATGCATCCGTAGAAACCATTCATTAGAATGAGGCCATTGCGGCGAATTATTGTTTCACCTCTTAAAATGCAACTGACTAAATGGCATTTAAGCATTTCAAATTACCTCAAATCTTTCCGAATACTTTGCGGAAAGTTTACTGAAATGTTGGGAATGCTATCGAAGACATTGCTTCTTGAAACCATTCATCACAAAAGTGACAAAACAACAAATGTACTTTGAAAAAAATCCAATTGCAATTTTAGAAATTTATAAAGCGCATCGTAAACAAAATGAATTAAGTTAACTTTAACAGCAAAAGCTAATATTGTTAGAGTTCCGTATTAGATGATTGTATTGCTATATTAAATACTAAAATCATAATAAAATACAATAGCATCCTCTAAATTCTGAATGTAAATTGTATTCCTGTCATTTTCTCCAAGAACGTATTAATGATTACTGAGCAAAAACCTTCGACGTACATAATATTCTAGACATGTTTCTCACAGAGTTTTTCTTTTTATTCTTTTAGATTAACTGCCCTTTCTACTAAATTTATAAGGTATTGATTTCGGGAATTTTATTGCAAACATATTTTTGTTCAGGTATGTGACGGATATAAACGAATTTTATCACAGAACTTGATTCAGCTTTGCGAGGAGCAAAACTACGAGAACGGTTGGCCAACTCGGTGTCTGAGCGTACGCAGCTGATGTTCCTTCCGGGGCTATTTGGGTTGGTTGACCCGCCGACTTGCCGCGGATCCTCCCTGGCCTCGCTGCATCGAGGTAAGGTGAATCTCGGCAGCTCGTCTGGTAGTCTCCGAAGCAGCCGGCGAACATCATGACGTGCGGGATGTAGTTCTGCTCGTGGACAGAGTGGAAGAGGTGGGACCAGGGCCCCGTGGCAAAGATAGCCACGTCCTCGCCGCCGTGCGTCTCGTAAAAAGTCGCCACAAACGCCTGCTGGGTGTATTCCTTATTGTCTGCAGACAAATCACAGGTAAACGGAGCAATTCAAGATGGAGTCTGGTTCCCTAACCTGATGATCCCCTGTGGTCTCTATAGATCGTAGGCAGGAAACCGTCACATTCAAAATAAAACATGAAGCAGCAAAGCCCTGCCCTCGTCTGTGTACACATTTCAGGCACAACACATAAATGGGCTTTTCCCACTGATCATTAGGCCTACGCACGGTATCGAATATCGCAAATAGAAGCTTCGATGTAAAATGAACTCAACGTTCTGGCGACTGATAACAGGGATTTGTAGATAAATACAACCATCCACACCTGGAAACGGCCATGCTATCGCGAACACGTCCGTGTTTAGTAAACGACCAAACGGTAACGTGTTCGGAAAGCTTCGGACATTTTCGGAAACGAGCAGAATCCTACCCGGTTTAATCACAAGATAAAGACAACCGCTTATCATTGGTGCTCTATTTGATATCACCGAAATTACAAGGCCTCACGTCTTGCTAAATCGTGTGGCTGACAAAATCATGACAAATGGCCGGTAATAATATGTTTGCGTTAACATACCTGTGTCAATGTTGGTTAAATCTGGCCGCTTTTTCAATTCCCTTAGTCGTGCTTGCACACTGAACGCTTCAGGCCCAGTGTAAAAGCCGATGGTTGTGTACGGCAAACCGACATCGTCAGAGTTCACTTTACCTGCATATGGTAGAAACAAGAAGCAAAAACGGTATCAACTATTATTTTGCGTAGTGACAGGTTCAAAAATTCATAGGAAATAAGTGTTTAATGCTGATACTATTTGGGGGATATTTTACATTATCGGGGAGAATACAAACCGTCGTCCCAACAAGTATGTCATCGAAGCAAGACAGAACATGCGAATGATAGAACATCAAGTGAAAACAGGCAGATATATCATTTGGAGAGGGGGAACATCAAGGGCACAAATTCTGGGGGATGGGGAGTGTACCCATTGGATCATCTCCCCCCTCCCCCACACACACACACATATTTGTTTGTGGTGAAAAAAAACGAGTATCAGATTATTTTCTAACTTTCCAACAGACCAAAAGTATCAAATAGTAATGAAAAACAAAGCACGAACAGCACAAAAGCTCTAATGGTACCGTCTTGATGTATTGTGAGCAAGCCAGTTTGCATAAGATGCAAACGCCCCCTAGTGCCATATGGTGTCTAGCTCCCCCCATGAAAATGTAAGACAAATATGGGTCTTCACTCCTACCGATTACACACACAAAATCGTGGGGGCATGGTCCCGCTGTCCCCACCCCCACACCCCCCTCCCGGATCCGCCAATGAAAGCAGACAGGATCATTCCAAAAGTAACCTGCTGAACTATCACAAAAAGCTTACTTGGATTACAGATCGTACTGGTACTAAACACCCCGTGATATCAATTCATCTGGCTTGCTGTCATGTAGAAGAAAGCAATACAGAAATGAAGGTGATTTAAAACGATCAGTCAATGGACTGAGTTTGGTGAATAAAGAGTGGCATTGACGAAATCGTGTTTCGTGATCAAAAGGTTCCGCGTTGTTTTTCCACTTTCTTCTTGAAAAGTGTAATATCCGCTGAGCTGAAACCTAAACAGGTTAGGTTTTAAACGTTCTTCTTTGGATTTTGAGTGATGTTATTATTGGAAACGAACAACATGATTATGAAAATCAAATGGTCCCATATGCCTTTCACAAAAGAGGAACAGTTTTGGATGCAAACGTGTTTAGTTGTTGTAGTTACCAAATAGCGAGTGTCCTCGTTCTGGGTAGCCCTGGATGGTCATGGTGTGCGCGTGGTCAGACGACAGGACAATCAGCGTGTTGTCGTCGGTGATTTCCTTGGCCTTTGCGATAGCCTTCTCCAGAGCCAGCCCGTCGTCGATAGCTTTCTTGCCGTTATTTATATGTTCACCGTGATCAACTCTTCCACCTGAAGAGATGTGATACAAAACACAGTAAATTATGCGACCACAAATTGTCATAAACAGTCCAAACTTATAAAAAGCAGGAGGTCGTGGGTTCGAGTCCCACCCGAGTGATTTTTGTTCCAACTTTCACTCGGGAGGTAACACACTGAGTATACAGTGTTAATACGTCGGTGAAGGGCAAATCCTAATTTGATTTACATCACCCCGACGCAAAATGTCATATTATGAATAGTTAATGCGGTACCCGCTGCTATGTGAATCAGATTCGAACCAGCCAACCGATCCCGTTAGCTCGGTGGTCGAATGGTAAGACGTCTGCACTAGAAAGCAGGAGGTCGTGGGTTCGAGTCCCACCCGAGTGCACTCGGCAGGTAGCACACTGAGTATACAGTGTTTATACGTCGGTGAAGGGCAAACCTAATATTGAGTCCAAACCTCTATGCACATTTAGAGTTTTACCCACCATACAAACGGGAATAAATGATATTGCGGGCGTCGCCAGGATTTTTTTCGGGGGGGGGGGCAAAGCAAATTTTCCCCACAAATCCTTGTACTTTCTCTAGCATATTCTCAATTTATAATTTTTTCGAGGGTGGGCAGGGAGACATTTACCCACCCAACCCCCATTGACACCCCTGCAGACGCCCATTTTTTGTTGAATGTGTATTAAATCAATAGCAAATATGACTTCACACCTCTTCTTTTTTCCTCCACTTTTTTTATTTTTTATTTTTGCTTTTCCAAGCGCCCCCCGCCATTGTCCCCCCGCCCCGCCCCCCGGTGGCGTCCTTTACATATTAAATCGTTTCCATTTTCACCAACCTTCTACGAAGAGGAAGTAGCGACCATTTCCCTTTCGTTTCAGGATCTTGATGGCTGCCTCAGTCATCTCGGCCAGTGTCGGATTGCCCAAAATGTCATCGGCGGAGTCCAAGCCAAAGTTGAGGTGATTTCTGTCAAAGAGTCCTGCATTAATTAAAAGGACGGAAAATTCCAACAGTTTATCTGACTGGCGCGTCTCAGATTGTAATGTCCTCGCAGCATGCTCTCTGCAGTCAGCACCAATGGGCCCCTACACTCATCACAATACGCATGCGTGAGATTAGGCAAATCAAGTGAAATGTTGTCGTCCTCAAAACCTGGGCCCAATTTCATGGCTCTGCTAAGCACAGAGTTCTGCGCTTACGATCACCATTCTGTGCTTAGCACAGACATTCTATGCTAACCCTGTAAGGGAAGAATCCTTACTTACGGGATTTACGCATGCGCACAAGCCACACACGTTTTGATAGGACTTTGATCCAATCTTCAAAGAAGCAAAGTCCGTAAAATAGTCCGTTGCCTTAAAGGTCGCAAGTTCTAGGGGGAAAAGGGCCATACACCCCCAACATTTTTTTTTTTTTTTTTTTAAATTTATTTCATGATCAAACCTGCAGAGAAGGAACGACAACGACTTTTGAAATGATTGATTGATTGATTGATTTGATTTATCAATCGACATTTGACCTCTTCCAAACTGAAATCATTATCATCACCATCCACTTGCCCATTTTAAACATCATCTACAACTCACCCAGTAGAAAGTCAGTATCGTCCGTGTCCAGAGCATCGAGCTGTGATTTAGATACGATGTACTCCGCGCTGCCCATCTTGCCGTACCGGTCCTTCCAATCCTGAATCAAGTCACCTTGATTTCTGATTCCCCCGGTTCCCTCCTCCTCGTCCGGTATGTCAGGTGTCCGGAAGTACATTCGACCTCCTCCCATGATGACCTTTCGAGTTCCATCAAAAAGGGGGGGAAAGATTTGGAGACTTAGCTATGACATGAGCAGACTCCAGGCCATCTCAAGTTCTGCCACACTCCCAGGCAAATCACAATTTCTTCACAAGTCTGGTCACAAGTAAGTTATAATAGAGGATGAACAATGAAGATGAAAAGCTTGTGACTCGACTATAGGACTGGATGACTTATGATGATGAACGTGTGAGGACTTGTGATTGATCGGACTTCAACACTGGAACGTTTATATCACTACCATGTTTGTTTGGCAACTGGCGGACGCCGTAGTGCCGCTAGTGCCAGGGTTGTTGCCAAGTGCGTCACAAGGTCATTTAGTTCAAGGTCACGTGACAAGAAACTCAAGTCAGCTGCGTCAGAATAACTTTGTCACTCCTCGTCCAATGTTACTTTGTACACCATATTGTATTATTTGGCTCCTGATAAACTTGGTTGTTTTTGACATGAGATCAAAAATTCTTGCAAAACTTTGAGCATAAAATCATGATACCCTGATAGTTCGAAATCAACCACATCATTTTGGTCGACAGTCATCAAAAAAATCTTCCCCAGCCTCATATCAGTTCATGTTACCCACAAACCTTTGTCGGCTAATCAGCCTTTACCAGACCGTGGTGGACAAAAAAATGAAGCCCAATCTCCCAAATAAAAAACACGAAATAATACTTAGGTCACGCCCCCTCATAGTCTGGTGCCAGAAGTCTTGGAACCAAGGGTTACCAGTGAAATACTTACGTCGATGACTGGGCCGTGCATCAGCTGCCAAGCTATATCTCTACACCCATTAGCCTCTGCCTCGGGCGTCAGGCCGCTGTCTGCTTCCCAGTCCCTCTCTGGCACATGCGCATAGGCCCCCGCCGGGGAGGCATGCGTCAGCCGAGTTGTGGTTATTATGCCAACGGGTAGTCCTGGAAGTAGATTCAAAAACTATTGGGAGTTTCTGAACTCTGCGAAGTAAGAACTGTGTGTCTGTAGAGCGCAAAGCTTCAATGCTAATATTTGAGTTTGAAGCTCTAAATTGCGTATTAATGACGTCCGACCACTACCCTATCCCCACTATAAAGGGCAAGAACCCCAAACTAAGGCATGTGCCCCCTACCTCACTCAACTCCCGCTCAGAGTTGAAAAAAAGAAGAAAGTCTTGATAATGTTAGCAGACCCTCAGAATAGGTGTCCCTCGCCACCCCCACCAATCAATAAAGAAGAGGACCCTAATGCACTCAGCAAATCAGACCCCGTGAGTCGAGTACACCACTGGGTCTGGGTTTCTTCGGTGTATATTAGTGTTATGATGACAGCACATGGTCACTTTTGGGATTAATTAACAGAAATACAGTATTCTCGGTGTAAAAGATATCCTGAAGCCATAAGTCCCCGCTTTGAGTATATTCCCCAGGACAATATATTAATGTTATAGCGGAAAGAGTTTTCCATAAAATAAAAACAATTTGAATACGGGGAAAGCTTCAAAACTTAGAAAAAGATTCCCATAACCCCACCCCAAAGGAAATTATCCAAATGAATTTAAGCCTTTTGAAAACAACCATTCTCAGCCGCGAAATTGCGTGGTAACCAGGATCCCATTTCATTGAGATGCTAAACAGAAAAATAATAATTGCTCAGAAAATGTATTGCTGAGCAAATTTCAGCTGAAAACAAAATAGTTAGCAGGTAACCTTTTTATGTTATGCCTAAATTTTGTCTCTGTAACCTGTTTTGTTAAGCCATTTTTTCTGTGCTTAGTACATTCCTGTGCTGATAAACTCATGCAAGTGGCCTCATTAAATACCTGAATTCTTGGCCCTAACCAGGATGGAGTCGAGTTCATGACCGAATGTCGACGCGCAGTCACCGACGTTGATACCGGCGTCCAAGCCCAGGACTCGGCGCTTGGTCTTCACGCCCGTCAGGTATGCCGTGGCGGTCCCCGCGGAGTCAGGCACCTGTGAGTTGGTGTTGAACGTCTAGGAGAAGAAACAACGAAGTAGAAATGGAACTAGTATTTAATCTAAATAATCAGACGTCACTGCAACATGCAGCTCATGACAACGTTGGCTAACAATCGGTTGTGTCAGTTTCTATGCCTTGGAAAAGCAAAACCATATCAAGAATCCTAAGCTTGGGTCATATTAAATTCGTCAGACTGTGAAATAGGGTTAAAAAATAATTCCTCTGATGTCGGTCATTTTTTGTAAAACATGGTTCATTTTCATCAACAAGTATGCATTATTCGTATAATTTCCAACCAGAAGTTGATTCGCAGTTAATTCAGCTACAGGCAAGCTAATCGGGCAGAGGCCCCCTGACTGTCATCCGGCAAATTGACAAATCAATTTCGAGATGTAAAGCACTGCACTCTTTTTCCTGACAAAAGACATACCTTGGAGTAACCAAAGTGTGGGAACTTGTCGTACTCCAGCACCGACTCTTCCCCGGTCTTCCCCTCTGATTGCCCCTTCCAGATCCGGACCCCAGTCACGGTGCTCACGCTCATACCGTCACCGATGAACAAGATCGTACCACCGGCCGTGTTAGTGTTTAAGCCTTTGGCTTCGTTTATGGCTGCAGTGAGCTCGCCGTCTGCCATCTGAAACCAGTGGTTGGGATCCCCTTCATCTGTAGAAAGCATTTGTAAGAGGATTAATAACTTATTATTGCTGTCGTAGTCGTCGTTGTCATCTTTTGTCTTGAATCGTTCCCTTTCATGGCACATAGCATATAAATATTTCCAAAACGCATTCTTTTACTCGGATTATGATCGTACTGGTACTAAACACCCAGTGATATTAATCCGTCTAGCTTACTGTCATTTAGAAGAAACCAAGAAACGCGTGTAATTTCCAACGATCATCCAATCGACTGATTTTTCGAAATAATTAACACCCTCCTGTGACGTCACACTATTATCTTTACTCGCCATTATTTTACACGAATGGAGTGCAGCGCACCATTCGGTATCTTTACGAATGGCGCGCTGCGCTCTCCGTCAAGGAGACATTGACAAAGTTGCAAATTACGTACAGTTGTGTATTTTCAATTTTATTTCACACTCTTTTCAAAACCTTAATTGTCAGTCATTGTTACATATCCATTTCAAATAACCCATTACAATCGCAGTCTTTTATTAATTCGTACACATAACAGCCTCATCAATAAATAATAGGTGTGTACATAATTAATTTTTTTCATTAATAGTATGGCCTTACAATTTATCATGACATGAATACGAGACGAACAAGCAGTTAACCTTGACAGCACATGCATACATTTAACTTTAACTTGCACAGGTTTCCATAATAATTTGTTTTTCAGTATCCATTAAATTAATACACGAAATTTTAAATTTTATTCAACACATGTTTTCTTACTTGACTTCAGCAATTTTAACACGACATGAAAACGAGACAAAACTTTTGTTTAACTTCAACCAACACATTACCTTAAGAGTGCATGCATACATTTAAACCTGCACATATTTTCATAATCATTTTTTACAGTATCCATAAATTAATACATACAATTTTAATTTTAACCAAAACATGCTTTCATACTTAGCTTAAGCAGTTTTAACTTTAGCAAGGAAAATGTTTATATGTAACTTCATTTAACTATACTTGAAGTACAATTATTTTCAGAAATGGTGTACAAAATTGACAAAACCAAACAAGTGTGACGTTCACAGTGACGGTGAAATTCCTCGGAGAATCCTTAGTCGAGTCTGTACCTGTCCCCCCGGAAGGTGTTGTGGCGGTGCTGGTTGCAAGTTTCTTGGCTGATGGTGTACAGGCAACGGTACCAGATGCACGCCCTTGTATGACTGAGTTGATTTTGCGCTTGAGATTTTCCGATGTCCTCTTGTAGTTTCTTACGGTATTTGACCTGTGGCCAGTTACTTCGCAAATTAGCTGTTCGTCGACATTCTCCCTGTAGAGGCGTGAAGCTGCACTGGCTCGAAGAGAGTGATTTGTGCGGTAACCGGCGAGGCCACCTTGCCTGCACACCTCTGCAACAACTTGGGCCAGTTTGTGACGTCCAAGAGGCTGAGCAGCATACCAAACCTGCCCTCTCGGTTGCGCTAACGGACGTAAATAGAAGGCGTCTGGTCGTTGGTCTTCAGGGGGACAGTGACGCTCGTACTCCTCAAACAGTGTAACGATGCACCGCTCTCTGACCTTGCTCTCGTACGCGTCCACGACTTTTGGCTTAATGTGACGATGTTTCAAGTCTCCTTGGTTGGTTTTAGATGCATCCTCTGTGTATCGCAAGAACTTGTCACCATTACCGTCAATCAGGATTTGAAGTTGCGGAGACTTCCAGCGCAAGTTTCTGTGCTCCTGACCTCCACGTAGGGCAAAATTCAAGCCAATCGAATAGACCAGCGTGTTCAGAAGCTGGCTGGGACTGGAACTGCCCAGAATCTGCTTTTGCCACAGTGACTCCTCCTCTTCAACTGTTATCTCCTCAGCTTGCTTGCGACGTATTCCCAAACCCGCCTTCGCTCGTTCTTTCATGAGTCCATCAAGAGTGTTTCTCAGCTGTAGGAAGTCCGGGTCCGACAAAAACTTGTAGCTTTTGCCCCTGAGATCAAAATAGAGCTGAATACTGATGACAAGCTCATGAAGTGTCTCCCCTGGGTAGTCGTCACCATTCTTCTTTTTCACCTCGCATATGAATCTTGCCAATGAATAATTCACCTCATCCTTCGTCATAAAATTCAGATCCACGTTGATGGGGCTGATGTTCAGTGAAACATCAGACACAGCTTTCTGGTTGCGACACATCTGCCAATCCCGAAACAAATCGACAGCCCATCGGATTTTGCGCTCCGTACTCTCAGCAAATCTGTTGTGGAATATATAAACATATACAATTAACCGTTTGTAAAATAACAGGCAATTTGGAGGGTCCATACTCGCACTTAACGTTTATGTTTTCTAGTCTTGTTGGATTCTTTACTCATTTAACAGGACAATTCTCAAAACATTTGTTTTCGTTTCTTTCTTTTTTGTGATTTTTCCCCCCGAGTGCTGGACACAATCCCATAATCTCGCATGCACTTGGGATATTTGTTCTCAATAGGCACCACTACTTAGGAAGTACAAAAAAGGACGAGTAAAAACATTTGCGGAAAAGCAATTATGTCTATACACTGACAAGAAACAAGACACCAGTTAAAATAAGAAATAAAAAAGAAACAAATGTTAAGCTGACACCTACCTTCTTCTACCAAAGTCCAGCAGGTCTGAGTCTGCTTTCGGCTCCTTGAAGCGTTTAGTGTTTGCAACGTTGGCCAATGCAGTAGGCCTACATTTCGCTTTTTCTTCTTCTTCAATGACAAGGGTTGCCGCTATCAGCTCGTCGTCGGAAATGTCAGACACTATAGGCTCATATTTAGTTTTCACCTTGGGTTGAAGCTCATCAATATACAATAAGCTATCTGACAAGTTTGCTGAATCGTCACTAGTATCGGAACGAAATGTATTTTGTGTTAGAAAGATGCTGTCACTATCAGAACTCGCCATGTTTCCACCTTGGTGTTTAGAAGACAACTGACATGTTTACTGTTTAAATTCCCCTATTTGACATCGCACACTATTTGAGGACAGAGAATCAGACCACTGACCCAACAAGGTAGCTTACGTAACCACCAATACAGCTTAATTAACACTTCTATACCGGTGTCACGGTCTCACTTCTCCGGCGTGCTAGCTTCTCCAAAAGGGAAATTTCGCTTCAACACGCATGCATAAAATTGCGCAGTAGTGTACATTTTCGTCACTGTATTAGTGTGCTGAGTTTTTCGGGGCTTTACTTGTGTACGTAAGATATTTGTATGCATAGAATGTTCGTGGCGCGCACTATTAACTCCAAATATTAAAGACTTGAATTTGAAATGCACATTTATTTTAATTAAGCCGTGGTTGCAAATATAAGGACAACATGGACCACGAACGAGCAAGGAACACGGAGTTCGTTCTTAATTATTCCTCCATGAACACACACACATGCATGACGCTGGGAACACAAATCAGAATGCTTGCAAGACCATGGAATGACTTGACCCACAGGAAGTGTTACATAACACATTCTTGGGTGTCCCTCACTGTGTTCAGAAAACAGCCCGAGGAAAAGTAAGCACAGCGGACACATGAGCATGAATCGTGCTCATGTAACGTGCACTGTAACGTGCTCAATTATCCGCCGAATCAACCCGGAGAAGCTAGCACGCCGGAGAAGTGAGACCGTGACACCGGTGCTGGTTGACATACCAAAGTATTTGTTTGAATTCCCCCATTTGATATCGCCCACTATCGGGGCACAAAGAATCAGAAAGCTAACTCCGACAATGTATATAGATTACGTAACCACCACTATGGGGGGGGGGGGGACACACAATTGCATTGTCAACATTCCTTTACTGACTTTTCTTGATTTTAGAAAAACACAACATTCGTTTATGAACAATAGTGAAAATTTCTTGGAGGGTGTTAAGTAGGTTAATACACTCGGAAGCGCGCCGTTCGTGGGTGATGAATGGCCCTCGGGCTTCGCCCTCGGGCCATTCTCACCCACGAACGGCTCGCTCCTCGTGTATTATCCTTAACGGAATGCTTTGGACGAAACTGTGTTCGTGAGCTGGTGTATGAAGCTGGTGTATGGTTTTTCACTGTGTTCTCGAAATGTGTAATACCCACTGAACTGAACTGAAACAGGTTAGGTTTTGAGCATTATTTTGAGTGTTGAGTAGTGTTATTATTGGAAACGAACAAAACGCATGTAAAGTAAATGACTCTATACGCCTTTAACTTAGTGTTATCTGAAATGAGCTACCAACTCCAGTCTTCAATATTAAAGAAAACGAAGAATGTACTTCACACACAAAAATGCAGAAAAATTCCACTGTGCATTTTATGTCAGATTCGTGGAAATGTGAAACGGTCAGTCAGAATTACTGGCCATGGCAAATACTTATCTAGTACAAAACCACAACGATTGGTTTATGTTTTTCGATGAGAATACATTTTTAACATCGTTCGACTTTACTCACCAACAGTTTGGGACTCAATCTGGTCAAGAAGTAGAATTACAAATACCAGGAAACCTGTGCGGAGAAAACTAATCGCCATGACGAGACACTCAGCGGATAAACTCTTGGTCGAAATGGTGTATGTCGTATGAGCACCAGTCAAGACCTAACAACTAAATATCCATACAATTCCCTCGCAATGAATTCACACGCCAACTGAGCCTCCTCCATTTACCATTGAACTCCATGCCCAACCCACTTGGGTAAAATCCACTAAATTGCAATGATTAATTACTTTGGGAGAAGTTCGCTCACTCAATGATAAGGCACTCAAATTCAAACCTCGGACCTCCTAGTAGCTTCCAAACTGGAACTGGTGTTTAGCGCGGCCAAAGTTCGTGGTAGTCAAAAATAAAAACAAGACCTGATTTAGTTAGCCGCCATAATAAATACTTTAAAGGGAACAGTGTCCTGGGCTACGTCAAAAACGCGCTTTTTCAAGAAACGATATTTTTGAGAACAACCTTATAAATAGAGAATATAAAAGTCCACCCACCATACCTTAAAAATTGGCCGTTTTCGTGTTGTTCTACCGGTAAAAAAATCGGGGGTCAAACTTTTGACTCTCAAAAGTCAAGCGGTTGGAGTGCTGGTCGTAATTCCAGTCGCACGTGTTCATTACTTTCAGGTGTTCACTTAACATGAGGGGCTATTTTAAGTTCAAAAACTTCCAGCCATCGTTTTAAATTTATCAAATCACCGCAGCTTTGTCGGTCTGTTTTGGAGTTTACTGGCAAGCAAAATAACTTATCTATACCGCACTGCCGTATATACCGTGCGCGTCCGCCGTGCGGGCCGCGACGCCTGATGCATGCCGAGTGCGGTATCGGTGTGGTTAGCTAACTTTATCAAGATCAACTAAAGGTGATTTGGGTCGCTTAAAACAGATAATCTGTCACTACAACTTTGATAATTTTTTTCATAAATAGAAGCGTTATACCTAATCTGTGTACAAATTAGCCACTTTGTGTATGCTTCAGGTCGACCTATGAAAAAGTTTGCCTATCCCAAGGGCGGATTCAGAACACAATTTCTTTTTTTTGGGGGGGAGGGCAAAAACAAATGTGGTCCCCAGAAAAAGGGGTCAACAAAAATTACGGCGAGGAGTTCGGGGCCTGCTTAAGGACCCCGAATTTTTTTTTGGATTCTAGGTGTGGTGCGATCTGAGGCAATTTTTTACCACTTTAACTAAATTATTTTGAGGGAAATGATGGTGGTGTACGCAGTGCCTGCCTTTATTGCGACGTCACTTTAAAACAAATGGGTTCTTTGGGGGGGCATGGCTCCCGTTGCCCCCCCCCCGCCCCCCGATCCGCCCTTGGCCTATCCCCCCCCCCCCCCCACCGTCATACCTCAAAATTGCTCCAAATACAATAAAGCTTTCGCCATCCACCACAAGATACCTTTACCGTTTCACCTATTTACCCCTTTGTTTATCCAAAATCCACAAAAAAAACTCCTCGAGATTAATTTATATCTCAACTTCATCTCACAAACATCAGTTTGTACCATCACAATGCAATAAAATTGCTGTGTTCTATAAAAAGACTAAATTTGTTTGTATTCAATGTGCGGTTATCAAAAGGTGTTCGGTGTGACAGCAATTACCCTATTTTGGATATCGAAGTTCCTGATCCCTGAGTCTCACGTTTGATGTTGTTTCACCTGATGAAGTCGACTTTGCTGAACCAAATCTGTCAAGAGTCGAACGATTCTGACATGTGGCGTAACTAAAGGGGAGGGGTGGACGAGGGACAACCCCAACCTCCTGCTAAAGGTCGGTGCCCCGTCCCTCGGCCCCCCCCCCCCCCCCCCACTTGAAATTGGAGAAGGAAATACAGTTATAAACTCCAATCCTATAGAATGTCCCGTCCGGACAGCGAGTTCCACCAGTTTTACCCGCCGAATGAAATGTATAGAATCGCCACCGGTACAAAACTTCAACAACAATGCCAGAAAATTTCGCACTTTTTTTAAACCGATATGTTTTGTACAATATTATTAATCATAATATAATCATAAATATTAATAATAACAGGTTCTTATATAGCGCTTTTAACTAAGATCAAAGCGCTTTACATTATTATTACCCCTAATCATTGGGCCAATTAAACATTCCATATACCATCTCAGCTCCCTGGGGAGTATACAGCTCGATGCTGCCTGTTAGGCACAAAGAAGCTAATTCAATCACAATAACCATCACTGCCCTCATAGGTACCCATTTCTCCTGGGTGGAGAGAAGCAATGAGTGACAAAGTACCTTGCTCAAGGGCACACGCACCATGACCCCGCCAGGACTCGAACCACGACCTGCAGCTTTACCCACAGATCACGAATCAGTGCCCTTAACCACGAGGCCACAGCACTCCACAGCACTCCACAATAAGTGCTTCAATCATTTTATATTCCCCTTGAATTTGACGATTCCTTACTCTTCATGCCATCAATTAATGATTCACCCACAAGTAATTACCCCTAAAATCCTGATTTTCAGATTTTTTGGATGTCGCTGCAACGTCAGACTTTGTCTCCAGTGTACCCGTCAATCAACTATAGCCCCGCCCATAGACAAACTTTCCTCACTTGCTGCCAGCTACAGCGGCAACTCTAGAACTCGATACAAAGATCTAAAACTGAATCGAGCTCCGACAAAGGGTATTACCAAAGAGTTGCCAGTTGTGTTGGAGAGTATTTTCCAACTCGTCACGGCATTTTTGGTCCAAGCCGGCTCACCGTGAAGAAGACATGGCGTACATGTTTTGGAGTTTACTCCTTTGCATAGTCGTGGGATCTCACACGACCTATTCCTGGACCGCACGTAAGTTTTTGCTGGTCAAAGAGGACTAGCCTAGAGTCCTCTTGGTAACAATCTCACTCACTTACTGACTCACAATGACTGACTGACTCAGTGACTAAATTTCACTTGTGACTTAGCCTGGTTGTTGACGGTAAATATAGCTATTGTATAGGATTATTGAGCTGAACCTGCCCATTGTGTAGACCACATGCATGAAAAGACTTCCAGTGAATAGCCATTCTGAATCAACTGAGTGTAATTTTGTGTAGTCCGGAACCAGTTTTACTAGGCTTGCCGTGTTTCGTTTGAAACACAGACCAGTGACGGTGTTCGTTTGTGTTATAACCCCCGAGGACCGAAACCGGGAGAGAGAACAACAAATCCTTTCAGTCCTCCAGAGTTGGGTCTTTTGTTGGAAACGGTCCTCTGTAGTAAGTTTGTGTGCTTAGTCCATGGGAGAGTGTTATATTACAGGGACAAAGGCAAACACAAAGCATTGTCCTCGAGTATAGTAAAACAAGATTGTCTGTCATTAAGGTGTTACCTTTTTGTGTGCCGCACAGAGTTCAGTTTGATTGTTGCTGTGTTGTGATAACAAGAAGTCAAAATTAAGACTTTTTCCGATATTTTTTTTTATATAATATACTTTTTTTTTTCATTATGAAATATGTTTTGATTCCCGTTCGTCCTGTTTGTGCACAGCTGGCGGTGTGTGCGACGTGGACATTAACAAACCTCGGACGGCTCAGTTCCAGTATAACCTTGACCAAATCGAAATCCGAGGTAAGGATCGATATTTCTCAATTTTGCTCGGTCCACGTTTGAAATTTGAAACTTAATGTAATCAAGCGAGAAAAAAATTGTGTGTTTAATCTCAAATACTGCAACCAAATTAGATGCCGATCGGGAGTATTGGAGGGACCAAGCCCGGGACACCATGAAAGACGCCATTGACCTCGCCAAGAAACTTGACACCACGACCATGGCCAAGAACATCATCTTGTTCATCGGTGACGGCATGAGCCTCCCGACCGTGACAGGAGCCCGGATCCTGAAGGGTCAGAAAATCGAAATGCCCGGGGAGGAGAAGTTCCTGTCCTTCGAGCAGTTCCCTTACGTCGGAATGTCCAAGGTACGATACGAGTTGTCCGCTGTTTTTGGTAAAAAGTGTTAGTTGGACAAGCCAGTCTTTACACATTAAGGCATACAGGATCAATATGCATTTATCCTAAAATTACCCTGTAGCGAATTATCATCAAAAAGCTCACTTGGATTAAAGGGAATGTACAACATTGTCTTTTGCTGTAATTTTCAGAAATAAATGAATTTGGAGGATTAGTATGTTATAGAAAATATTGTTAAACTGATTTTTTTCACGTTTTGGGCTTGTAGACGCTGGAAAAACCAAGAAACCCTATCATGTTCTTGTAGTCTGGTTCCCTGACCCCACTTAAAATGAAACAGAGCAATTAATACACTTGGGGAATTGTAGGCTCAGAGAATCAGTCTAGCAGGCTTGTACCCCTTCACATGTGTGTAATCAATTGCAAAGAAAAGGCAGAATAACTAAATATGAAAACTTAGAAACACTTTTTGAAAAAAAGCCAGTTTTCTCCAACGCTGGTCGGCCGACCAGCGTTGGAAAAATACAGATTTTCTTGAAAATGTCAGCACACCAGGAGCCACGATTTTAAAGGATGATTTGGACTGTCAGTCCCTAACAATTCAGTAACGTATTTCGTGATAATTTGATCATTTCGTTTATTGATGTTTGCAAATGTTGTATCTTCCCTTGGATTAAAGATCGAAGTGGTACTCAAATTTTTGCCGGCTGGTTTGCTGTCATTTAGCCGAAATCGAGATGTGAGGTGATTTCCAACGATCAGTCAATTGATTTATCGTTGAAAATAAAGAGGGTGGGTGAATCGTGGTTTTTCGTGGTTTTAAAGCTCTCTCATGAGCTTCTATATAGCACTTGGTGGTCGGTCGGTCTGTCTGTCCCGAAAAATTACCAAAATTAGTATGGTGTTCCATATGTGCCGTCGGCGTCGCATTTTCATTTCTGGCAGGGATCATTTTGATCGATTTCGTGCAAGACTTTCATGCAACACGACCAGAGCTTATTGTGCACTCGCACTTGTTCATTGACTTCTCTAAAAGTGTCTTTTCCACCGATTTACTGAAACTTCAACAGGTTATGTTTTGAACATTCTTCTTTGGATTGTGAGTGATGTTATTATTGAAAACGAACAAAAACGAATGAAACCAAATATCATTTATGCCTTTAATTATGGTCGTCACTGAAAACGGCAAGTTAACCAGCACTTCAGGGACAGACCACACAACTGGACGGCAAACACCAAATATAACTACCTGGGTGCGGCATATACACAACTTACATGGGATCCTTTCAAATGATAGTTCTACCTTTCCTTATAGCTATGACTACAGATTTGCCAAAAATCTTGTTGCTGACGAAATCCGCAAAGAACCGTATCTCGTAAAAAGCTATTGGCGAGTCATTAATTGATCGTTTTGTCAGAAAACTTCACCCATCAGCACGGACGCACTCGCCATAGAAAATGATACCTGTGAGGTCATGTGTGTCAGTTGCCGACCACATAATCATCACTCAGGTATCTCTCTCATGCTTTATTAGCCAATTTTTAACAGTAAATGTCAACTTTTAACAAGATACAAATGTAGTGTTGAATAAACCATTTGGCTGACAGTCAGCACCACCTGATTCAAACATCCAATTTTCTAAACAAGTGCAAGGGGTGTACATACTTATTTGAATGAAAGATTCCCCATTTATGCTCCAGACGTACAACGTGGACTCTCAAGTTGCCGACTGTGCCAGCACGGCAACGGCCCTACTGACTGGCGTCAAGACCAAGAACCGCATGATCGGGCTGAACGGCAAGGCGATACCCGGTGACTGTACCTCGGCAGCTGGGAAAGAGGTGGATTCCATCCTGAAAGTGGCTAAAAACGCGGGTAAGCAATTAATTAGATTTCGCAATCTTTGCTAACTTTCCTGCTAACTTTTGAGATTTTGGGGGTTTTTTTTATAGGGAATGACCGCTTTATATCGCCATTTCATCCAAATGCACTTTTTTTTTTAACTATTGCGTCGTCCCTGCTTCGGCTTTATCTCGGACTTTAGAATTATTAAGAAGCCTATCTCTAAATTAATGGAGAATCTGATACTACGGATTTTGGCCTCATGTTATAAGATTCGATGTTTCTGAACAAAACAAAACTTATGGGGCCTATTTTTGGCCAATTTTCGGGGACGGACATATGCAAAATAAACGCGCATGCGCATCCGAAAACCGTCGTCAAGAGTGCAATGTTATGACTACGGCATGGCATTTGGTCAATTAGTCAATTATTTTTGGGCAATTTTCCGGGAACAAATAGACAGACAGACAGACCGACCACAAAGTGACAAGATAGAAGCAGAGCTTAAAAACCGCCAAAGCAACACAGAAGCTTACGAGTGTGTCTCCTGTGTTTTGCGTACGGTGCCGAGAAGAGCCAGTTAAATCGATTTTTGAACCGTGCACCCTGCACTGCTAATCTTCATGACAATGACGGACCACCGGAGTTGCAAAACTTATTTTGGTTTTCAATTATAAATTATTAGTAATACCTGTTTGTACAATATTTTTGTCACCGTGTTTTTAGGTTGGAATGTAGGCATCGTCACGACTGCCGCCCTCGTGAACAGTACGCCGGCCGCTGCCTACGCCCATACTCCGGAGGAGAAGTGGACATACACCGTGCCTGGTGGATGCGCAGTGCAAGACATTGCCACACAGTTCGTCAGGAGCGATTTCGATATCGACGTAAGACAGCTATACCAATACTTCTCCACCAGTTTGATTTATTTATTATCCTCATTCGAAAAACAAGTCAGATGCAACATTCATTCCCAGGGTCGGCTATATTTCATTAACCTTTCATAAACCCTTCACCCAGTATTAAAAAAGGGTCAAAGTTGAAGCCTCCATAGAATCATCTTCGCTTCAGCATCGGATCCTTCTAACTCAAGAATAAGTTTGGAGGTTTTGGGATAAACAAATTGAAATCCCTCGGCATCACTTACATTTAAAATCCCTGAAGCATGTACATGATGGGCACATAATATTGAGCCACAGCCCCAGGACAGGGATATGTAAATCTCCTTAAACCGAAAACGAAGACGAAGCCAAGGCTTAAAAAACACCTTTTTCAACACCCTGTACTATATGGACCCTTTCATTCACAGGTTGCCCTCGGTGGAGGGCGCTCATTCTTTATGAGGAACACTGACACCGACCCGGATTCCGGAACCAAAGGGAAACGAACGGATGGCGTGGACCTCATCGCGGAATGGAAGAACAAGTATTCATCCGGCACCTCGAGATATGTCACCAAAAAAGCAGATCTGTTGGCGCTGTCCTCTTCCACTAATTACGTACTTGGTAACGTAAACTTACAGTTCTAGAAGTAAATGCACATATCAATTGTTTCCTCAACCCCTCCCCGGGTTATACCCCATCCAAGATTTCACTTTTGAAGTGACCAGTCCCCACCCGTGGCGCAAGCACAGTGACAACCTCTAAATGCATGGGTGGGGGCGCCCTAGACTGGTTGCCTATCCATCTAGTTCGCTGATGGTAAAAACGTTTGTGAGTGACCAAAATCCCCATCCTTGGGCTTGAAAAACCTGACCAAACCCAGATATAAAACCTGGGACAGCGTTGGAAGGAGGGACAATGGAAACAATTGATAGGTGCATGATGCTTATCAGTTTTTATTTGACTCTGAGTGACATCCTATACTGTCCTCTGACTGACTGACTAACTGACTGAGTCACTGACCAAATAAAATGTACCAATTTCCTATGCCCCAAGTACACTTTCAAAAGCCTAGATAGTAGATCATGACGCCCATAGTCCTCTACGTGGACCTGGCATCCTAAATCCTCAAACCTAAATCATGACGCGAAACTCGTGAAGGTTGTCTCACTATACCAGTTACATTTTGTTGTCAAGTTATGTTTGACTGTTGTAGAGTTGTTCGGCTAATAAAAGACTGTCCAACTATATGACTTACCAACTGAAGCTGTCACTGACTGGCTTAACAATTTATTGTCAAACCTTTGCTTTGGGTTCCTGCTCGGCTAGGCAAACCTAGCCTTGTATGGATCAATTTAAAGAGAGTACAGCTTAGCAAAGGTTTTGCAACTCAAGAGAATATTGTGTGTGCTTCTGAAAAGAACAAGAACAAGAGAGTATAGACTTGACGTTTCGGCCAAGATTCATCCCAAATCTTATCGGGAAACACTTCTTCTCTAGCCTACCTCTGGTTCTTCACAAAACCACATTTACACCTAGTATCCACAACCAAGATAATGTCCTATAACGTACAAGTGCAAAAGAATGTTTAATCGAAGGCGGAAACGTGAACGTTTCATCTTTTCAACTGCAGGGATGTTTCATCCAGATGACATGTCATACAACGACAGGAAGTCGTCCAAGGAACCGAGCCTGACAGAAATGACTGAAACGGCACTGCAACTTCTACAGAACAAGAACAAGCAATACTTGCTCGTTGTGGAAGGTTTGTGCTTCGCAAATAATTCTAGTCAACACCAAAAGTATGGGCTTTACATGTGCCAAAGAAGATAATAAAAAACAGACTCGGTCAGCTTCACACAGTTAAATACACAAAAAATGTTCAGTAACAACTTTTGATCTCATAGCCAAAATAAGAGTGTAAGACTGCATCGCGTGTCGAAAAGGACGAATGAGAATCCTTTCCGTCAAAGTACAGTACCTAGACTCCAGTGTAAACAAGATTTAAATATTGGCATGTAGCTTTATGAACGTGAAATCTTATTTGGATTGTTCTATAAGATATGCATGGTAAATTCTTTTTATTTTTTTGTATAGCGTGCTCTGCACTGTGTGTCTATTGACCTATCTGACAACAACATTTAGGAAACATTACTGAGACGACAAAACGCTCGTGTGCAGGTGGTACACACGCACTCCGTGCTCCGTCGACCAATAGGATTCTCACATTACACGCGCGTCTCAAATTAAGAACGCGTGCGACTTGTGCGTGAGGCTGGCACTCCCTCAATAATTGCGATAGCCGGAATGGTCTATAGAAGTGGTTGGTAGGTTTTTGTTCGCTATTCTTACTTTCCGTTCTCGCTCGGCAGGAGCACATATCAACACGGGACACCGCGAGAACAAGGCCGGCCAGGCACTCCACGAGACACTGGCCATGGACGCGGCCGTCGAGAAAGCGATGGTCATGACAAGCGACGATGACACCATGGTGATTGTCACCGCAGATCACGGCCACACCATGACCATGGCCGGCTACCCTTGCAGGGGACAGCCCATTCTAGGTGAGGACCCATCTGAGAACCGTGTACCATTCTACACCATAACTGTGACTGATATACCCTAGCAGATCCACCCCATTTGGGGTAAGGGCCAATCAGAGAATACAAACTTTTCACCACCCTACAAAACAACCGTGGCTTCTTCTTGCAAAGTCTTAGCCAATTTACGTCTTGACCCACTGTAGCTGCACTAAGTTGTTACCCATGTAGAAGCAAGCCCAATCGAGGTTGATTATACAAACCATTAACTACTTTATAGAATTTGGGGTGAAAACTGAGATTTGCCTTGTCTCCAAAAGTTCTAGAAATGCAGTTGCATTTCATGTCTTATAATTAGCTCTTTGAACCAACTCCAACAGGAAAAGTTTATGCGAAAGAAGATTTTGCACAATACTGCGACGAACTGCCCTACACGCAACTTGGCTATTCCAACGGTCCATCAGCCCCTCAAGTACAGCAGTCCCTAAAGGATGGCAAAGGGCGCCCTCGTCTGGACAGCGTGGACACAGGTAAAAGTGGACAACAGTGACTTACATGTTCTGGGGATATAATACTTTTTTATATAGGGCTACAAGTTTGGACATGCTGTGTAGCCTACAAGCAAGTTTTGCTTACACTCTCAGGGTCCTGCAGAACTCATCAAGAGGCGATGGGGAAATGAAACAAAAGTTCCAGGGGAGAAATACAAAAAGGGCCAAAGAATCTTGAAATTAGCAAGTTTTTCTTCTTATTATGTCAAGCTAAAAGGGAGGTCGAAAGAAACTTCTCCCGACCAATCAGTAATGTAACGTGGATATTATTTTTGATATATTATAATGGCAAATAATTAAAAGCAAATATTATTGCTCCACGTTGAAACCGCGGAGAAAGAGCAGGGATGTGTGATCGAGCCCACAAAAATGTGTCACAAATCGCCAGAGCTACTTGAGTAACTGGTCTTCTATCAGAATTTTACACGATGGAAATTGGTACGAATATGTCAACCTTGTCACCACATGTATTATGATGACACACCGAGTGATATAACAACATAGTAAGTGTGGAGATGGGCTCGCCATTACAACCTCATTCCCAACGTAGCCTGTCCGTTGCTTCCTCTGTTGGTTTTACAGATATTCCATTGTCACTGCTCCGCTAGTCTATCAAGCCACATTTCTCCTATCACAGTGTGTTAGAGAGACACCATGGTGTTCTGTTCTCATCCATACACTGTTGCTATACCTAGATGTGCAATACTACAACCCAGCTTTTTTTCCCACACATTCCACGTGCTGCATCTCTTTGGAATTCCTTACCCGCTGTTTGTTTCCCTACAACCTATGATCTGTCCTGTTTCAAGAGGAATGTTAAATCCTACCTTCAGTTTTCCTGAGTTTTATTTCCCTTGTAGCCCTGTACCTTGAGCGGCTTTAGCCTTGTTCAGGGCGAATATGTATAAAATAAAGAAGGGAAATTTGCTCCGGCAAAAACTAATCAGTACAAAAAGCAAGCCTCATTTTGTGCAATTCGTCACATGATGTTGCTATTACAACCATTTTTTTACCTATCCCTTATCTTCTATGTCTTTTCTTTACCTCTGTCTTGCTGATGTACACACAGAGGACCTGGACTACCAAGCCCAGTCCTTTATCCCGTTAGCGGCGGCAACACACGGTGGGGAGGATGTCCAAATCTTCGCCAGCGGTCCGATGTCCCACCTGGCCCAGGGAGTACACGACCAAACCTACATCAACGCCTTGATGCTGTACGCCGGCTGCTTGGGACGACACAGTCACGCTTCCTGCAAACAATACTGATTTTATTTCAACCAGTCCTTGAAAAAAATAACATAACTTGACTTGAGCAAATTTTCGGGATCCGGCTTATCAAACATGATAACTTTTTGTTTATAATATTTCCAGCGCCGTGTTTGAAACTTGAGATCAACTCTCTGCTCGCAGTAAGAAAAAAATATTATTTTTTTTACTTGCTTCATAAATTCCTGTTAATGTACCCTTAAGGAGACATTTCTTTCGTCATTAGTTATACCTTAGGGAGACACCGGACATTACCAAGACTTTTTTAATGTCTCTCTCATGTCACAAATCCTTTTAGAGGCAACATTTTGCCGTCGCAAACAGGCTACATCGATTGCTCGTGGTCCATAACATAAATATAAAAGAATTTGTGGTGGTAGGATAAGGTAAAATTGGGGTATAGGGTCATTAAAGTTGGAATTATTTTGTGCACAATCCTATGGGAATGTTTCCCTAAAGTACCATTTCCCCGTAATAATAATCATTATAATTGTTAATGTTCTGCTTTCATGCGGTTTGTTTTAACAAATAAAGCACATGTCCTTCATGTGTCCATGAAGGACAAAGTGTTTTATTTGTTTGCAACAATTTGCAGTCGATCATTTCAGAAGCAACTATACGTTTGTTGTTATAACAAGAATACTTTAAAAATACGAAATTAATTCAATAATTTTCGAGGTATAGGCCTATCAGTGCAATGATCTTGGGGAAAGCAAACAAAATAAAATCCTTTAACATGAAATAAATACTTGTTGACAACATGTATAAAACTGATATTTTTGGTGTACATGTAATTGTAACATGAAGAAAAGTCAGGCACGTACGAACAAGTTAACAATTAGTCAATTATGAATATGAATGAGTAGAGTCATGAACATGTACGGGATAATGAGCCAAATTGAGGTTTCGCTTGCGCATTAGGCCAACTCGCCTTAATATATGTGCATTTTTTTGATAAACAAAACACGTCATGCAATCCTAGTCCAAAGATGAATGGCTAGCTTTCAGCATCACGTGGGTTTGTTTATCCAAAAAATTGTCGCAGACAAATGATTTCTTACACGAAACTTTGATTTGTCTTATTATATACACCGCTTAGCGACAGAATTGACTCGTTCATGGAGAGCGCCCCCTACGCGCCTGCATGGATTGGAAGAACGGTTCGGTGGATGAAAGTGGGAAACTGTGTTGCGATTGTGCAGTCCTTTAATACTGTAAAAATTATATTGGTGTAATGGATATGCACTCCACTAATAGAAATCTCAACGAAGCCGATAATCAACTGCGTAACATGGGAATTGAATTTGCCTTAGTTGACTTGGGAATTGAAGGGTGTATCCTGCACTATTTAAACATGTCAGCCGAAAACCCAAGTCATATCACCGCACCGGCTCAAAATAAAAACCCCAAATAATCTGGTCAAGTTTCGAAGATCCCACGTGCTTAAAACCATCCGCACGAAGGCCTCAGAAGACATGAAACTGAACACTTTCCGGCCTGCAGCATTATACTGTTCTCATTTCGTAGCCTTCGAAAGGCGCACGGTGAGAAATCGCAGAAATATGCCGCAGAGGTTACATATACGGCTTGAAATTGAATAATCGTGGGCATGTACACGACCGTTTAACACCTGCATTGGACTGCAGGCACGAAGGATGTGTGCTATCCATATAAAACAGTCATAGGCTTATTCACTTCCAGAATATCAACTTTACAAATTAGAACGATATGGAAACCCTTGCTTTTTTAAAGGGAAGATACAACATTTGCAAACATCAAAAAACGGAATGATCAAATTATCACGAAATACCTTACTGAATTGTTAGGGACTGACAGTCTAAAGCATCCTTTAAAATCGTGGCTCCTGGTGGGCTGACATTTTCAAAAAAAACTGTATTTTTCCAACGCTGGTCGGCTGACCAGCGTTGGAGAAAACTGGCTTTTTTCAAAAACTGTTCTTAATTTTTCATATTTAGTTATTCTGACTCTTCTTTGCAATTGATCACACACCTGTGGAGGGGTACAAGCCTGCGAGACAATTCCCGAAAGTGTATTAATTGCTTCGTTTTAAGTGGGGTCAGGGAACCAGACTATAAGAACATGATAGGTTTTCTTGGTTTTTCCAGCGTCTACAAGCCCAAAACATGAAACAAATCAGTTTAACAATATTTTATATAACATACTAATCCTCCAAATCCATTTATTTCTAAAAATTGCAGCAAAAGCAAATGTTGTACATTCCCTTTAAGCTCTGACAGGAGCTTCTACTGTACATGTCACTTGATGGTCGATCTGTCTGTCCCGAAAATTGACTAAAAGTATGGTGTTCCTAATTGTGCCATCGGCGTCGCATTTTTTTCGGCGTCGCCCTTTTCAGCTCTGGCTGGGATCATTTTGATGCAAGACTTCTTGCAACACGGCCAGGGCTTTTTTGTTTGCACTTGCTATAGTTTATCCTATATCCCTTTTCAACTGATCTGAATTAACATAGCTCATATATACACTTTAAAACAAGAAGGAAAAATGGCCCTATATAGTCAGATTGACCAAGACTCCGCGTTCTATTAGGGCTAACCCTTTTCCGGGTTTATAAAGGACAATTTTCCGGCACAAAATGACACTTTTTGCAAATGTTTTCGGGTCAAAATAGAAAGTGGTATTTTTGACTCGGAAAGGCCCAAAAAAGAACGCAGATTCCGGGTCAATCTGAAAAGGGGATTTGTAGAGTGAATACTTATAATTGGGAATGCCGTCATTATGATTTGTAATTGTCCCTATTCGTTATTATGAACCGCATTGTTGTTAGGATTTAATACCGGACCATAAATTGATAAGAGTATTATGATTCGTTATCACATCATTTACTTTGAAGATTACCGCGTAAACGTTATGTTGGCTCCAGTCAGTATCAGGCAGATGCAGCAACATAGCGTATTAAGCAAACTTATTATTTAACAATGCCAAATTGCTTTGGCGTATTCGCCATAAGACTAGAGGTCATTCAATTAGTTGTATCGCAGTTGAATAACAGGTGAATGGACACATTTTTGTTTCGTCTGGAATTGTTCTGAAGGTCAAAAAAATGAGCACATTTTGGAAGATTCGTGATGGGAACAACATTAACAAGAAGACACTTCTCGTTTCGTTACTTCTCTTGTTTTCTGTCACACCAGCAGTGAAGGCCAGCAAAGGTATGAATAGTATAATTCTTGTGTTATTATGCAAACAGGGAATACTTAAACGACGGTAGAGTCCAAAATTTGACTGCTTGAGCTTCGGAATTTGAAAATCGAAAATTAGTTAGATGTCACAACTGATGAAAGCATTTCATTGGACCAAACTGTGTCTTCCTCCAGATCTTATGAAAGTCGAGATTTCTCATAAATTATGAATTAATGTTCGTTGTCTTTTAGCAACGGTTTTGGCAGTTGTTTTACACATGGCTAGCCAAGCTTTCTGCTGCTTTAATGTCAATTATCTATACTCTCTCTATTATAATAATTATTCCCTATTCAACTTACGATTTTAAAGTTTGACTCTTTGAATTTTCTTGTTTTATTCGAACGTTTATTTTTATTCAGATTTGATTGTTGCATGTATTCAGGAATATTAATTCAATAATTTAAATCAGAATTTTTAACGTCTAACTTGTGTTTACGGTCACACTATGCTACTTATTTTCTATAGTGCCATGAATATGAAATAGCAAGATCATAAAACTTGTGTGGATCTTGTTAACATAAGCTTGCGTTTTACGTGTCCAAAGGCCGCCGACCTTTGACTTACATATTAATACCGTGCCTGTCCTCTATCAGTTAAAGGCCCTATTGTTAATGAATACGGGCGCAAATTTTGGGTACAAAAAAACCCCTAAGACGTGAATCCCACGATATTGATATGAGTTTACATTTTGCTTAATTTATGAAGTTATTTAGAAACTTATTTATTTTTAGATTGATTAAATTTAGCTTCTAAATTGCATCAATAAACGTGATGTTTATACTGTCGAAAAACACATTGCCTGTGATGACAGTTTTCTTGTCAGTGATAACGTGCGTCGATTTCTACACCTATTTCAATTCGCAGACGGTGATTTGCGTTTCGGAGGTTCCTCTAGGCACTACGAGGGCCGGCTGGAGATATTCTACGACGGCGAATGGGGCACGATATGTGACGATGATTTTGGCATCTCGGAGGCTAATGTGGCGTGTCGTCAAATGGGATACGAGTATGCGCTGGATTATACAGGTGTAAGTTGCTCAGTGTGGAAGACGGCCAGCAAATATACTGCCAGTGTGAATACCCCTACCTCTCAAGATCAGGACAAATACTCACAACTCAGTCTCCAAGGTGTCTGAGACACCCGTCTAATCGTAGGCCCTATTTCGTCATTTTTCATTTTCTGTTCATTTTTTGTTCGGTGGGGGGGGGGGGGGGGGGTTAACCCGATGACTTTTTGAAGAAAATACCATCCAAAGATTATCACCCCCCTGGTTACTGGCCTGCACCTTAAGCATCGTCAATCAGAGAACCAGACTATAGTATGGTTCCCTGATTGACGATGTCCTGACGTCTCTTAATAGATGGTCGGTCACGTAGGCGTCACGTTCCAAAATAGAACATGACGCGACAAAGCCCAACCCTCGTCCGTGTGCATATTTTGAATACTGATCCAGGGCATTCATAATCCACTGGAATTAAATCGGCAAATGCGAGCTTCGATTTAACAAATTCAAAATTTTCAGGACTGATGACAAGTATATGGTATAGGCATATTTTGTAGCAAAATCAAGAATTCTGTGCCCGGATATATCCCAAATATCGTAAACGTTCCTGAGAATGAATGGAACTTGTTTCGCTCGTACCCCCGCCCTGCAAACAGGACGCTGGGAAACTCTGATGAGCTTCACAGAATCTTGTGAAGGAAGTGGCCCATGACCTATGTATAAAGCATCTGGCTGCAGCTGTTCAAGACCGCCGTTAGACAATGTGCGCAAATGCTATCCGAAAACTTCCCATAGAATTGCGCACATTCCATACCGGATGTGACTTCTGTTTCATTGCAGACCATGTGGACAAAATTTTGAGCGTCGCATAATGCAATCCGACCGGTCGTGATTCGAAACGGAGCCCGAGCGAGTGACGGGAATTGTAAATTTACAACATAGATAGGTTTTACAGAATTTCCTACATTATTACGCTTTTCAACGAGAAAAAAAATCTCTAAACTGGAATAAAAGAGTAATGAATCAGTCTTACGGCCGTTTCAAACCTTGCAGAGTCATGAACTTGATGACGCGCAGGTCACTGGTCACGCAAAATCCAACTAATCAGAGCGTGAATTCATCAGAGTATCCCAGCGTCCTGTTTGCAGGGCGGGGGGTACGTGAAGAATTCTGCTTTTTAATGGAAAAGTATTGACTCCTAAAGTATGCTTCTTGAGGTCTTGGAACCACACTAAGTGAGGTATTGGGCTGGAAAGAGCGTTTTGAACGGAAGCACTTGCCTTTTTTGAGAATTTGAAAGTCTTAAAATTGAATAAACCTGTACTATCACACATGCACTTAGCAATTTTTAAGAACATTTAGGCCTTTTCGGAGATTGTACCTATTTTTCTTTTCAGAACCATTCTCTTAGTTTTAGAAATTATTCCAACATGGTGTTTCCGCAAACCTTTCATTCATTCATTTATGCAGAAAATACAACTTTGGGGTCACCTTTTCAAAAGAGAAATCCAATCTTGCGCCTTCGGATCCTAAACCTGAAAATGCCACCGTGTGACTCCAACTCAAGCCGCTCTTATTGTCAGATCTTTGTACGATGATTCTCTGTTCATTTCCATAAACAACAAAATTGTCGACGCCACAAAACCCTGATATTGCCCTTTTGACAAGAAGTAAACTCCGCCCACAGAATGGGGATCGAACTACTAAGCCTATTAAATTGTTTTGGTGGACGTGTGAGAATAAAATCTAAGCTTCAGATGTGACATTTCAGAGTGGAACGTTTGTTTTGAATGTCAAGACTAATGTTCCAATCACATCTTGAATCCCCTGTCCAATTTGCAAAAAGAAAACAAAATCCCACCTCTTGCCTCTCATCATAATGAAGAATCGAATCCCCAGAGGGAAACACTTCCGTCTCTTACATAGTGCCGTCGGTTCATAACTTGGGCTGTTCGTATTTGCTGGAAAACATGTGTGTGTATCCTGAATACGGTCGCAAACGTAAACCCGATAGTACCAAGCACTGGCCTCACCATCTTGAGTTTCACTCCAGAGAAAAAGACAAATATTGCTGAGAATGTTTGTCTTGTCTCAGGTTAACAGGTGTCTGGTTCCGAGCCGAAATAACATTTTGAGAAAGCAGGGGATGACATGCTGGCGTCAAATATTCGTCGGCGTCAAATATTTCGCCTGGCGCTGTTGTAAGACTATAACACTAATACTATGGCTTCGGGTTGAAAATCAATCTTGCTCTTCAATAAACGAAATCATGAAACTTCAGTTCCCTTTTTTCCTAAGATAAGGCTTACTGGGGAAAAGATCGGTTTGTGATAAAACGAAGCACCACAATTAGCATAATTATATGAAAAGTATTGCAAAGTGGTCACAACTCTCGACAAATTTAACGAACAATTTGTCACCACGCATTACTTTTGGGTCGAGAAACGATAAAAAGTGTCTACGGAGCAGAATAGTCAGTGATTGGATCCCAGACGCGCTCGTGTGAAAAGTGGCAGGGAAATCGCGAGACTTGTATGTTCTATGTGTGCACACCAGAAAATAGGCAGAAATATCCGTCCGCCGAGCTCATGAATGAAAGTTATACCCTCAAAATATTCTATATTAGAGAGTTCTAAGAGCCACGGAATTGGGAAATTGAAGAGATATGGCAATGAGCCTTTGGCCCGGGCCTGGGGCTTCCAATTCCGAGGATTTTGGGTGCAATTGGGCCCGAAAGTGGCGCTATTTAGCCATGTTGTGGAGGGATCGTTTTTCAATATGGCTTCTTTTCCGCTTTAGGAAAAATAGGGGTCGTCTGCTTTCGGTAGAATTTTCTCAAAACGTTAATAGTCAACCCACCAAATATTGAAAAGAAAATGAAAGATAACACATGTTGATCATCATTTTTCTGTGCAGCCTAAATACCTGTGAGATTTTTGAGTATTTTTAAAAGAATTGTGAAGCATGGGCTTTTAGCACTGGTGTCTATGGGATTTTTATACAGGAATGCATCCCTATATATATTTTCATTTTATATTTGAACTCTGGCATACCTGTTGCGCATGCGCTGAAGCAAAACAAAAGAGATACAGTGTTTTAACCTTTACTGTTCTTTTTTTCCTACCCACCCAAAAGGGTTCATACTTTGGCCCGGGCAGTGGTCCCGTAATGCTGGATCGCATATACTGCTGGGGTTCAGAAAGCCGTCTCGTTGAGTGTTACCACTCCCTCTGGAAAGTCACCGACTGCACTCACCAGGAGGACGTAGGAGTCATCTGTTTTGGTATGTGGCCACAAATCATGGGGTCATTTTCTTTGAACATTATAATGCTCAAGAAACAGTGGGCGCCATCTTGCCCCGTGAACGCTGGTACATGTTGCTTATCTTAGAAGGTGAAAAGTGCGTGAACTAGTGAAATGTCCTTCACTTCGTTTTTGGTACTATGGTGCCCTCTATTGTTCAAACATGTGGGGGTCAATGTCACTCCTTTATCCACTGCAAAATCGTTGATTTGGCTTGTCCAAATGCTGGCCTGTCAACGTATTACAAGTCAATTAAAGTGGAATAAACGAAATTTCAAATGGAGTAACACAAGGTATATGAGGTCTTCATTATGTCATGCCAAAAGTTAATATCTCTATGCTAAACCATGCCAGAGCACTAGAGCAGACATTAAGAGGTTGCTTTTACAAAGTAAGCCCTTTTGCATTACTGGCACGTGTTAGTCATAGCGTGGTTGATTCCGGCTAAAGATATCACCAACATCAGACGATCCTGTATATAATCCTGTTTGTTCCTGCTTATAATCCGACGCAGTTCAAACTAAAGTCCAACCTGTCCTCTGTCAAAAACAACGTCACCAACTATCTTCATTAGCGGTCAAATCAATTGGGTATTATTAATCGGCCTTGAAACGAGGCTTGTGGGTCCCAGCTCAGAGACGCAGGTGTAAAGGCCAGTTCAGTATTGCATCGTCTGTGGATATAGGTTGGAATTTCTTATTCGTTCTTTGCAAGCTGCAATATCGCCATATTGAATCGCCATATTGAATGCACTGAACCCCAAGGGGCACCTTGGGGTGCATCGTATTTTCATGGTGGTACTGAAGGCAACCGATATATTGTTTGGGTGCAATTCAAGATTTTAAATGGGTGGGGGGGGGGCACCCGGGGGCACGGGCCTCCGCTGGGGAGCCGGATGGGGAGGGCTGCGCAACCCCCACCCCCACCCCCACCACTAGTTACGCCACTGCTTTTGTCCATACTATAACATAATTGCAACAGCTCCCATTGGTTTTGTACACGTTTTCTAATCGAGGACGTCCTCATTTATTCACAAGGATGTTTCACATTGTGTGTCCTCGATTTACACCATAAACATGCACACATTTTGCGCTTTATAGAATACCGGTGATGTGCATAGAGGGTCTACTAAGTTCCATAGGGTGCTCTAGTATAATACACATTGTCGTCATTTTGTCAAGCCTTTTGACATAAGTTTCCCTTTTTCATTTTTTTTTTGACGTAGATGAGAGTGTGGTCCTCGCGCCAGTTTACATCGTTGCTATCAGCCTCTTAGCGATTATGATACTGCTGTCCGTGACTTCTTGCCTTTGGATAGCTGTGAAGAATCGAAAGCGTTCCAGATCTCGGACGAACCAGCTGTCCAACGACACCACGTCTCGACAACGGGGGAGGACGGAATCGAACAGCAGTATCGATACTCCCGGGCAGCAGCGCGAGCTATTCGGACCCTATCCGCTTCTATCGATACCGCAACTGCCCGAGTATTCGGAGACCGGTGACGCACCGCCGCCATACGAGGTGGCGATAGCTGAGCGCTCGGACTGCGTGAACGAGGTCGAGGAAGGCGGTGTCGATAACGAAGGTTTTTCAAACGAGAACAACGAATCGAATTCGAATAACCGATCACAGGAGAATCGACGAAAGGCCACAACGGAGCCGCCATCAAATGTGATTGAATCCCTCGGAGAGGGCGACATTCTCAACACGGACAACGAATCTGAATAAACCACTATTCTGTAAAACATTTCAAACTTATATCCTTGTACTCTATTACACGTAATCTCTGTGCACACTGATATAGGCCGTATTTTATATTTATCAAGGAAAGTTATTCAAAATGTCTTAAAATCGTTTATATTTCAATTGAGGTTTTTTTTAGAATAGCATGGGGATTCTTTGACTGATTTTGAATATGTTCTATTATGTACATATATTCTTCTTAATATTAAGATCGTTTTAATTTAGATTTTTTTAGCAACGAAATCCGCCAACTAATATTTACCAAAGAAAAATGTGTACATGTGTTAAAAAAAAATTGTTCTCTGAAATTAGTAAAAAATGTTCAGCCCAGAAATTTCTGATCCAAATTCAGTTTTGTTTTTAGCCCCACATGTATTTTGATATGTAACTGAAAGAACAAACATAGAATAGCATTGTACATCAGATGTGATTTATGACATTACTGATAATTACATTTCTGCTTGTTTCATGGGTAATGTTATTATTTTCAATAAAGGTCGTCTGATATTGCCCTCCATCGTCCATTGATGATAATAACCCTACAATCATTCGCTCACTTTGCCCGGGCAGGCAAGGACGAGACTTGCCGTCCTCCAGGGCATTGACAGCGCGCAGTGACGAAGGACATAAAATCTGATCGGATCCCGCAAAATGAGCCTCAACGAATTTTTTTTGACTGATTATTAGTTTACATGTCCAGTAGAAAGACTTTACCTTGCTTGTCGTAGGACATAAAATTTGAACCTTTTTTTCTTTCTTGATAATGATATCGTCGGATGGAGTGCTTAATTGAAAAGGATGGCCGAAAACCGCCGCGCATCATTCAATCGAGAGTGTTGTATGTGGGTTCCGAGATGAATTTAGTTTTACTTTATTTTTTACTTTACTTTATTTCATCTCATGGTACATGTAATTCAAAAATATTCATATGATTGTTGTAAATACTTTCAGTATGTTATAACGATTAAGATAAAACAATTAATTAGTATTAATACCAAATAAAATTGGAATAAAATAACGCTTGTACCATTTTCGATATTGCCAAATGACTTTAATTTGATGATTATTTCAAGTCGGCCTAAACTCGGGAAGCTTAACATTTTGTGTAAAGGTTTCCCCATCGATTCGAAGAGATGTCTCACGAACATGACCTTGTATTATCCCAGGAGCCAGTCTCCGCCGATTGACCCACTTATCAAACCTTTTTCATTCCGAACTCTTAATCTTGGGTGGCAGTCCTGAAGCGCTACAAGCACCTGAACTAGGCCCTGAAACGCGGGGTACCGGTCTCGCACCAGCCGTTGTTTTGTACGGCTCGTGTTTCCCTTTTTTATTACGTTACTCATTCCCACCGCGAATTTCCGTCTTCAGCTGTGGCCGTCCGGAGGAAACATTAGCTTCCCAAGCCCCACAAGGTAAACACTCCGAAGCGTTGCCTTGAACATCTCCAGCTGAAACGCAACGCCCGCCCAGGAAGAAAAAAAATCGTTAAGCGAGTGCGAGGAAAAAGCGAGGAAAAAGGAGAGAATTCAATATCATATGAAGACTATAATTTGTTTTGGACGTGTTTGTGGAGGGGCGAATTCGGTCACACGCACGCCGCAGCCGGCGCGAGGTAAATCGCGAAAATATTGCTCCGTCATGAAGGACCTTTCCTGGGTGTGAAGAATGTTGATTTTTCCTTTAAACGACGTTTTGATCAACTTGCTTGACCTAATCTCTGTCTGCGTGATTGCCTGTAGATAATAACTTTTGCTGGATGGAAACAGGTTGACACAGTTAACAAGGAGAATCCCTTTTCCCCCTGTATTTAGGGCGTTCCAATTCTGTCACATTTAGTTCGATAAATAGCTGTGATGAACTATGTTAAATGAGACCTAGTTTTTAAGTCACTGTATTTTGTCTTCTTCTTTAATTTAAACAGGTCCAAAAAAAATCAGGTCCAAAATCAGTATTGATGGGAAGAGAAGAACCCTCATTTGAACAAGGAAATGTGGAAACGTTTACCAATGCTACCTAGTAGGCTGATATATTTATCAAATTCTCCACTCTGTGTGGTATTATTAGAAAGATCGTTCAGGGGTACGGGTTCAATGAATACTGTAGTGAAGTCGCCGTCTTGAGACGCCGGCTTCGACACTAAGCCACCGCCTTATCTTAAAAGCAAAATTCACGACGAGTAACAAGTCGCTTGGGCCAGAACCCATTACTGATGCATAGGGAGATACTGGGATTAAACCCTCTTTTATCCCGGTGACATTTCCACCGAAGCAACACGAGAAAGCCTACAGGACGTGAAAGTCTTTGCAGGAAGAACAAAGAAGACCGACTGCCTTGTGATACTTAAAAAAAAAATTTAAAAAAAGGGCGGCTTACTCATGGACTTACTTCAAGGTAGCTATAGTAAATGACACATTGCGTGCGCGTCTAGCGCGGTGTACACGCGGTTAATTTGCATAAATCATGAATGTGCACCATTGATCTCCATAGTCTGTGTATATGGAGATCAATGATGTGCACACACCTGTGCGCGTGATAATCCGCAACGGAGCTTGAACGCACGACGACGCAATGGAGCTGCAGCGTCCTTCCCTCATAGTTATGTTTAGAGTTTACCACCGGCGGTATATTATAAGGGAGAGTACATCATTTGTAATTTGTTCATAATGTTCGTTGAAGCAACCAAAGGGCTCAAAATCTAAAGAAGGGTGCTTAACAACTAACGTTACCTGGTGAAGTTTTATCTCTGTGAATACTGCATATTCCGAGAAATACAATATTCTAGGATCTCTATTTCAAATCAAAAGTTGCCCAATCATTTTTTGAATTGCGCCCGAATTCAGCGTCCGAGACACGTTCTAACTGAGCCGATTGCAGCTACGCGATGTCGCGCACTGAACCGACGAATTATAGCAACCACGCGCGTGTGCATCGCGTCAACACTCTTGTGCGCGCTTCGCCGAATAAAACAAACGAACTACAAACGGAATTTCATAGATTTCTTCAAAATGACAGCTTGCCAGAAAGAGTAATTTTAAAGTGGGTTTAGTCCCATTACTATCTTTAAATCAAATACTTTTTAGATGAACTGTACCTTTAACCACTTTCGATATTCAAGTGCACGCGGAACACACCGCATGCGCGTAGTACTAGTACGCAAGTACACAAGACTTATTTTACTTTTGCTCGTACCCCCCGCACTGGAAACAGGACTCTGGGATACTCTGATGAGCTTCACAGAATCTTGTGAAGGAAGTGGTCTATGACCTATGTTGGAGCATCTGGCTGCAGCTGTTTAAGACCGCAGTTAGACAATGTGCGCAAATGCTATCCGAAAACTTCCTAGAATTGCGTACATTCCATACCGGATGTGATTTCTGTTTCATTGCGGACCATGTGGACACAATTTTGAGCGTCGCATGATGCAATCCGACCATTCGTGATTCGAAACGGAGCCTGAGGGAGTGACGGGAATAGTACATTTACAACACAGATAAGTTTTACAGAATTTCCTACACATTACGCTTTTCAACAAGAAAATAAACATCTCTAAACTGGAATAAAAGAGTAATGAATCAGTCTTAACGGCCGTTTTAAACCTTGCAGAGTCATGACCTTGATAACGGGCAGGTCACTGGTCACACAAAATGCAACCAATCAGAGCGTGAGTTCATCAGAGTATCCCTGCGTCTTGTATGCAGGGCGGGGGTACAAGCGAATATTTCATTCTGAGTGTGCACAAAGCATAGGCACAAAGCCGTAGCGTCTTCGCGTGCGCGTCAGGCCTGGCGTCGTCGGCAATGCTTTCGAACGGCGCTCCCGGTGGTCTCCCCCTACTCTCCCTTTCGTACCGTTGAGGGGGGTACTTGTGCACGGAGCCCATTGTATACTGACAGAAAGATTCTGCAGTTCTTGGTGAATTCCTGTCGCTATAGAACAATAGGAAATATCATCTTTATCTAAAGGGGATTTTCCAATCATCGGCCTTGTCTCCGGCTTCGACTTGGTCTTAAATTCAAAACATGCGCCGAAAATCATGCAGGCGAAGCCAACAGTTGAGGGGGGTGGGGAGAGACTAACATCACGCAGCTTGGTGAATCGATAGTATACGGGCAGATATTATATATTAACACACCAACAATAGTATATTTATAGCTCGTATAAATATCAATAGTATATTGCCCGCATAATTATAAATGGATATTATACGGCTAACGTCACAACGTACGAGACGAGAGATCACTAAAATGGCTGTTTGCTGGATTCTGTGGGTTCACTGGCCGGGAATCAAGCTCATCCACTCCGCTTCATTTACTCGGCTCAACTCAACCTTGGGGAAAAGCCCGAGAAGGAAAGAAGGGAAGGTCATTCTCTATCCTGTCAAATTGTCTTGTGATTTGTGCATGGAAGATTTTCCCGTCATTATAATACCAACCATCAAGTCAGCGTTTATAATACAAATTGCCCAGCCGGATAGAGCGTACACTGATAGTCGGGATGCACTGATAGGCATACGTTGCGAGAGACAGTTATTGATTGCAAACAGGGGAAGAATCATGGCAATTAACCGTTAGTCTGCTAGTTGCATGCCTTTAAATTTAAGCTGTGTTTGGAGACATACATGATACATGTACGATGTGAATGAGTACATAATGAACCAAAAACAGTATTATGATTCTTACCTAAAGTCCGAGCTGAAAGGTACGGCAAAAGCTCTATACCGTATGTTACTAAATTACTAAACATACATGCGTGATACTTTACCTAAGGCAGTTTTGGGGGTTCTTCTAATGTATCTCATTGTATATATGGAATTGTTACTTGACAAAACCTTTTTTTAAGCTCACTTTCTTATAATTTTATCCGCTAGGTTTTTTTTTATTAAGGGGTAGAATAGTTCAGGGGTTGGTCTTTCCGCTGTATAACATTTTTGCTCTGAAACCATTAGTGTATTTTTTATATCTAATACATGTAGTATATATTCTAAAGTTTTTAATGACTACTTAACTGTGATTTAAACTTTTCAAAAATTAGCTTATTGTTCATTGAATAATTCGGCCTTTTGGTACACTGTTAAAAATACACGGACTCCATAAAGTGAAATATTCCGTATTTTCGGCGTAATTATACGGATCTTTCCGTAAATGCAAATATAAATTATGCTAATTAGCGTGATTACAATCAATTACATCGGCCCAAACACCTACACATAATATAGTACATCTAAGTTCATTGTAATTTCACCACAACTGTGTACACAAATGCAAACTCACGTTAAGGGTCTGTTTATTTTACGGAATGAAAAAACTTTTCCGGAAATTTTGCTGCAGAAAAACGGAACGCTATTTGCTTTCCGGCAGCAAAATTTCCGGAAAAGTTTTTCATTCCGTAAAATAAACAGAACATTAACACGAGTTTGGACATGTGTACACGGTTGTGAGTGGAATATCAATATGAACTAAGATGTACTATATTACGTGTAGGTGTTTTGGCCGATGTGGTTGATTGTAAT